TGTATAGATCCTTGTAGTTGGGCCTATGTTATCGGATGGTGTGGGGTAATACATCGAAACAATGGTCTAAAACAATTCTGAGTGTGCCTATTGACTTGGGCTGCTGGTGAAGCTTTCCTGATAGACCATATAAGCACTATCACTGAGTACTGATTACTGAGAGTTGTTCACGATTGTATCGGTTGACAAAACCACTTCGGGCCACGAAGCGGCTGGGCGGAGCTTGCGCAGCCCTGGCGCGGCAGTGGCCCGCCTGCATCAATATTACTTTGTAGGAGGTATGGTCAGAGTTGAAAAATACTACTAACACCTGTCGGAGACTGAGAGTATTATCCTTTGAGTCACTGATCTCGCTTTCGTACATGGTCTGCATTGAAGTGACTTCTTAGTTCTCTGTGTTTCTGTGGTGTAATGAGAACTCCAAGAGAACTCGCATGACTTTTTCATGTACGCGTGCCATACAAATAAAACAAGAGGACGTAGGAACGGTTGACAATTTAATAGAGGACAAAGGACCAGGTCGCGCCCGGAGGGCAATCGTATCTGTCCGGGCGTGAGGAAGTTCGTCCGCTTCTACGAGCATTTGGCTCATCCCGCGTCAGCTTGAACATACCCGTATATGGATGCCTCTCGTCATCGAACGCTTGCTACTTTTGCTCTTACTGTAATATAATTGTATCACTTGGATTTCCCCTCGCACCGCTTTGCTTTGGACCGCTGTACTTACTCGCTTTCCTTCCAACATTGTAATATACTCGCACGATATGGAATGTCATTGATCACATTAATTGGCCAACGTCGGAGAGATAGGATCAGACAGAGTAATGTTACATGTACTGAGATACAAAGAAGTGAAAAGGGGAGACGGGCCGAGCGACAATCTATATCGCTCAAGCACCGAAACCGTAGAGGGTACGGCCAGAGCGCTTCAACGCGTAGACGACATCGAGGGCAGTCACGGTTTTGCTAGACAATGACGACGCGCGTGAGCCTCCGGTGCACAGATGCAGAGAACAAAAGGAAGGAAAGGGGGCATACCGCTTGGCGTGCTCAGTGTACGTGACAGAGTCACGGATGACATTCTCGAGGAAGATCTTGAGAACACCGCGAGTCTCCTCGTAGATGAGACCAGAGATACGCTTGACACCGCCACGGCGGGCAAGACGACGAATGGCCTACGACACACAAAGAAGCGGCGGTCAGAAAGAGACATGATACCGCCGAAGAGAAGGGATGACATACGGGCTTGGTGATACCCTGGATGTTGTCACGAAGAATCTTGCGGTGACGCTTAGCACCGCCCTTTCCGAGACCCTACACAGCGAACAAACGACACGCGTCAACAACCCTCTTCCCCGCGCAATCAACAAACAAAGCAACATACCTTTCCACCTTTTCCGCGTCCAGACATGTTTAGAAGTAGTAGGGGGGTGGTTGAGTGATGAGTTGGTGTAGAGGTGTGTAGTGAGGCTGCGACCGACGACTAGAGCGGCGGGCGGGGCGGGAAGTCTTGAGGTTGTGGTGGGCGAGAGGAAGAGACGGAGATGCGGATTCGCGCGTTCAACGCGCCCTTTTGTGCGCGCATTGCCACGCTTGGTCGTGTTTGGCTTGCACGTGATGTGCCGGTGGGTTGCCGAGTCGCGTCTCACGCGCTTTCGCCACTCGATCGCCACAGGCACGCTAAGGCTTGCTCTCGTCCACGTACTCCTCAGACGTTCTACATATCATTATTATTACAATTGTGAACTGTTTGCAGACTTCAACATGTCTATTACTCACATCACCTCGTTGTCCCAACTCAATGGCATCCTCTCCAAATCCAAGGACAAACTCTCCGTAAGTCTCGATCGCGTGAAGTCCTGGCACTCCCACTCACTTACACCCACATATATATTTCCAGGTCATTGACTTCCACGCTACCTGGTACGTATACGATCAGTACAACACCACTGCATAACACACTACTCCCTTCAGTACCTTACCATCATTCCGCTGCACCACTGCTTACTCACACCTCACAGGTGTGGCCCATGCCACGCAATCGCCCCGCACTACGAATCCCTCTCGAAGAAATACACGAACGTCAATTTCCTGAAATGTGACGTTGATGCTGCGAAGGAGGTCGCGAGCTCGTACAGCGTGTCGGCCATGTGAGCTTTCACTATCACTTATCCTTCCGGTGCGAGGGGTGATACTCACTTATGCGTGCGTATGTCGAACTTGGAACTTGGAATTTTTCAAGGCCTACGTTCGTCTTCTTGAAGGGGAGCACGAAGGTGGATCAAGTGCGCGGTGCGGATAGAAAGTACGTATCGTATACGCCCCAACCCTGCTCTGTTCCTCCCCCTCTTCCTCCTACCCTAGACCATTTACTAACTCCACCCCTCGCCCTCCCTTCCTACCTCGCTTCAACTCACAGCGGCATCGAACGCGCCCTCGCGAAACATTCCTCCGGATCCACCTCCAGCGCATTCGCAGGCCAAGGCCAAACCCTCGGCTCTTCCTCCTCTTCCTCCCCTTCCCCCGCCAAGGCAGACGGCCCTTCGCCTGCGAACGCGTTCACGAATCTGGACCCGCAGGTGAAGGTGTTGTTGGGATTGATTGGAGCTTATTTGTTGTTTTGGTATATGAGTTAGATGGGTTTGTTGCTGTACTCGTACTTATGGGCCTGGGAGGATTCGGACGGGAGGTGGAGGGAGTTGGTCTGGTGTGGGATGGATGGATGGGTGTCTACGTATCTCTATTTACTTCTTTTGTGGATTATTGGGGTTTGTATGTACATGTGATTTCTTGGAACAGTTCTCCTCCTTAGTAATAGTAGTCGTGGCCTACTGAAAGCTGAGGTGGCGAGTTTCGTGTGGCGCGAATGACAATAATCAACGTCACGTGTCTAGGCGCGCTTCACTTTGCGTCGCGTCGTTCGTGACAATTTCGAGAGACGTTCACCTCCTCTTCGCCATCACTCCATCTCCCTGCTTCTCGTCCAGGATTTCAATACGCGTTTCTCCAGTCCATTATTTACGTCCTTACGAATAGCAACGCACACCACCACTTTAGGCTGTGTATAGGCCAAGCTGACGCTCCTCGATGTCGGCCACCAAGGCGCCACCAGGCCCTCAGCCCCTCATCCCTGAAAAGTACTTCGACGTTCCTACACAACGGCTATACGCCCTAAGCTTTGTCGCTCTCGTACAAGTACGCCCATTTTCTTTTCCTCACTACGCTCACTACGACCACAAACTCACGCGTCGAACTCGCCTTCGAACTTTCCTTTGTTTGCATTCTCCCCTATTGCCTATTACGGTGGCATACATCTTCTGAACTTGCAAGGCCATCAAAATATTCGACTGGGCCCAATACCTCCTCTCAGACTCGCCCGAGCACTTCGGTCGTAAATGGCTCTTTGTGGATCTCCTGCTCTGTCTGGGTCTTTCGCAACTACGAATACCGAGGATCAACTATTCGTTGTCGATAGTCTTGATTCAGGTCCTCAGTCTCTGGTTCCTCGACGGTCTATTATTCGGAGGCATCCAGCTCCATTTCTTTGGGGCATCATCACATAGTATGTACCTTCCCTCTCCTCATCCTCACCCTCATCCCCACTCCCTCAACCTAACGTTTACTTTTCTCCCTGCCTGCCTACGCGAATGCAGATGCAGTCAACGCCTACTCCTCCAGCAGCACCTCCGTCCTCTCCACCCTCCTCTCCCTCCTCACCTTCGGCCTCCTCTCCCCCTCCCCCCACGGCCCCACAGACTCCCACCTCCTCGGCCAACACACCGTCCGCATGTCCCCCATCAGCACCGCGCGCCTGAACCCATTCGACCAAATCTTCTGTCTCCCTTCTTCCTCGAGCCACGTCCTCGTCCCTGTCCTGCTGAATAACACCGTCCCGACGCAGTTGAGGTATAATATCACGCCGCTTGGGTATGCGGAGGGGTCGAAGGAGAAGGAGAAGGCGAAGGTGGAGAGTTTTGTGTTGCATGCGAGGGATCTGAAGGCTATTGAGGACGCGAGGACGAAGGGGATGCAGCTCGTCCGAGGATCAGGCTCAGGGTCTGGATCTGGATCGGGTGCGAAGCCGGAGGATGATGAGTACGATGAGTACGACGACGAGGATGAGGAAGACGACCAGAACGAGTCCTCCGCCGCGCGGTTGCAGAAGACGCAGTCGCTCGCGCATATCAGGGTCAGTAAGCCGGGAACGATAGAGATGTATGAAGTCAGGGACGCGAGCGCACAGGCGCGGATATATCGCTCGAGGGTCACTGTGACACCTTGTCCGAGTGCGGAGTTCGTCGGTGGGGACGTTATTGACAAGGGGGATAACGTCCGGTGTGGCGTGCCTACCGGGAACGGGATCGTAGCGGAGGACAAGGACGTCCATCTTGATCTTAGTATCTATGGCGTTCCACCACTGACGCTGAAATGGTACAAAGAAGTTAACGGGAAGCGGGAGTACTCGCTCGTGGAAGGCATCCAGGACGAACGGTCCCAACACTCGGAAACGTCAAAGCCGCCCACTTTCTGGCCCGCACCTCAACAGATCCGTGTCCCTCTGACTGTATCCGCCGAAGCTCTCGGCACACACGTCTATGCTCTCGAATCCGTGACAGACGCGCTCGGGAACGTCGAATCCGTCGCACCACCACCTTCGTCTGCGCTCACCCTCAAGTCCACTTCATCTTCGCCTTCGACTTCAAACACGAGCATCCTCGCTCTAGAATCGAGCACGAAGACAAGTCGCATGCTCCATGTCCTCCGTCGACCCACCCTATCATTCCGCGGCTGCCCACCCGGCAAACCCAAACAAATGCGCATAGGCTCCGACGTCACCCTCGCCGCCTCCGCGCACGAAGCCGACGCTCTCGACGCCCCATGGGACATCACCGTGAAATATCAACCCCCACTTCTGACGAAGGAAGAGAAGAAGACGAAGAAGTTGCCGTCGCCGTGGCAGAAGACGTTCACGACGAAGGAGCAGGAGAAGAGGCTCGAGGTCGTCGCGGATGCGCCGGGGGAGTATACGATTTTGGATGTGAGGGGGAAGTATTGCGAGGGCGATGTGTTGAGTCCGGAGACTTGTGCGGTTGTGGAGCTGCCGAAACCTAGTGCTGAGATCGACTTGCGTCGTATTCACGAATGGTACGTCTCTTTCTCTTTCCCTTTTGCATTCCGACCTTCCCGCCCGTCGAGCTAATCAACGAACACAGTTCCGGAGACACAGGCGTAGCCGCCTCCCTAGTCCTACACGGCACACCTCCCTTCCGCGTCTCCTACCGCATGCAGCGCGAAAAAGAACACCCCCGCGAACTACACGAAACCTTTTCGGGCTCGCGCGGCGAAATGACGCTCCAACCGCCCCGAAGCGGACGCTACGTCTACACCTTCACGCACATCACCGACGCGAACTATAACAAAGTGGAGCTGGATGGGCCAACGATTGATCAGGTCGTGCATCCGCTTGCGACGGCGCATTTCGTGCAGGCGGGCGTGAGGGGACGGGAAAAGGCGACGGTGAATAGTTGTTCGGGGAATACGGTGGATGTGGAGGTCGAGTTGGAGGTGAGTTGGAGGACGTGGAGAGGTGGTGGATTTAAGTCTAACGGCGATGACTGACGGGACCACATTTTTTTTGTTCGTGTTCGTGAACAGGGTTCGGGGCCTTGGGATCTTGAGGTGCAGGTCGTTGGACCGAAAGGCTCCGAGATCACGCCGTTCAAGGGGATCGATTCGAAGCGGAAAACACTCAAGATTCCTGTCCCAGATTCCGTCAACCAGGTCGGAGGCACTTTCGAGATTGACCTCGGTGAGTGGCAGTATGAACCTTGGTCCTTGGCATATCGTTGATGTTGTGTTCTCTACTTTTAGTGAGCGTGGAGGATTCGTCGAAATGCAAGCGCACGCTTACTGTGCTTGGTATCTCTGTGAACGTCAGGAGGATCAAGGTCAGTTTTTTCTTTCTCGTATTGATTCGATGATACCAGTTTGATCTAACTTTTGTTTGCATTGGTAGCCTACGGCAAAGTTCTATGGCAAGAAAGACAAACGACAGGTCACCATCCTGGAAGGCGAGCAAGCCAATCTGCCATTGAGATTGACAGGCGATGGGGTACGTGTCTTCTCATTCATCTAAGCTTGTACGCCTTCAAACCATATCCTGACTGACTGTGATCATAGCCTTGGACTTTGAAATACCGCAACATGGAGAATCCAGACTCTTATCACGACGCACACCTCACCAGTCCCAACGACCAACTTCGTGTCAAGCAAAAGGGTTTGTACGAGATCGTAGACGTACGTCAACCTATCCATTTGCTCGTTCCATGGTCTTCAGTTCTCATTATCGATGCTTGCTTTCGTTGTTTCGGAATCAGATCCGCGATTCTCAATGCCCTGGTATGGTGTCACTGGAAGAGTCCACGTACCTTGTGAACTGGGTACCAAGACCGTCCGCACACCTCGCTAAGGACACGAAGGCGACATACGAACCGTACAACAACTCGTACATCCTCCCACCAATCTGTGAAGGTCAAAGCGCTCATGTCGATCTCGACCTGACCGGTATATTTCCTCTGCCTCGTTATATATACCTAAAAAAAACTCAACGGTCCGTTGTCTTTGTCAGGTCGTTCGCCGTTCCAGATCATGTACAACATCGCACGAGCGACAGAGACAGGCGGCACAAAAGTGCTCGACCAACCCACCTTCAACAGCATCCAATCCCGCACCCGCTTCCAGCTCAACACGCTCGAGCCTGGCCGGATCTACTACGAAGTAAAACAAGTCGGTGACGTCTCCTACCCGCTCTCAAAGAACAGAGCGGCCATCATCCCTCGCTCAGACCGACCGCTCTTCGAACAAGAAGTCTTCGCGCGTCCTTCAGCCCGGTTCAAGAACTCCAACCGCCTCACATACTGCCTCTTCGACAAATTTACGCCTCTCGATAAATTCTCGAGCGACGGGACGATCGTGCTCCAGGGCACGCCCCCCTTCACCCTCGACCTCTCCATCAAGAACCTCGCGACGAGCAAGACCACGACTGAACAAGTCACCGTCTCGGACCACGTCTGGAAACTGAACCTCGCGAACCACACGTTCGATTCGGTGGGCAAGCATCTGGTGACGATTGAGTCTGTGGCGGACGCGTCGCATTGTGAGGAGACGGTGCCGGAGTTGAGGGAACGGTCGATCTGGGTGGACGTGGCGGAGTCGGCGGCGATCGTGCCGTTCGATAGGAGGGAACATTTCTGTGTCGGGGAGGCGGCGCAGTTCCAGTTGGAGGGGATTCCGCCGTGGACTATCGGGTTTGTCTCTCGTTCTCTTTCTGGAATTTTTTTCTTCAAGCGTGGACGGCTTATCCTGATTTTACTACTGTAGATATCGCGCGAACGGCAGGACGCACACGTCAGAAGCGAAAGTCTCGCCGTTCTCGCTCACGTTACAACAGCCCGGAGAGTTCAAGATCACGTCTATCGCGCACCAGCACAAGATGTGCAAAGCGGCCGTCACAGACTTGGGATACACCGTTCATCAGCTTCCTTCGGCCCAGGTCGGACACGGAGGATACTACTACGATGATATCCACGAAGGTGCCTTCCTTTCACTTCTATCTGCTTTACTTGGACTCCATGAAGCTAATGCACGTGTGCGTGTGTGTGGTGTGGTAAAATTGGATAGGCGACCAAGCGAAGATCAAGTTCACGCTCATCGGCGAGCCGCCATTCACGTTCACTTATCAACGGGCGGAACCGGCAGCGAAGAAAGATGGTAGGCCTGGGAAGGTCCTAGAGACACATACGGTCTCTGGAGTCACGACGAATGAGTATACTATCTTCTCGGCTATGGAGGGTGAGTCTACACTATTACCACAACTGGACAAGAGGAAACTGACGTGGGGGTTTTTTTTCCTCTCGTAGGGACGTGGACTGTTACGTTTATCTCGGATAGGTATTGTCGGTACCCACCATCACCTGTGGATGGGACAGTAGAGAAGAGGTCGTAGATCGTGAGCCGGGGTCAGGACCGTGAAGGTCTCATCTTATGAATTGTAGCTTTAATATTACATGCGCAGGGCAAGTCCTACACGTTGGATACCTACAGATTGGAGTGCGGCCCATTCTCAGAAGCAGACGTCAATAAACAACCCAGTCCGATATACGCCAATGTGATCCTCAAGCTTGTTTGGAGTGTTCACCTCTCGAAACCGATGATCACAACTTAACAAACGTGTCTGACCGACTCTCAGACGTCACCCTTGAAGAAAACACTACTTCCAAAAGCCAATTTTGGGTCTGTACAACGAAAGGGACATGTGATTTTTGTTACATTTATAGCATTTTCTTCTGCATCGCGATGGCGTCACCACTCCCTCTAAACCTGAGCGGAAGAGATGTAGAACCACTTGGAGACTAAATAGAAAAATAATTTATTCATCAGTTGAGGGGGAGAAAGGCGAACGACGAAAGGGAAGACTCACTGGACGGGTCGATCGGCGCAGCGGGCTTCCTGGAGTCGGGAGGAAGGCTGGTGTACGCGGGGTCGTCCTTGGTGATGTGGCCGGGGGAGTTCTTGTTGGTGGTGGTGCGGCTGCGAGACGAAAGCAAGTTGAATTAATGAAAGTGATAGGGAGGGATTTCGGAAAGGACGAATAGGTGGCTTACATGGAGAGGTCGTACGAGGGGGTCTTGGCGGGGCTCTCGCCGCTGATGAGACGGCGCCAGGCCTCGTGGCACTCGTGGATGATCTCGGTGGCGTACTTCTTGTTCTTCGCCTCACCGGAGAACGCGAACTGGTTCTCGGGCTTGCCATCGGGGATCTTGTAGATCCTGAGACACGCAATGACAGTTAGCACACATCGTCCCAACCATAATGCCTTGAAGTGACGTAAAAAATACCGCACCTGAACCACTCATTCGTCGCACGGACGAGGCCGGGAAGGTGCCTCTCAACGTCCTCGATGTCGTTCAACTTCGAGGCGAGAGGATCCTGGACATCAACGACGAGGACCTTCCAGTCGGTCTCGCCTTCATCGAGAAGAGCCATGATACCGAGGACCTTGACCTGCTTGATCTGACCGACGTAGCCGACCTGCTCGCCGATCTCGCAGACGTCCAAGGGGTCGTTATCGCCCTTGGCCTTGGTCTCAGCGTGCATCTGAGCGGGGTCCTCCCAGGTCTACACAATTCACGCATGAGCCGTCAGTACACTGTTCCCCGTGATCTGTGTTCAAGAGAGAGCGGACAAGAAAAGGCGGAGTGAGTGAGACGCAACGCACCTGGGGGAAAGCGCCGTAGTTCCAGATGTACCCGTGGTGGGGGAAACAGTTGCGGACGAACCGCAAGCGACCCTTCTTGATGTCCTGCTTGATGGGGTTCATCGTCTCCTCCTTCGAGATCTCCATCTTCGCGTTCGTCCAGCGGGGGACCTCGACGATCATGTTGAGGATGCCGTTGTTCTGGTCGGCGAAGAGGGGGATGTCGTGGAAGGGGGAGACGACATTGCCACCCTGCTCGATGAAGACGCGGTGGTCTGATCAGAGCAAGCATCATAAAGAAATAGTGAATGGAAGTGAGCACTGTGTACGAGGGCAAAGGGCTAAAATTGGCGAAGGGGATTGTGTACGCACCGAGGGTGTTGGGGGCACCAACGACGCGAGTGCTGTATTCTGCTGGGAAAGAAAGGTGAAATTAGCGGGCGAAATTGCGGGCGGTGGGGGTGGAGGACTGACGGGAGGCCATGGTGGTTGCAGTAGAGAAGAGACGGGCGTGGAGTGCAAGGCGACGGGCAGCTGCCGTTGACATCGACCAAAGTCAGGCTCAGAACATCGCGAGATCAGAACGCCGCGATTATCATCACGCCTCGCCTAGATAATTCCGCAAGCAGATCTGATAATGATCACTCGACGCCCTATTATTTTACGCTTCTTTCGGCGCAATTTCACGACAGCAAACAGCACGTTCGCGGACGATGATACAAACAACATACACAGTCGTACAAAAAGACAAGCTACGCCAAGCCACCCTGCCGTAAAATATCCTCTCTAGTTCCCATAGACGCCTCCACCTTCCGCTTCGAAAACTCTCCGTTGAAATCCAGACGAAGTAGCAAACGTTCGACATGCCGCCGCACCTCACCCTCACCCTCCAATCGTTTATCCTTCAGCCGTGTGGTTGTCTGCTGTGCGAAGAGTGACGCGTTGATAGTGGTGCTGAGCACAGACCTGGACGCATCTCCACGTCCGGCAAATGTCTGTTGAGACGTCGAGAGCGAAAGTTGCTCGTAGAAGGTTTCCAGCAAAGTCTGAAGGGTCTGTGATGCACAATCGCAATCTCGTGTTAGTATATGTATGGTGAGAGGGGAATCTACATACCTCGTTGATCTCAGCCACAACACCCCACCGTTCTTTCACCATCTCGCCTACTCTATTTCCACCCTCCGACAAGCTTCCCTCAAACAGCAACGCAGGCAGAACATCACCTCCCCACCGTTCAACCTGCGCCACGAACTGCTCACATAATTCGAATATAGGCCGTATGATGGCCGTAAGTGTCGGATTCGAGAGCAAGCTGCCCGTCAGAACGCGCTCCAGGTAGCTCGTATGCAACAACCGCAGAGTCGTGAAATCCAGCACTGGCGTCGAACTTGCAGCAGCTGCATCCTGAACGGACGTCTGCGATGCAACCGGTGGGACACCCGCACCTCTGCCCTGGTCTCGTTCCGTAATCGTAGCGGATCGCTGGCGTTCTCGTGGTGTCTGTCTGTCCGTTTTGGACTGTCCCAAAAGCCGGTTGAGCCGTCGAAATTCGAAGTCTACGACGTCGGTCATGACATAGGACAGTAAGTTGTCCAGAAACCAGCTCATCACCCTCACCACACCCCATCCACACCTGAGTAACCCTCTCCGATCCTCTAAATCCTCATCCGTCCCACCTTCGCCTAGTCCTGTCCACCGCCGTCGTGCTCGTTGCGCATTCGAGAGAGAAGTCCAGCATTTGTGTATCTGTGCGTGAGTTTTGCGTAGAGAGGAAAGATAGGAGAACAGAGCGCCGTATATTTGGAGGTCGGCCGGTTGGAGGAAGAGGTCGAGCGGCCATTCGACTGTATAGAGAAGGTGGAGCGGTGTTCCTAGTAGGAGATCGTCGAAAGTGGTTTCTTCTCCGTCGGTGCTACCGATCGAAGCTGCCATGTTTCTGGATCTGCCGAGGGATGGGAGAAGAGGTCGAAGTGGGCCAGAGGGGAGATGGAAGCGAAGATGTGATAGAGAGGGGTCGTATTGTGCGGTTGTGCCGAGAGATGCTCGAAGTAGAGCGAGATGCAAGTCTTGTTCCCGAATCATGGTGGATGGACCTGACCGTGCGGTCAGCCGAGAGAGCTTAAGTCTTTCAATCTCGGTGATCAACGATAGGCTGAACTCTCCATTGCGGATGAGGAAATAATTCGCTCTGTTCGGTATATCAGTCTCTTCGTTGCGACAATTGAACATGGGATAGGGACGAAGAAAACGCACAATGAATGGACGGCGTCCTCGACGTCCTTCTGCGTGAGCACATTTAGCCAGAGCCACTCGCTCATGTCGGTTCTGATCTGCGCTATAACTTGGTCGAATGCGTGCTGATCCTCGACCAGGACGCCTTCGAGAAGCTTAGTGTGCTCGACTGCCAGACTCCGCGGTGGCTGCTCCTGCCAATTTGCAGCCTTAACAGTTCCGAGGGCACGTCCGACGTATGTGATCGAGTTCGACGACTGCACGGAGACGCATGAAGGTATTGATCCTTCTAGCAGGGTGAAATCCTTGGAAGCAATAGGCTCTGTGGGAGATACAGTGCCATGGACGAGGAATGCAATAAGCTGTGTCCTCCAGACACGTTGAACAGCCGTGGAAAGTCGTTTCATTATGGAAGCTATTCGATGCGTGCCTGTAGATGAACGCAGAAGTAACAGGTCTATCAACGGACCAGGCTTCCACTCCGTCTGCGATTGGAGCTGAGTGAGAAGAGACTCCAAGGCAATGAAAGGTGCGTCCCACTCTGCGAAAGCTGCCCGGATGGAAGATACTGGCACAAATGAGCCGCCGGCGACGAGGGTGGAATCTCGTTTCAAGACTTTGGCCTCTGTGGCGACGACCTGGGCCTCATAGTCATCCTTGAGGATCTGATTGAGCGTGGAGCACAGTGCACAGATATAGCGTGAGTGTGAGCGGGATAGTGATTGTGTGATTTGCTTGATCTTTTGGTATCTGAAGGCTATTCGCCCGAGGGATTCGATGCATTGACGTTCTCCGGGATGTAACAGGGGCTCGAAGGCGGGATGGATATTGTGGTCCTTAGGGAACAACGAAGAGGAGTGACCAGCGAGAACAAGAAGGATCTCTGCAATCATGATGAAGTGGAGGAGCAATGGTTCGTAGTCGACTACTTATTCCCTGCAATTTGCAGTTTGTGTGGCCGAGCTTTGTGGCGTGGGGGGTATCACAGGGCAAACTAAGGCAAAGCTAGAGCATGTTCAGGTTCTTTCCGCAATCACCGCATAGTCCCTACTCGGCGCACCTTTATGGTATAAACTAGCATAAGCTCAGACGCCTCCCGAACTGTCTCGAGTTGTGGTCCGCGTCGTTGGTGGTGGTGTCGAAGACGCGACTTGAACGCGACTATCGACGCGACGGCGACGGCGCATCACGTGGATTGACGGTGGTGAAGGCGCTGACGGCTTTCGAGGTATACTTTTAGCTCGATTCTCACTCTCCTCGACCACACACAACGCGATGTCCGCCGACGACGACTGGGAGGGGGAACATGGTGCCGTCGTCGCACAGCGTGTCGCCAAAGCACCTGCGAGCACATTCTATCTCGACGATGCCTTCTCGGACGGCGAGGACGTCGACCCAGTCGGCTTCGAGTTCTCCTCGGCGGCCATACGAGCGGACCTTGTCCTTAACCTCGCTCCGTCCTACGATGAGCGGGAGGAAGAGGACCTACAGGTGCACGACCCGGGCACTCCGTCCGCACATACTCCTCCCGCCACCGACGCATCCGTGTCTACGATTGGCATCAATGCGGTACCAAGTCCTACCCATGCTCCGTCGGAATCTCAGTCGACTTCCTATTATACTGTTCCTTCACCACCTGATTCAAACTCTACTCGTCATTCGCCACCAGAACCGCCTTCTCGACAGCTGTCTACTATGTTCGACCAAATATCTCTGTCAGGACAGAATAGTCCTCGGTCACCTACTCCGCCTCAGGATGTACCCCCAGATGTAATAGAAGAGCAGTCGCCACAACGTACGTCTTCTCCAGAGAAGAGCCCGACGCCCGAGATGGAGGAGGAGGACGAAATTACATCACCGGTCCATGAGTATCCCATCGTCCACATCGACGCTTCGGAACCACAGCCTGCAACAGTACTACCGGTCGTCGCAGAAGATCCTTCTACTTCATCACCTCCCCCTTCCGACGCCTCTCACTTATCTGTCATCCCGAACGGAGGTACACCAGGTAAAGACGGACCCTCGCCAAAGGCTGTCTCGACACCATCTCTCCCCATGCCTCCTCCTAGTCCCTCAACACCGCCTCGGCCATCTTCGAGTCATCGAACTACGCGTTCGCTAGGCCCAAGTGCGTTGGAGAAGGTCATCAGTAAGACAAGGCCAACGTTTTTACCCCCTAAGAATAGAGAAGAGGATAAGAGGCACCTAGCAGATTGGGAGCATATGATGAAGCGTAGTCATGCCGCTGGTACGTCCATGAATCGACTCACGAGTGCTAAATACTACTCGCTCACCGAACATAGAGGAACAGAGACGAAAGTCTTTGCAGGCCCGGCGATTAGCTCGAGAACGCAAGGTTGAGGAGTCGCTACACTTATGGGAAAGAGAGATCGTACCCGACTGGCGAGTAGTCAACCGGAATCCTGCTCTGAGGAAACTTTGGTGGAACGGGATACCCACAAAGTTGCGCAGTACGTTATGGGAGCGGGCTGTCGGAAATCCTCTCGCATTAAGCAAAGGTAGAATAGTCATCCCATGTACTATCTCATTGTACCGCGCTGACTTCACTGTCATACTTGTTGCAGATACTTACCGACTATGTCTCGCTCGCGCGAAGCGTGCACTTGCCGCAGGAACGTTCCCAACAACTACTATCGCACTCGTGGAAGAGGATGTTGCCAGCACGCTTCCATCTCTTCACATATTTCTGCCAGAAACGGGGCCTATGTATGAAGACCTCAAAGACATGCTTTTTGCGTGGGTCGTCTCTCGTTCGGACGAAGGTCTGGGTTATGTGAAGGGTGTGGCGAGGATAGCCGCAATGGTGCTTCTCAACATGCCTGCGCCACAGGGGTTCATCTTGATGCGAAATGTGCTCGAGCGACATTGCATGCGCGCGTTCTACGGGGGAATGGCGACGAAAGATGATGTCAGTAAGCGAGTGACCTCCACCCTATCTTTTGTCTTTCAGCTAACGAGCCCCCCAGGTTGAAGCCTACTACAGGTATTGCACATCGATTAATTCCCCTCCGTGCAAAGGCTTACACGCTATCCAGAATATTTGACACCCTCTTAGCTGACGGGATGCCCAAAAGTATGTCATTTCCCCAAGTCTTTCTCATCGCCATTCGACTGAGCGTCCAAGTTCACCGGTGCCTTCTTGCCATATAGTCTACTTCAACTTTAAACAACACCAGATAGGACCATCCGCGTATCTTCCGGGGTGGCTCGTTCCGCTGTTTTTGGATCACCTCCCGTTCGAGGCTTGCGCTCGTGTGTGGGACGTGCTCCTCCTGGAGGGCGACGCTTTTCTGTATAGGGCCGCGCTCGCGATTCTCGCTGTCCTTGAACCGAGGCTGTTCTTCCCTGATCGACAAGAGCTCTTGGAGCTTTTACGGTATGTGTTTTTCCTTGCTCTTCTTTCCCCTCGTTCGCCCCCCTATACTCACCTCTCAACCGACAACCGTCTGCGATGGATGTTGACTATATACAGTGGCGAGAACAAAGCCGCGATCGAAGTCGCAAAACGAGAAGGCCGACCCTTAGACGGCGGCAAGTATGAGATATACGGCGTGGACGAGGAGACACTCTGGGACAGGATCATGAACATGGATGATTGGTGGAAAGAGAGTACGTGGAAGAGACTGTTGCAGAGAGAGCTGCCGGATCTGTGATGAGTAATTCTAACTCGGCCGCCCATCGTTCAACATCGACAACGCACGGACAATTCTCGTACCGCACTGTTCCAGTTATCGTTAATTTGCCTGTTGTACTTCAAGAGCGCTTTTACTTATTGGCATTGTTACCTTCGTTCGTTCGTTCGTCGTCGTCGTATGCGGCATATGACCACGGACTTTAGATCTGTTTTCGTACATATTTATTGATCTCTCTTCACCGTCGAGCACGTTTCTTCGTCATTGATAAGCCTGAGCACCTCCAAGACGACAGACAAGCAGAAAGGTATTACTCAATTGAGCCCCCAAGAACCAGAATGCGACAATAAAGATATACGAAGAAGCAGGACCACACAACACGACTGATCATTCATCTCGCATCAACCCCACCATCACTATCCCCACTGACCCCCTCATCCTCCTCCTCATTCTTCCTCCAAAGAGCATACATCTTCCGCCTATTCGAATCCCTCGTCTCCTGATCACTCGCGACCGCAAAGAACGCCTTCAACACCCCCTTCCTCAACACCGTCCTTTCCAACGTCCCCTCCTCCTTCGGGTTCACCAAACAAGAATGTGTCGCCACATTGGCGTAGTCGGAATCGGATATGGTGAGCCGGAGTCGTTTTCGGGATGGTGGGGCGTCGGAGTGCGGTGGCGAGAGGGATTTGAAGAGGGGGTCGAAGACGGAGGATTGGATGCGTTGGTAGGTGTGGTTGGAGATCGTGCGGGCTGCGAGGGTGAATAGGGGAGAGAACAGGGTGGCGAGTGGCACGGGGAGGAGGTCAGAATTCGGTTCTCCTTCTGCTTCTTCTTCGTCCGAAGAGGAGTTTGTTGGTTTTGAGCGGGGAAGGGGGGCGAGGACTTTATCGAGTTCTTCAAGGTAGATGTCGGAGATATGGTAGGAGAGACTTGCGGGGACGCGGCTGTCATTCGGACTTTGATGATGTTAGACGAGTATATATACGAGATGGAGGAGATTGGAACGTACCATAGCGGGCCACCAGTGCAGGTGAGGATGTCATTGTACTCTTGACATGATGCAGAACTCCATCCGTCACGCATCAAGAGTCGGAAAGAGGCATTTACGAAACGTCGGATGAGCATGTAGTATTTGTCAATTCTGGACACCCATCCCGGTCAGCAAAGAGCCAAATGTACGGAAAAATAAGGTCAGGGCACACCTCAATCTGTCAATTCCTGACCATTCCCTGACGGTCATCTCCCAGAAACCACGGAGGAATGCGAGCGACGAGGATGTCGATTTGACGGAGAGGAGGATCTCTGCGAGTTCTGAAGCTAGAGCTTGCTGCACCAGTGGCTTATCCGACATCCAAAAGCCTGGAAAACTTGTAAATACAAGCACTATGCAGTGCTCAAGAACTGGACCAACGCACAGTAGAATACACCCTTCCATAGTTTTGTCATGTCATTTTTGGAAATTGTGGCGGCAGGGTCAGAGATGAACGAAGAGAGACTCTTAATAGCCTTGTCCCGCGTCTTCTTGTCTAGATTTTCCAGTCAGAAGAAAGCTTCATAAGAGTTGAGGTAGACTATACCAGTAGACGCGAGATATTTTCCGAGAGGAGGAGCTCCAGACGTTGAGGAGGATGCAGCAGCCATGAGCGAACACTTTCTCACTTCCCTCATTCTCAAGCATTTTACGGAGTGTTCGGCAACCGCCGTCCAACCACACAGCGCCACCGACGAAGGCGCCACACCCTCACACCCTTTTTATTGGTGAGATACTTGCGAGATCCATAGGTTATTCCATATCGCAGAGTAGTCCCTCCTCGAGTGAGAAGCTAACATAGATGCATATAGTACTACAGCGTCTCGACCACCACCTCAACCTGCTCATATTTAACAAGTTCTTACTATCCCTGACTAAGGAGAAATGACCTACACGAGACTACGAGTATTATTCGAATGCACGACAGCCAGTCCTCCGGATGCTTCTTTCTCAAAACACTGTACATATGTCAAAGAGGTAGCGGCCCCTTCCCCTAGAATACATTGAAGCTCAGATCTTCGACAACCAATTGCATGACCGGTCCCAATTCCATCGACCTGCGACAAGACAAAGTCAGCATTACATATCCATCGTCTACGAGTTAAAATATGGTTGAATAGACGCACGATGGATACATAGTTCACGATTTGTTCGCTCCTAGGCAAGTGCAAGCGTGTCTAGATATCGGCTTGCCAGACGTACAGATGTGATCGGTGCAGAGCGTTCACGACGAGAAATGAGCATATCGGAGAGATTCTGTCGGAAACTATCACTCTCAAAGAACTGGAGAGCTTCCTCTTTTTGCTGATCCAACACATTTGTCGTCGAGGGGACAGCATTGAATGTGCCATTAAATTCGAGGCTGAGTTCTAACGTTCGTAGCTTCGGAAGTATGACAGCCGCGCTGTCGGTCATGCTCGGTGGCCTTGACCGCAGAGCAGCCAGCATGGTTTCCATTGCCAGGTCTTCGATACGAATGCTGAGGCGGTCGACCTCCGGCATGGTCAAGAAGAGCCGCCTCCAAGTTTCCTCGTGCATGATCTGCGATACTGATTTTTTGACATTGATGGAAAGCCAGCGAACGGTGTCCGCCTGAGTATGCGTAGAGACGTCGGCCATATGTGCTAGAAAATCGGCTTCGTCGGGTACGTCTTGGAGAGAAGCTGCTATTTCAATGTCGAAGGCAAAGGAACGAGGCACATTGTCTGTCACAGACAGTCTGGATCCTCGGACGCCAATGAAGTTGCGTACGTCGACATCCCCATCGGGGAAGGCCCGTGTATAACGAAGGTCTAGCAGAGGGTTGACGCTCGCTGGGTAGCCGATGATATGGGAGCCCTCCATGGAGAGACTGATGAAGAGGCTTGTGAGGGGATCGTCCCTGTCCACGCAGTTGAATTGACCATACACAAAGTCGGGTGTCCGACTGGTGGACATCGTGCCATCTAATATGATGTGGCGTGAAGAGGCGAGTCTCTCCGTAAGACGTCGCATGGCTATCTTGGGTAGGTCAAATACAAAGAGTCGTAAGGGCAGTACAACAGTATCCTCCGGATACGCAATAGAATCATGTGGTGTATCGTTCACCACTCCGACTAGCGCGAGGCTCGTCAGAGAGGGCGATGCTGCGAGAACCATGAGGGTTTCTTCTACTGACCACGAGCGCGGATTGGATGTGAATTCTAGATGGAGCCAGTTGAGATGGCGGAGGAGTGGGAACGTAGGCTGGGCCCCAAGCTCCGTCCTCAACGTGAATCTACGAAGCTTGGGAGCAATACCACCAAAGAGGAGCGGATTTAATTCCTCTTCGTAATGACGAGCAGAGAGATAGAAGGTATGCAGCATGGGTAGTTCTTTGATGAAGCTTTCCAGGGACTCTTCCAATCGCCAATGACCCTGGCGAACACCGTCTCGTATGTTGATTTCATGTACACGTGCTATATCCCTGGAGGTCGTTGCTGCCAGATGCGTCGAAAGAGAATGTAAAACAGAAAGAGAGGTATACGTTCTAGCGAAGGGGTTGTTATTCCTGAGCGCTTTGATGGAGATGGGTAGGTCCTGAGAGAAGCTCAGAAGTCGGTCGATCCACCGAGCCTCGATATGGTGGCATGATATGGTAGTCCACAGCTTTGGACTATTCATCACGACATTGTACCACTTTCGGCAGACCAGCATTACGAACGACCAGCGTAAATCGCCTGGAGGAAGTGTATGAGTCACGTATATGAAGATTTGCGCGAGCAGCTCGAATGGCAAGGGTGAGCAGTCTGTCGCTCGAGTCAGATTTGGCTCCATCTTGATTTCGGGCTGTCGACCACAAGGAACAATGAGCCCTACGACAATCTTTTTTAACGAATTTTAGGCTTACTGTGGTGTACTTCGGTACGAATGAGATCTGAGAAGATGGCAGAACGGCGGTGTTCATCGAGGGCAATGACTCGGAGCGCTGTCGGTCGTTCACTGCGATTGAAATCAGCATCATCGTTGCTGCGAGCAGCGTTCGTCGCCCTAGAGCTTACGCTCCATAGAGTACAACTTTATGACAAGGTGATTATGGGAGGTACCTTCTATGTCACTATAGACAGGGGAGAGCGGATAGAAGAAACGTTAACTTGGAAGAAACTGAACGATGTGGCGGAAAGGAAATGCGTCCGGTAAGCGCCGGACAACTCAGGTTCGCCACATAATGATGCCTTTGAGCTCTACTTGCAACTTCACGAACTATCATTATGTTTGTTCGCATTCACTGCCACTGTTTGACCCTGACATCATCTCTATAATGTTACATGCAAGCAGTATGACGAAGAGAGTGGCAACAGCCTAGAATCCGCGAACCTGACAATTACCCAACGTGATTTGTCTCTGAAAGGCAGAAGCAGGCTGCCATTGCGGCAGGATTACTGAGGTTACATCTTACCCTCTAACCATCATGTCTAAGTCTCCCATAACTTGCCACGGTCAGTACCCCCATCCTCTGTATTTATTCTCTTTGCGATCATGATGTTATTCTCTCCTAGTCCTCGACTCTTCCCTCGGAAAGCCTGCGGCCGGTGTGCAAGTGCATCTGCAACAATGTCATCCTGAAGCATTTGACGGGGCACCAGTTGTCTGGGAACCTGTCGCAAAAGGGTGCGCACCAGCATGAATTATATCAGACCATCTAATTTATATTCTTTGTTTCTCCGACCTTGTGATAGTGTGACCGACTCGAACGGGAGATGTTCAGACCTCTGTACCCCAGCTGCCGGTGCTGAAGGTGACGCGAAGAAATTCGAACTCGTGGCGGGACGGCTTTATAAGGTCGTGTTCAAGACGAAGGAATATTTCGATCGAAGCGGTGGGCGAAAATGTTTCTACCCTTGGGTGGAGGTGAGTGGCGGTGATATGTCTATCGTCATACTTGTGCTGAGGCGTAGGTGGTAGATTCCATTCGAGGTCGTGAACCCGGACGAGCATTATCATATCCCTTTGCTTCTCAGCCCGTACTCGTATACGACATACAGAGGCAGTTAGACATGGACCAAACATGGCTATCACGTACGACATGTATCAGGTATTAGCCTGCCTCGTTTATCGGCACAAACTACAACAAACCCGCGTGTGTATCAACTCATACAATTGTGGTAAACGTATTCCGTGTGCTTCTACGCACGCTTTGCTATTACGGATATATGGGGTCTACATAGCTAGCTACTCCCAAATACTCTATGCGCACGTCGTATGAGGTGGAAGGACAGGAAGATACATAAGCGCAGATACGAAAGCAAAGTGACAATATGTGTGGTTCCTAAGAGGAAGGATATGTGCAGGAGAGATACAGCGATGGGACAGTGTGGATATAATGGAGTGTGGCAAGGTACAAACGTGTAGGTGGGTGGGTCCAGGGTACAGATGGGTGGCGACTATCATTTCGCGAGTACCTTGGCGTATTGGACACCCTTGATGTTGCCGCCTCGCATGGAGTTTTGTACGTTGTATACAAATTGCTCTCGGTTTCGCCTCAATTCCTCGGCTGCCTCTGTAGAGCAAGTTAGTCTTACCCAAGTGATATGGATCAGTAGATAGTACCCGAACGCACCTTTATTCAATGGGTCGTCTGCGTTTGGCTCTAAGAATAGGTACTGCAGCCCCACCATCACCGAGTTCAAGTTCAGCACTGGCTTCCAGTCCTCTCGCAGAATGTTCAGACAAACGTTTCCCTCGAGGTCGACGTTTGGATGGTAAATCTGTGACGAAAACACAATGACAAAGAGAGCAGAACAGATGTGGCGATGGGACGTACAGTTTGTGTACACTTGACCTTCGGTGGGTCGTGTGGGTAGTTGGGGTTGATCACAAAGGAGAACACAAAGGCACCACCCTTGTACATTCCTGAACGGTAAAGGTAAAGTGAAACCGTCGCATAGGTGGAAAGAAATATTACCGTACCCTCGTCAGGTGTGATGGTGAGAGTGAAGTTGAGGAGATCAGCAGGATCTGGGAAGTGTGTGGTCATAGTTGACGGTAGATCAAGCTCAGTAAGATCTACAGAGAGAACATTAACATCTACATGCAATTCGACGCGTACAAAATAGGACACACCCTTCTGGACGCGAATCTGCGCCGCACTGGTCTTTGGCTTCTTCTTCGCAGCCGCCTCTTCATTCTTCTTCATACTCCAGATCTGCCAGGAAGCTGAGCAAAATTAACTCTTCGATATGATACAGGCATACCTTGATCATTGTGGCTGATGGTACGGTCGAGAGAGTATAGAAAGGTCGTAGCTTGGTAAGTGCGAGTCGCGGTCGAGAGTCAGAATGAGTGGCAAGGGTGCGGACCGCCACTCGCGCGCTTCACGCGTTTCGGGCCTCGGCACTGACCGCGATAAGATCAAGATTGGTCAGCTGATTCCCACGGCGGTAATCCTATAAAGTTGATCGTAGTCCAATTTCCCCTGTCCCCTCCACCATCCAACTCTTCCCATCGTATATATCCCCCCAACCTGAAAACATAATGTCTAACGTCTTCGTGAGTGCTGTCACTTTCGCCTTTGTCCCTTTTGGTCCTCGCTGTGACACTATTTTTGCATCGTGCTCCACGGGCTCCCAACTGGGCGGGACGAGATGTACTGATCGATATACAATTTTCGTGCATTCTAGTTCGACATCTCCATCAACAACCAGCCCGCAGGGCGCGTCGTCTTCAAGCTCTACGACGATGTTGTTCCCAAGACCGCTAAGAACTTCCGTGAGCTCTGCACAGGCGAGCACGGCTTCGGCTACAAGGGCTCTTCGTTCCACCGCGTCATCCCCAAGTTCATGCTCCAGGGTGGTGACTTCACCAAGGGCAACGGCACTGGTGGAAAGTCCATTTATGGCGAGAAGTTCGCTGGTCAGTTCTTGCGCACACTCGTCGCCATCTCAGCCACTGATGGGAAGGACCCCATTTGATGTCTAGACGAGAACTTCCAGTTGAAGCACACCAAGCCCGGTCTCCTTTCCATGGCCAACGCTGGAAAGAACACCAACGGCTCGCAGTTCTTTATCACCACCATCGTCACTTCTTGGCTCGATGGCGCTCACGTCGTCTTCGGTAAGTCGCCACTCGTGATTTGCTCCACTTCGGGCGCTAACTCCGCCGTTCTACTTCTGCAGGCGAGGTTGTTGAGGGCTATGACATCGTCAAGAAGGTTGAGAGCTACGGCTCCCAGTCCGGCACGACTTCTGCGACGATCACCATCGCCGACAGCGGAACCGTCTAGAGAGCTCTCATTCTCCATTGCATTGGTTCTTCGCGGAGCCACACATGTCTTTATTTCGTCACTAAGCATGGAGGGGGAAGAAAAAGAAAAGAAAGCAGTATATTGTCGTACGTTGTACAAGTAGCGGATCTCGTAGCATGTTGTATGTGTTGTATCGAAAAGGACAATCGATGGTAGCATGTGATGGGTGTATATTTTCTGCCCCGGCTGTGAGTCCGGGGACCGGAACAGCCTCAGATAGTCGTCATGAGAAGGCTCGAGCGCGAACTTCATTCAGCCATCATCCAGCCTCTTTCTTGCTTTCTTGAACGTGCATCTTGTGCCTAGCCGGCTGTCCCCATCGATAACCCCGTCCTTTAAGTTTCCGATTCTTGGGAACTGTGACTATGGTGCAAACGGCTTAGACGCCGCCACTTCTGTACACAACGTTGAGGACGGTGCCGCGGGCCGAGATTTGAGAATTTTCACTATCCCTCTTCCAGAAACACTCCTTTTGATGTAAGGAAGAGTTCCTCTAGAGGGATTATCCAAATTCTCAAAACTGGCAAAGATGAACTTTTGGATTTGGCCACCCCGCCAAATAATAATATTTAATTCATTTGTTTATTATTTTCCGAAAACCAAGGGGGGTGCCAGGAATTTTCTTTCAATAAATGGGGATTTCGACTTTCGCCGACGAAATTGGCCGCTGTACAAAAGTGGTGATGACTAAGCCGTTTGCACCATAATATACTCCTGGCGGTGGCACCCTGTGAAGTCGCGTCGCTGTTTTACCTTCAACTGAGACTACTGTAGCAAACTCGAAGATGGCCAATGACTCTGACTTCGCTACTCTGCCTATTGTCGACGTGAATCTCTTTCTATCCGGTTCCTTGGAATCGGAAGAGGTAGTCCAGGAGTGCAAAAAGGTAGGCAATATGCCACAAAAATACTGCGCGCCACAGCACGTTTGCAAACTCGCCGTCTCTGATTGCTCCCCACATTTGCCGCCTAACCACACTATTCCCCCGTCTGTATACGGTCTTGATCATCTAGGCTGCCGATGCACTGATCAAGTATGGTGCCCTGCTTGTACGCGACGAACGCGTTTCCGAGGACGACAACACTACCTTCCTCGATGTGCTCGAGGACTACTTCGCCCAGCCCCAAGCAGATCTCAAGCGCGACGAGCGTCCGGAGCTTTCGTATCAGATCGGTGTCACCCTCGAGAATACAGAGAAACCGAAATGCGCCGTCGACGAGCCTTGTCTGGATGTTATTGCGCGTTTGGACCCAGCGGAGAGGCCGCTCGATATAACGGCGCACAATCCTGATCCGAAATGTCGATTCTTTTGGAAGATGAGCGAGAGACCGCCGTATGAGACGAAGTTCCCGGGGTTAAACGCACCGAATATCGTGCCACAGGCAAGTGCGATACGAGAGAGATGGACGCCGACTATGGCGAAGTGGGGGACTTCCATGAAGGATGCGTACGTATCAAACTTTCTCTCTGCTTCGATATCCGTCGAGTCACTGATTAGCGAATCCTTTCTACCGCAGTGTTCAAGCTTTGGCCCAAATGTCAGCTGTCGGACTCGGGCTGTCCAAAGACGCCTTTACGGATGCTGGTCGATACGGGTCTGTCCATTTATACTATTCAATCTGTACAGCTCTCTAAACAGTCATATCAGTCCACATATTCTCGCTCCGACCGCATCTGATCTCAACCTCTACGGAAAGAAAGACACCATTTTGGCCGGTTTCCACACTGACCTCAACTTCCTGACCATTCATGGCCGCTCTCGCTATCCTGGCCTTCATATCTGGGCTCGTAACTCAGGTAAAAGGATCCCAGTGAAGCTTCCTCCAACCGGTCCGTACCTTCTCGTACAAGCTGGGAAACAGTTGGAACATCTGTCCGGAGGTTTAATCAAGGCTGGGTACCACGAGGTCGTCGTGAACGATGCGACCATCCAGGTAATTGATGTCCGCTCTCTTCGTTATCTGTTCGGCTTGTGACGAGTGGTGCTCAATTACCGTTCCGCGAGTATAGACCATCGAGAGACGAAAGAAAGAATTCACCGACCGCCCGCTCATCCGAATCTCTTCGACCTTCTTCTGGCATCTATCTTCTGATTACGACCTCGCACCCATCTCATCGCTGGAGAAACGCGCCCAAGAGATCAGGCTCCAGGAGGTCAATCTTGGAAAGATAGATCGCGTGAAGGAGACGCGGTACGAGCCCATGAAGGTAGGGCAGCAGGTCCAGAAGTATGTATCTCGCCTTCGCTTTGACTAAATTTGTACCGCTCACTGATCTTCCTGGCTTCAGTGAATTGAGGCACATTGCTCTCATGGCTTAGACCCACGCGACTCGCGGGATGCTACATGCCTGAAGGTCAGGACGCGGTCAACGATATCCATTCAGGGTTTTGTGCAATTTGTACGGTATTCAGGGATTCTACATGTAATGCTACAGGAAGGGGTGTAAATCAAGGTGTCAAGTGCAGGTTGAATGCAATTATAAGAATATGCAGGTTGAATGCGATGAGTATGATCTATGTACGTATGCAAATGCCAGTTGAATGTGGGGAAGGTTGCACGTTGAATGCAAAAAGTAACTATATGCAATAAAGATAATAAAAACGAGTATTAGGGCCTCACCACGCCCAAGAAAAAAAAACTTGAGGCTGTGGGGTGCGGGTCAGCGTTACGACTGACTCGTCGTTCGTGGTGCAACGGATGAAAGTCTCCGGCACGACCGCACCTAAGACGCCGCACTCTCGAACGTCCGCAAAACAGACTGCAGCTTGACCACCATCTCCTCCCACTCCGCATCCGGTTCAGAAAGCGCAGTGATTGCTCCGCCCGCGCCAATCGTCCATTCCTCGAGCCCTTCCTGCGCATCACTGGGAGCAGCGGCCGTAGTAGGCGTGTTAGGTCCGTCATCTTCGTCATCGTCATCGGAGGTACCGAACCGATCGTCGTGCTTGAAGCAACTGCGTATGACGACGGACCAGTCACCTCCGCCACCGACGCACCAGTACCCGAACACGCCAGAGTAGATGCTGCGCGGGCCGTCTTCCAGGGTTTGTAGGATCTCAACGCTGCGCTTCTTCGGGGCACCGGTCATGCTTCCTGGAAGAATACAATAAAATCAGGCGATTATTGCGAAGACAGGGAAAACAGGAACCTACCTGGTGGAAGAGACCGTCTGAGAACTTCCCAGCCTAGCTCACCCTCACTGTCGAGGTCGGTTGCACCAGACGCGTCCTGCGTGGACTGTCCTTCGATGACACTGACCATCTGCCACACAGTCTCATATTCCTCAATGGCACAGAACTGCTTGACCGTGACATCATCGCCAACTACACCGTGAAGGTCGTGGCGAATGAGGTCTACAATCATCAAGTTCTCCGCGACCTCTTTAGGACTGCCGGTCAAAGCTTTCTCCGCCACCGCGCGGGTGATACCTGGACCTTTGCGAACGGTGCCCTTGATCGGCCGTAGCTGACATTTAGTAAAAGGAGGCCTAGAGAAGGAAAGGAATCGTTCTGGAGAAGATGAGACGAGTGTGCTGGGGTGAAGACGAAGGTAGCCAGAATGTGGCGCTGGGTTTTGGGACTGCAGGAGTTTGTAGAAGTCCCATGAGGATGATGGAGAAGACAGTGACCGTGCGGATGTGCTGATAGTGGTCGGTGCCGTGAGACAGAGTTCGTAGGAGTTTCCGACGAAGAGGTGTTCCTTCGCCTGCGTGATCCGGGATTTGTACAGAGCCTCGTCAGGAAGATTTATGATAGGCTTTTTCTTGAAGATTGGTGGGATTCGTGTTGGCGGATAGGGCTGTTTGAGGGCTGCATCGGACAACCTAGAAGCCATGTTTGTACACCACGCTTGATCGTTTGGCTTTATGGACTGTATATAGAGCTTTCCGGTGGACTTGTCGAGTACGATACTTCGATCCACAAAGACAAGGTTCAGATCAGGACGGTGTCGCCGCCTGCGAGCTGTTGGGATGGAAAGCGTGTCGACACCGAGCTCATAACTGAGATATCCAACGAGACCACCCCAGAAAGGTATCTCTGGGGCACCTCCACGAGCTTTTCGACATCGCATGAACGACGCAATCCAGGACCAGGAGTCATGGTGCCCCAGGCTTTCTCGATGCCATTCACCACCTGTGAAAACGCGGACGTGTTTGTGGCCTACACTGTAGGTTATGCGTAGAGAATCGGTGGACACTGCGCCGATGATGGAGAACCGACCCGGTTCGGCAGCGGATTCTAGTAAAACAAATGGCGATGACTCGTCGGTCGCTCCAAGAAGATCGCATGCGCGGTGAAGTGAAAGTGTGGGTAATTCTAAGACTGTGGTGATCACGGTCGGGGAGGAAGATCCTGAAGGAGTGCTGGGAGGGGAGTGAGGACGGAGGTAAGGCCAAGTAGGTCCGACGATGCGAGTGAAGGAAAGGTCCCAGGGATGGAGGTCACGTCCATGAGCACGATTCCAGGTCTTCGCTAATCTCCAGAAATTCTGCAGGACTTCTAATCCTCCTCCTGTGGTACGGACCGACTCCGGATGGTATTGAACAGCCCAGAAGGGCTTGGAGGTATGCTTCACAGCCATAACGACCTCGCCGTTTTCTGTCCCATCGTCTGCCCATGCCAACTGTTCTACCTCACCACCCTCCTTTAGTACGACGTGCAGGGAGTGATAGCGAACGGCGAGTGCGTCTCCCACGCCTTTGAAAAGTTCACTGCCGCCGTGGTGGATATGGGAAATCTGGCCATGCTTGACGACGTTCAATCGTTTCAAGCGCGCACCGTAGGCCAAAGAAAGACTTTGAAGACCAAGACAGACTCCGAATATGGGTATCATGATGTCGCTGGTCAATCCCCATAGGTGGTTCAATATTCCGACGTCAGAAGGATTGGCTGGAGAACCGGGTCCTGGTCCGACGATGATGGCAGAAAGATGCGGAAAAACGTGAATAAGATCGTCGTATGAGATGGCGTCGTTTTTCACGATATAGACATGGCAATTGGGTATGGCTTTTCGACATAAGGCTGCAAGACTACCCGTAAGTTAGAGTGGGCACGATGAGGGTAAAAAGTCTAAGGCGCACTTGTAAGTGAAGGAGTCGTATGAGTCAATAATCAAGATAGAAGCATGAGACATTATGATTTACAAGAGAGGAAGAATCATGCGAGTGCAAGGGAGACCAGAAGAGCCAGCTTCAAGACGAGACTCGAGAGATATTGCAGAGATGGTGGGGGTGGGGAAAGTCAAGACGCCAAGCTTGTTCGAAGGGCTTTACAGATTTTTGGGTGAAGATAAGATTAGATTGATCGACGATCAAGTGTGCCTCTGCGCCACACTTTGCGACTTGTTTAGCGCGTTCACCAACCAGTCCCGCTTGAGTCCCGAGACTCGTCTTTGAGGTACAGCGCAGAAGATTGTACCAACTACTTAGGAAAAATGCCTGATACTTCATCGCAAGATGTGTTCAAGAAGGTAAGTCAATAACGATATCTGCTCAAAGCTTGTTGTCTGACTATGCACTTATAGCTCCAGGCAGTTTGCGTCCCTTTGCTCGAGAACTGGCAGCTCAATCCTGCCTCCGTAACACGGGCTCTGTCTCTATTGACTTCGTTGCTAGACATATTGCAGGAACAACAAATGGCCGGCGCCGTGCTATCGTCATCGCTTGTTTCCTATGCGCTCTTTCCTCTCACTTCCATCCTCCAACGCAATCCCTCTTCCGCTATCCCAGACCAGGTCATGGAGAAACTTTTGCTTTGTCTCGGTATTCTTTGCGAAAGCTGGTGGTGGGAGTGTGACGTGCGGGCTTGGGAACAGATATTCATGCTTTGTGGAGCAGTGGTCGGAGGGATCGAAGGCAAAGGAAAAGGGAAGGACAGAGATGATGAAACGAAGGATGCTGCTGTTCGCTGTCTCCATGCCTTGACGCGGGAACGACGCGAGGACGAGGATCCCCTTCTCGCACCCGGAACCATATCGCGCAGTCGTGACGTTTTGACCAAATTCCGAGTCCATACACAATCACCAAAGTTCATACCCATCCTTGGACAGACATTGAACTATCTGATCGTCACTTCTAGTTCACCACATCTGCCCCTGCAGCGGCATTCTTTGGAGGTGCTCCATAACCTCATCGCAATCTACGCGCCCGATGGTTTTGTCCCGTCCATTGTACCCGGAGTGGTCAGCACAATGACTAGGGTAGCCCTCGGCATATCCACGACTAGAGGTTGGGCAAACGGTGACATTGTTGCCGAAGCTCTGTCGATATTACAGGTCGTTGTAACTCGTTCCATCGGCGACCAAGTCTGCATCAAAGAAGGGGCCATTCGCGACGTTACCGATCTCGACGACTTAGCCAGTCTGGCGGTAGACACAATTCAGGATGCAGGACGCGACTCAGGACCATACACGACTCCTAGAACTCCAAGTTGGTTACAAGCAACCACTTCACAACTTATCATAGCTCTCAACACTTTGACACCGCTAGTATCTCACACCAATCCATCTGCTCTGCACGCATTGGCCGTCTTCTCCGCGTCCATACTGTCCGAAACCTCCCTCACCTTTCCGAGAGCACAGCCGCTCTTATTGTCATTTCTTCTATCGATCTCTAACTCGCCACACGAATCTGCCTCGGAGCAGGCGGTAAGGTCCCTGCGAGCCTTGCTGGACCCTGCTTCAGGTGCCCGCCAAACGCTACTCCAAACTATACTCCAAACAACCAAAGAAAACCTCTCATCCCTTCCTCGCCTTATTACGTCGCACTCGGATGCAAAGGTTGAGCACGTCACCGGTCAAATTGAGGCCGTTTGTCGCCTTCCATTTTATCGATTCGGCGAGAACACCACAGCGGGTGGCGCATTCGCGACGATCTCGAGAGGCGTGGGGTCGCTACTGGGACCTATGGGCGGTGTCGAAAAATGGGGATGGCGACTCCTCTCCGTATTGGAGTTCGACTCTCCTTCAATAACCGCCACTGGCGTCTCCGAGGCACAACTGATGCTCGAGAACAATGCTACAGACACCTCCATTGGGTTTCCGCACGTCAATCTACGGCATGTCGCCACACGGTCGACACAGCAATCCTTGGAACGAATGTTTCGTAGTCTAGGCAAAGCCAGCGGAGATGACGGCCTGTACTCCGTGGAATGGTTTGTCGGGGTTGGGCGTAATCGACGAGACATGTTCGCCACTGCATCGCTATGGTGCGCCTGTCGACTCCTCGAGGGAATCAGCGGCATAGATATTTATGGAGGAGACGTGCCCTCCACCCTGACTACCCCACGGAGCCGAAGGTCTCAGAAGATGGCCCGAGGGATTGCCAGGAGTATCGCGGACCTATGGGACGAAAGCGACGTCGCTGACTTCCAGGACACTCCCATTGCCACGGATAGCGAAACTCTCGAGCCGGACGCACCGGTAGAGCATGTGAGAGGATTAATTTCTCAAGCTCTAGACCCATCCCTTCGCATCGCAAAACATACCCGCTCTCTGTCCCGTCCTTCTCCCGCACAGCGTTATTTGCTTAGGGCCCTCAGCCTGCATCTTCTGAGCATAACATCCGGCATCCTTCAAGCTAAATTTACCCCTCTGTTATTGCACACTCTCTACCCGGTACTTCATTCCGTCATCTCTCCGGTTGTATTTCTGTCCACCACAGGATTAGCGGCGCTCAGTTACATCACCGCGAGTACGTCGTACGCATCTCCGGCCAATCTCCTTCTGTCCAATTTTGATTACGCCTTGGACGCTGTCTCGCGGCGACTTACCCGTCAGCTGCTGGATATCGATGCCACGAAGGTCCTCGTGGTGCTCATTCGCCTTGTCGGCCGTGACGTCGTCACTAAAGCCGGAGACGTCGTGGAGGAATGTTTTGACAGATTGGACGAATACCACGGTTATGGCGTGGTCGTCGAAGGTTTGATTGAGGTGTTGGGAGAAGTAGTGAGGGCCGTGGGAGAAGACGATGATAATCATCTGGCTCGGGAAGTGGATCCCGTCCTCGCTACATCTACCCCTCCGGATGAACAATGGCTGGAATCATTCTCGGACTGGTTTGTCCATAGGAATGATACGCCACCCGAGGAGGAGAAAGACAGCACTGATTACGGGCCAGTACCTCATGAACCATGGGGCAAGCATAGCAACCCGCCCGAGGAGGACGATGAAGCCAAGGCCCGTCAGGAACCTGATCCCAACGCTCCGCCACCTCCTACTCCTACACAAGCATTGACAACTCAAATCGTCTCTCGGTCAATATATTTCCTCACCCATTCTTCGCCCGTGATCCGAGCAAGAATCCTGGTCCTCCTCTCGACCGCAGTACCCGTTCTTCCCGAGTCAGCCTTGTTACCCTCGATTCACAAGGCTTGGCCTTTCATTCTTAATCGACTGTCGGATCCGGAGCCTTACGTCGTTAGTGCCACAGCCGGACTCGTGGAAGCCCTCGCCACAAGCGTAGGATCCTTCATGCATCAACGGGTATGGGATGACATTTGGCCACGCTTCAAGAAATTGCTCAGCACCCTCAATACTGCCGATTCTCAAAGCGCCCTTGCACGTCGGGCTCCAGGCGCCACTGGGACTGAGTCTGCTTATACCCACTCACATAGGCTATACAGGTCGGTGATGAAGACGATGACGGCTGCCATCAAGTACGTGAGGCCGCCGGATTTAGCTACTTGGGAAGCTTCCACGTTGTTTAGGCGGTTTTTGCATGCCGATGTGCACGAAGAACTACAGTCCTGTGCTACGCAACTATACGAGGAGTTGGCACGGAATAACGCTGACGCAGTATGGTTGGTACTCTCGTCGACAGAGGGGTCGGTGGAAGGGCCCGCGTCGTTCCTGAGGGAGGAGAGGTGGGATATTCGACAAAATGTTGCTCAAATATTGATATCTGTATAAATCAAATAATTCGGGTATATTGTATGTCATTTACGGTTCAAACAGTATCAGGCGGGGGTGCATGTTTTCGTAAAGCGATGCCAGCATTTTGGAAGATCTGTGCGGAGGCATCGTCCCTGATAATGATCCGAAGCAAGTGAGCACGATGGCGTAGCAATGATGACAGTTGACTTACACCTTGTAGCTGAGGTTGTAGACGACTTCCTTTACGCCTGATTGTACAATCTTGATGGTGCACGTCAGGCATGGACATCTGTGCGGCCTCCGTATGTCAGTGACAAGGTCATGATGAACTTGAGATAAAGGTGGACTGACGTGTTGCAATACAGCACGGCTCCATCGCCAATCCGATCACGGCCAGCTTCCAAAAGGGCATTCTCTTCTGCATGTAGACACAGACAGTCCTCTTTCAGAGAAGTCAGGCCATTGCAACGAGCGCAACCTCCTTCATTGCAGTTGGTAAGACCACGCGGTGTGCCGTTATATCTGGAAATAAATGGAGGTCAGTGATCGCCGATATTGTCGTCTGAGCCTATTATCGTCCACGGACCCTGTTGCCACGATCCGGTGGTTTCTCACAAGGATTGCACCGACCCTACGTTTCATACAGTTGGATCGCATAGATGCCAAAGATGCTAATTTCTTAGGAATCGCAGGTGAGATTGATGAATTACGGAGATAAGACATACGTGCGCTCACCATGAAGTAGGTGTCCCAACTGGGCCTCAGTCGATCGCCATTGAGAAGGTCAATGTCGTCAAGATATGAATGCAGAGCTGAGACAGAGTCAAATTCATTGACGATATGTATCGTCGCAAGTTTTTTCATGTTATGAAGTGCATGAGCTTCTCTCTCATCTCTTTGAACGTCTTCGGAGCCGTAGACTAGAACATCATGATCGCGGACGAAGTCTTCAAGTGAGCCCTCATAGGAACTGAACAGGCAGTTGAGAATAACATCGCAAGGTGATCCACCCGTAGACATACCTGATTGATCTCTTGAATCGTTGTAGAATGGGGGCATCGACGCCTATGAGCATGAACCAAGGCCGCTTGATGAATTTATCGAGAACATCCGTATTATTTAGATCGGTTGTGACGAAGTTTTTGGACCAATGCAATGTCACGTAGTCCAACATCTGAGATTCAAAGTCAAACAACATTGGCTCGAGCTCCGATGATCTTGGTGGTCTGTTGCTGGATGTAGGTGACGGTGGGATTGACGAGGCCAGGGAGAGGAACGAGTTTGTGGACCCAAGTACTCCATTGGATTCGTCATCTTCGAGCCCAGGTATATATCCATTTGGCCTGACCGAGGAGTAGGAGTCTGCTCGACTAGTTGACTGGGTTCTCTACGATGGTAAGAACCAAAATTAGCACATGAAAAGCGGCACGGCGAATGTATAGCAGCAAGTGGCGTCTTTACCTGGTGTCTGCGCTCGGGGTCGAGTTTGACGGGGATGAAAGCTTTGTGGTTGACGAGATAGTTAGCAATCTCCGACTTTCCGGAGAAACGAGTACCGATTATAGCAATGAACATATCAAGTACTGTAGGATCGGTAGGAACCACAGAAAGGTGATCCACGAAGATGAGAGGGATCAGAGTTGGCGTTGCGTGCCGAACGAGGACTTTGTGGCGCCCCGGTCCGGTGCGCCGTAGTTCATTCACCTCTACAGTTCAAAAGCGGAAGAATACCGCGGCAACGGATCACGCCAAGTTCAACATTCAACACCTATGTCTCCATGCTCTCGTAGAAGAACAAGGCCCAATGGTACTGCTACATGTGCGACAAAGATGCTAATTTACTCAGGATATTCACACCGACGCCGTCGATATCTTGACCCTTTTAGATCCCTTCAACATACCACCAGGTTCGTGGCGCGGACGTTTCTTCCTCTCCTTCGCAGCCGCTCGGCCTTTAGCACGAAGTTCCTTGGCGGCCTTCATGTCCTTTGGCGCGGTGGTCCGCAGTTGCTTAATGTGGGTTGGTTCCAAGCGATGAGAAGCCGGGTCGGGGAGAGTGATCCAAGGAGCGTTCAACAAGGGGACACAATCGATAACAGTTTCTAATTCTGATAGACAAGGAGCAGCAGCCTGTCGATATTATCTTAGTGAGGAAGCAAAACGGGCATTAAAAGCGGAACATACATCAATGGCTATGGTTGCAACTCGTCTCAAGCCCATGGCTTCGGCCAAGGTGAACTCGGCTTGTTTGGGAAGCGTAACGAGCTTGATAGTCGGTCGACAAATTTCAGAGCTGCCGGGAGTGGAATGGGAATTACAAGCAGCGATCAGTTGGGGCAGGTGGGCTATGAGGTTCGGAGGGTCGACATCAGATAAACAGACGAAGACGACACTGATTGCAGTTCTTGATTGAGATGTATCGGAATGATTCTCTGAGACAGAGATGGTTTCGCGGTGTGACCTGGCTTGATGTTCGAGACGCTTGGTGACTTCGTTTATGCCGACTGATATATGCCGAAGAATCGCGGGCGCACGAAGCGCTGCATCCGAAGATGACGCTTCTCCAGCAGGCTGAGATGGACCAGCCTCTGCCGTATCCACGAGCATCGCATTTTCCAAGGGTATTTTCTGCCCTTTTTTGATCTTTCGAGCCTCCGCGCTCCTTTGAGCTTTCCGCTTCCGGCTGGCGTGCTCACGAGCAAGATGATACTCGGAAACACCTTCGATCATGGCGAGAAGTCGGGCAAGAGCGGTATTTTGTACGTTCGCCGGTACAGATGGCCTAGATATGAAAATCTCAGTTCTGTGTTAAAATTAGAGAGAGTGATTGTAGCAACCATGCTATGTGAAATGGATTATGGAGGACGCTCTTGAACACGACTTTGCGCTCGAGAGCCTCTCTGTCCCTGGCTCGATGTGACACATTCGTGTGTAATTTTGCAGTTTTTGCGGCCATGAGGCGAATATCGCGATACGAGTATCACAGGATGATGAGAAATGCACCGGTTGGGCGTACTCGTCTGAAGTGGCTCAGGAAACTGGGTTGCAGGGCGCGTCCGTTGCCGTTCGCCACTCATCCGGCACCGAGCGAGTGTTTTCTCACGCTTCCGACCGACGTCGCTGGCCCGCCTTTCGAGTTGAACTCGACGTTTCTCATCAATCCCGATCCTCGTCGAGCCGCGGAACAGGACTGCGAGGACTCTCATCACCTCCGTCTGTCTTTCGCTTGGATCATTGCAATTCACGATATCCATATAGAGAAACAAAAGTCTCAATGCGCTCCCGTCGTGAGTCAATCTATGGTACCCAGGCATGCACAGGATTTCATAGGGATCACACTCGATAACGCGACGGATCATAAGTGCACCGAGTCATTTCGTTCAGATTCAGCTTTGACTATCTCAGTACGTATGTTTATCTTGAGTGTTCAACTTTCCTGAGATCGAAGATTTGTAGGGTTTTCGACACTTGCCACCGGTTTCAGCCGCCCAGACGCCTCAGCGCTTCGTCAATATGCCATCCTGTGCAAACGGACCCGTTTGCAAAATACAGGTTCTCTGTTCAGTTTCAAAGGCATCTTGTTTTGATGCGGTCCATGTGCTCTTGACATGTATCAGGATTGGCCGTGACCTGATCCATTTTCGCTGCGCTGTGCTGCGTGAGCAGCCTCGCCGGCATACTGTATGCCTATTCCTTCGCAAATGCTCGGACAACATCCTTTCCGCCTTGTTCTCAAAATTGATTGGGGAGAATTTACGGCTCGCGTAAACCATTCTCATCAGCATAGCTGCGGCCCGTATGCGGTTCAGTTTGGATTGGATCCAGCGTCGGTGGCTGCGTTCCCTGGTTTGTCACGACAACGAAGCGTATGTTTCACTAGGAACAGGATTCGGTCACATCGAGTGTATGCGTGGATCTCGCGCCAGGCGGATGGCTTCGACCTCCGTCCCATCAAGGGGATTTTTGACTCGTCCCTAGGAGGCTGAGTCATTTATTCGCCACAACTCCTTCATACCTTGAACAGCCTACTGAATATCGAGGTACTTAAGCAGTTGTCGTTAAGTCGATGTCTTCCAGTTTCTCATCCATTACCTTCCCGTCACATTCTCCTCCATCCTCGTCCTTTGAACATTCCCCTCATCCTCTAACATGCCCGTCGCCATCACCAAACCCCTTGTCCACGTCTATGACGATGCAAGCTCACTACCTTCCAGTGTTTGGGAAGCATTCCGCAACAACGAACGCGACTCAAATATCATGTACCCACACGCAATAGCGTCCGCCTCATCTCCAAGGCGCGATCCCAACACCTTTTGGATGACCTGTTCGTCCTATCGGTCTGTGAACGGTACATCATCTCTATCCATCGACCTCGTCCTCTCCTGCGGAAATGGTCCCCTAGGATCATCGCCTATCTTCATATTCGCCACTGCACCATTCGAGGCCCTCACATCATCATACCTCATGCCTCGCATCGAAGAACTCGTCTACACTCTCGCCGAGCACGTCCCCGTGGAGCGCGTTTTCTCCGTCTTCGCACCAGAACCCGTCACCCGCATCTTCAGACACTTGTGGTCTACCCTTACACGGGTTGCGTTCTACGAGGAGCCTTACTACGCAGCGAAATTCGCGACCTGCACACGGGAGACGTTTGTCGACAGGCGCATGACGCTCTTCAACGACATCACCTACGTTCCCCGCTTGGCAGTAGAAAGTGATCTGGAGGCGGTTGCCGACCTGTGCAAAGGCTTTGCATCGACATCAGTACGTGCAAACCCTTAGCTCCTTCCTTCATATCATGTATTGACAATACTCGGTTATATCAGGAACCATTCATTCTGTCGGAACAGGGAGCTCTTAAGGATGCCGCGTACATGATCCGTCACCGCTGTATCTGGGTCCTTGAAGCCCGAGTAGCTGGCCGACGCCCCGAGCTATCCTCCATCGTGGCCTCGTGCCGCCAATCATCAGACGTCGCAGCGATTACCAAAGTTTACACCAACCCTCGGTGGAGAAAGAAGGGATGTGCTGAACGCCTAGTTCGTTGGGTATGCAAGCACCTGCTCAAGACGAAGTCGAGTCTCGTGCTCTACGTCGCCCACGATAACCCCGCCGCCGCTGGTGTTTACAAGCGTGTCGGGTTTGTCGGGACGGGTGTCGGTAAGGAGACGGAGGAGTCGGAGCCCTGGTTGGAGGTTGGCTTCGACCGTTCAGTTGTCAAGCTTGGACACTGGTAATTGTCTTCGGTTGTCTGCATTCTGTCTATCCCGCAATATTCTTTCTGTCAGCAAAACCTCACGGACACGGACTTGCAATTTGCATACCCTTATCTTATACTTACACTACAACCCCTCTATTTACTTCCCCCTATTTATCGGATTGAAAGCTCGCCTCGAATGTAGCATTAGCCTCACACAACTCCCTTCTGTGCATCACCCATACAACTGTCTCCCTTCCCCATTCCCCTTCCCCCTTCTCTTGCCGTCATCACCTTTTTTTCTTTTTTGTGAAATACGCCAAAGTGCGTTCCCAGTGTCTTCATTTTCTCCAACATCTTACCTGCCTCAATCTATCTGTTGGGTCTTCGATTCAATGACGACCCATCTCTTGCAATGTCAAAAGACTTCTTGCTTCACAGCCAACGTTTAGCTCGCCCTCGCTTACTCGCCTGTTAGTGCTAACGTATCCTCCTACCTAAGTCATTGTGCTACAAGATGAGCGGATGTACTCAGCTTTGACGTACCCCGAGCATGAAGTTGAACCATCGGCCCTGACAAAGTGTCCCAAAAGCTTCCGATGCTTGGTTTGTTTCCGAGTGGCGCCATGCTTTGAGCCACGTGCATGGGCCGATCACTGACCCATCCACTCGGCTCATCATCATCACCACACTTTTGACTTGTTTTTGACCACGACGTCGTCCGTGTACGGAACTGTCCAGTTATCCATCCCTACAATTCTACCTTAGATACGGTCAATACATAATCTGATTACTCCTCTTGGGAACTACATCATTCGCCTGCGGCAGTGGTGAAGATCTTGAGACTTCCAAATGACACGTTCCAGTTCTGAAACAAACATAACTTGTCGGCCGGGCTACCTCGCAATGGAGGTACGTGAATCGGTGCAATGTTTCATTTTCTGCCGTCTGATTATTCACCTCTCTTCCAAACCGACATGACGATGCCAGAGCTCTCCAGACGATCAACCGGCTTAGGTTTTGGCTTGGGCGAACCCCGCACCATATCAAGCATATCCTCCGCATGTATCGCTTCGGACAGCTTCTGCCACGGCGAAGGTTTGCCTGAAAGCTCTGATACACAGTCTCATCCTTTCATGCAGCCTATACGCGCATCACACTCATCATCATCTTCGCTCCATGCCGCCCATGTCGCCCTGAACCCACAAACGGATCAACCCTCCATACTTGTCCAACCCGCCGGTCTAGATGCCCACGACATTCAAGACATCCCCGTCAGGGAAGCCCGTCCATCACCCCGCTCATGCCCTGCGACTAGTCGGATGCAATCTTGCGGTGCAGGACAAGTCGAACAGCCTTCTCTGCGGCGACATAGGACCTTACTCAGTGCTGAGGCCTCCCCCGCCAAGCAGGCCACGGAACTCAATTCTTTACTCGGAAACGCCAACTCAAAAATCAAGTCCGGTACCTCCATCGTCTTTTCTCCCACGATTCCGCCACCAGGATCATCGCCACAGACTATCTCCATGATCAACCAGCCACTCACCCTGGAGAAAGCTCAATCGAAAGCGAGAGTAGAGGTCGACTTATTGCTTTCTTGTGACACGTTCGTCCAAGGACAGAGCATCTCGGGGCAATTGGTTATCCGTACTCCAAAGAGGTCGAAAAAGAAGTCTCCCGTCTTGATGAAGGATGGGAAGTTGCGCATCATCGGGTTCGAGTGTCTCGCCGAGAGTACTCACAGGCATGTGTTCTACCAATGCAGTCAACGCCTGGAGGACGTGAGCTACGCCAGCGATCAGATCTACTTCGACGGTCCTGAGCAAGGCGATGAGGAAGGTTACCGCAGCTGTCGAGAGGGGATCCACACTTTTCCATTCGAGATGTGTCTGCCTGTCAAGCAAGAAGGCGGGGACGCGAAGGGGACGGTGGATATGCCAGGTGTCGCAGTGCGATACATCACGATGATGTGAGAGTTCATTCTACCTACCACTTTTAATTACCCTCGAATACTGACAGCCGGCGGGAAGATCAATCAAGGTGAAGGATCCCGACACAGGAACTCGTTCTCTCGCGCACTTTTACCGTGTCTGCTCGGTGTGGCCACAGCTCTCCCTGCAGAGCGTATTGGTACCAGCCCCGCGGCCGCTCGTCTCAACTGCGGTCAAATCATTTCCCCGTGGGGATGGAAACACTTGCCCAAGGCTTAAGCTCACAGCACGACTGCCCCGTTTAAGCTACTTCGCGGGTCAACAGTGCTACGTCCAAATCCACGTAGAGAACACTAGGCAACGTGTTGTGCGTAGCGTGACCCTAGTGCTGGTCCAGACAACAACGGTCTACAAGCCCCGCCATCCGAAGTCGCAGAAGGTCGGTATAGTGGAGTCTAGCAAGTACTCTGAGTCCGTCGTCGTCCGGGAAGTGGCGGAGAGTCGATTGGAGATGGGAGAATATGGTGTCAAAGGACATGCGAGTGCCAAAGGCTGGTGGATTGGAGTAGCCGCAGATGAGGAGAAAGACTTCTGTCATTCTATCATGATACCAGTATGTCCTCCTCATCACTATGTCCGCCATTCCTGCAGCTGAATCATGCCTGGGCACTTCTCTTCAGCAGGATTGTTTATCTGTCGCGAGGTCAAAACTTTTGGCCGTCGACTATGCTATTCGCGTCACGATTTCAGGATCTAGTGACGTCTCTGTCGCACTGCCAATCAGGATCGTCAATATGCTCTCCATCGACTCACCGCCGTTACTCTGCGCGGGTGGAGCGGATAATCTCAACGTCGATCAATATCGGTGCATGAACGGCATCGATGTGCCCTCAAAAGGGCACTTCAACATAGACGAAACAAAGGCTGGCGCCGGAACACTGCCCTCTTATAGGACGAAAGCGCCTTCCCAGCTTGCCTACCAGGTTCGTAACTTCCCTGAACGTTAACCCTGAACGCGCGCTTAAGCGCACCTTGTGGCGTCCATTCTTACTGATCAACCTGTCGAACAACCTTGAAGCAGACCCCGATGTCTATGGACGCCCATGCTCGTCCTTATTCGAACACAACGACAGAAAGCACAGCCTCCTCTCCAACCCTTGTACGCTCATCTCCGAAACGAGTCACGTCGGACGAGAAACGAGCGCGACATGAAGAGCTCGTCGTAACAAACCACTCTCCGACATCTTCATCTGAGCATTTGTCGGAGGGAACTCGGAATCACTCTCGTCTCTCTTCCACCGGAGATCCAGATTTGGAGGAGGGACCAGGCACGTCAAGATTGACTCGATTATCGAGACGCACGGCAGAAGCTCGTACGGGTTCGCGTCTCACCGCCTCTTCGGCATCAGAAGACGAGATCGATCGTCTTCTGCGTCAAACGAGGCAGGCACTAGAAGACGATGAACCATTACCAAGAATTCAACTAGGAGACATACCGCAGGAGGAAGAAAATGACGACGTGACACCAAGACCGAGCATCCTCCCTTCGTCTTCTTCAACGTGTTCACGGCCGCTGCCATGTCTTCCCTCGACTTCGAGCAATATTCTCGACGTCTCAATTCCCTCGCTCACCACTCAGCGCCGCGCCGTCGAGGCACTCTACGCGTCCCACGCCACCGGAACCTCGAACCTTAACTCAAATCTCGAAACCGAAATCAAAGTCGAATCATCCTTTGCGCGACGCGTTCGAGAAAAACTATCCGCGTCTGGTCTTCCCAGCAGTACCGCTCGTAACCACCCCGGGCCTTCGGACACGCATTGTCAGCCAGGGACGTTGGATAACGGATCCTCTCTTGAGGGTGGATCAACGTTGACGAAGATTCCATCCACGATACGCCGTCGATTGCCGTCTCCCCCTTCTGAAAGACGCGCGACCGCCGCTTCAGCCGTTTCTGCTTTCGTCTCGTTTGGGGCGGCGGGGAGTGAACTCCGTCGTCACGCACCGACGACGGCATCGACATCAAACATCGCAGTCAACCGTGACAGCGACCACGATGTTTTGAGTTCGAACACTACAACTGTCGATGGTTCCTCCCTCGCATCTTTATCCCCATCGAGAACAAGAAACACAGAGGAGTTGCCAAAACCTGCCTGGACCAGCGCACAGGCTAGCCTGACTGATGGGTCGGGTAGTTCTGCTTCAAGTTCTTCTTCCGACTCGGCGTCCAACACAGGCCGAAGTTTGACAAGCTCGCGTTCAAGTTCACGTACGGATGATTGCCATCATCATCCAAGCCAGTACGATCACGGCAAGCGTGCGACTCAGGCCGGCAGGGGTGGCGTGTCCTGTTCAACCCCTCTGGGATGTTATGATCCTGATGATGCTTTTGATGAAGAAGATGATTTTAATCGTACGGAATCACGGCCTTCATCATCAGCTTCATCACCGCCTGCAGATACAGCTCAGGGCGAGGTGGCGGTGTCGGATCTCCCCGCCTCTCATAACGAACTGGATATGGATACGGACCATGGTTCATTGATATCTCCTTCGTCATCGTACCGACTCGGAGACATAGCCCCTTCGAACCGACCGGCACACTCACACCCATCTGATACCACTGCAATAGAAGGACACAAACGCCGCAACCGATTCTTCCCTCGTGAACAGGAACAACCACGCACGCCCGATTCGGCCGGGGTGCCCAAGCACACTGCTCCCATTTTCCCTCCTCCTCCCACATCTACGGCTACGGACGGTTCACACCTCGCTCTCAATAGCACTCTCAGGCTCGCGCAGCCCGCCTCCATCAGCGCGACTCGATCTCAGTCCCAACCCCAACCACAAACTGCCGCAGTCGAATCATCACTCTCGACGTCTCCTCGGAGTAGAACTGGCGGATCGAGGATCCCCATGATTCGGTCTCGTACCGATGGAGATGCTCTCACTGGTGGTGGTGGTGGTACTACTAATGGCACCTCGAGTCCGGGACCCAGACGGTTCCCCAAGCCCAAGTCGGTTAATTCGCCTAGGGTTAATACGGGCGAGGTATTGAAGGCGAGGTTGTTGGCTGGATCTACGGCGAGTCCGGGTGCTGGGCTTGGGGGTGCCTCGGGGAGGGGACTTTCGGCGAAGAGGACGGCTGAGGAGGACGACGCTGGTGCTGGTGATGCTGCGGTGGTCCGGTCGTCGGTGAAGGACAGAGTGAGGATGTTCGAGCAGCAGATGAATGTGTAGATTAGATGAATAGAGTTTTTCGGACAATCGACGACTTAAAAATTCGCTTCACGAATGACTAGGGGCTATGATACAGTTTGCAAGTTTCAAAGCGGGTGGTAGAGATACAAAGATGCGTGATTATGACGAGACTTCTTCTGTGTATGCGAGAGAACTATAAACGCCCCCAAACTTCTATCGCCAAGGTCTAGTTAATGACGCTGCCGCCGTTGACGTGGAATACCTGACCACTAAACATCGCAAAGGTAACAGGGGTAGTTATTAGCAATAGGTATCTCAACATGACGGAGGAGAAAAAAAAACCAAATACGAACGTGATGTAACTGGAATCGGCACTGGCGAGGAAAACGAAAGATGTAGCGATCTCGACCGGTTGGCCTGCACGTCCGAGTGGTGTCGACAATCCGAAAGTTTCCTTGCTTTCTTTTGTCATAGTAGCAGGAATGAGCGGTGTCCAGATAGGTCCTGGGGCGACGGCTATCGACAATGATGGTAATAAAAGACAAAAGAAACAAAAGATCAGAGAACATATTATGGAAGAGAACCGGTGGAGGTATAGGAAGGTATACGGACCGTTGACACGAATACCCTTCGACGGCGCAACCTGGTTACTCAAACCACGCATGAATCCGATCATGGCACCCTTCGTCGCCGTGTAGTCGATTAGCTCCGGATGACCGATGGCGAAATTGATGGAGGCGTTCATGACGATGGAGCCGCCTTCTGGCATGCTTGGAAGAGCGGCCTTGACAATGAAGAAGAAGGAGTGGAGGTTGACTTGGAAGGTCTCCATCCAGTCTTCGGTGGGTAGGGTGGTTATGTCGGTGTTTGCGTGTTGGAGGCCGTGGTTGAGAGCGCTATACAGTACATAGATAGAGACGATTAGAATGAGAAGGTAATTAAAAGAAGGTGCGCGCGGGATCAGCATACAGGACGTCGATTGTGTCGCCATGCTCCGCTTTGTGCTTCTTGATTAACTCTTGACAATTTTGCTCGGAGCCAAGATCAATTTCGACAAGGGTGATCTTGCGCTTGCCACCTGTCTTCTTGTCGATATCATTCTTCGTCTCTTCCACATCCTTCTTCTCCTGCGGAAGATGGGTCAAGGTGACATCCGCACCCTCAAGAGCTATTTGACAGAAATAAACGCACCCAGTGAGCCTAAGATAGGTTAGCTGAGCAGGTGCGGAAAGTGCGTACCGTAGAGGAGAGCGACAGAGCGACCGATACCACTGTCCCCTGCAGTGACAATGGCCTTCTTGCCCTCGAGCTTCCCGGCAGCCTTGTATGGCTTTCCGTCAGCGGTAATATCACTCAGAGGTGGAGGGTCGAGCTTTTGCTGCGTGCCAGGGAGATCCTGGTCGAGGACGGGGTATTTGAAGCCACGCTGAAATTGTTTTGGGATTTGAGACATAGTGCAGAAGATGGAGTGGTTTGAGTGGTTGGATTGTGTCAGTCGCTGAAAACGAAGAGAGGTTAGGTATTATAAGGCGGGGAGGGTACATGACGTCAGAATCAAGAGTTGCGTCAGTCGTCGTCAGAGCGAGCCATAGCGAACAGTCAGTTTCCACAATGATTTCTTTTGCTCAGCGCTGACGTGCTAATGTCCATTCTCTGAGGTAGATGTGGCTTTGTTGTGCAAAGAGAGCTGGCGAGGCGAACAATGGAGTGAACAGGTCACCCTGAGTATAAAATTTGCCGAGATTCCGCAGAGAGGAGCGCCGGCGGTTCATCCTTGGCTGGTCCACCCCATGTAGGTAGCAAAGAGGACCTAACCGAGAAAGGCATGCAACTGTTCCACAGCAGCATGCCACTACTGTAGAGTACGTGGGGCAGCAAGTTAAGCGATGGAGGCAAACAAAGGCTAATCTGAGTCCGGACGGAGAAGTGACGGAACAATTGAGCCACGTGGGGAATATCGGGATGACGTCATAGCTGAAGTCTTCTTAAATAAACGAGCGCAAACAGCGGGCGCTTATCCTGAGAGAGTACTTCGCCACAGACGGTCACGATCTTCAGCACACAAACGGCAAGTCTTCTCGAATCCGACTTGGGCCAAACTTGCTCATCTGGGCCGTTCTGCGCTGGTATAAAAACAGAAAGAAACACGTTTTTGCGTGGAGCGTGCCGCACCTTGCTCTCGAGGCTTTTCTCTCCATCGACTCGTGTCGAGCGGGTCCCGCGCCGCGCAGACTTATAGTTTGCTCCTCTCCTTCTGCCTCGAGGACCGCCACTAGTCCGGGTCAATCAAACCCCAAGCTGCGCCGTTGGCTCTAACCTTTCCGGAGCTTTCCACAGTCTATATACCCTTTTCGCCATTACCCCCTCCCTTCTGCTCTTCCGCCTCCCATCTAATCACCCCCCTTCTGAGCCACCTGTCACTAGCTGTTCCTGTTCTCGTCCCTTTCTTTTCGAATGGCATCCAAATCATATATCGGTCTCCCTCCGGTACCGCAGGACCTCAAACCTATCGCCCCCTTCCTCCAACGTGCTGAGGAGGTCAAGCAACAGGATCCTATCATTTCGTATTGGTGTAAGCACACTCCCACTCTCTATCTCTCGCCTCTCTTCACATGTTATTTGTAGGTGCATACTCTGCTGCTCAGGTTGGTATCAGCCTCAAAGCACCAGCTCCCGCCAACCGGACATTCCTCGCGGCACTTCTTACTAAGCTAGAGTCCCTCCGGGTGTCCATCGGTCCCTGTGACGCTGTTGATGTCGAGGCCGCCTCTACCGCCTACGTCGAAAATTTTGCTCTCCGTGTTTTCACCTCCGCGGACAATGACGATCGTGCCGGCCACGCGTCACTGACCACGGCCAGGAAATTCTTCGCCGCCGCCACATTCTTCGAGCTCCTCAAGCTCTTTGAAGACAAGACTGCTTATGAATCAGTAAGGCATTTTTCGCTCCCCTTATCTGTCTAGCTCTCGTACTGACGGCCCTTGTCATTCATTCCCATCCATTACCATTCCATCCCACTACAAACCCGCGTTTCGTCCTCCTGTTCGTTATCGATATTGCGCATTTGAACTCGATCGTTCGCTCGCACGCAGCACGAGGACAAGATTCGATACGCAAAATGGAAAGCTGCTGACATCAACCGCGCGATCCGCGAGGGGCGTAAGCCCGTCCCCGGACCTGCAGGCGGAGAGCCTCCTTCTGAGCAAGAGCAGCACCCAGGAAGCATCTCTATATCCCCCTCTCTCGAAATCCCCCTCCCTCCTTCCGGCCCTCCTACCGCTGGCATCCCACCTGCAAAGTCTTCAACCCCTCCTCCTATTAACTCCCAACGCGACGATATCCCACGGATGCCTTCCTCCGTGGCGCAGGCCCAGAATCAGAGATTTGAAGATATCAAGAGGTCCACGGGAACGCCGGGATCGCCTGCGGATTGGAGTACGCAGGCGACTACGGGCGGTGCTGATAGTCGGATGGATGGTAGGTTGGAGTTACCTGGACGCAGCTCGGGCGCCAGTAGCCGTACGGGGACACATAGCGGGAGTGGACAAGGCAGTGATGGGCAGGAAGGGCGTGACGAGGACGGTCTCGAGGATTTGCCATCGCGAGTGCGCTTCACTTCATCAACGGCCAACGGCTCGCATAGCTCGAAGATAGATCGTCATTCTTCTTCGTCGGGTTCGAGCCGCAAGAGCGGCAGCAGTTCCTCAAAATTGCACCGTTCGTCGTCGATCTCGTCCGGCACAACTTCGTCTTCGAAACACTCGAACAAGTCTTCGTCGTCTGCATCTCGTCGTAATCGCACGACCTCGCTCACTGCTGCTTCGGCCGCGCAGAAGCCATCCACGGATGCAGGCGCCGATGGTCAGAGGAAAAGGCATCGGCACATGTCGATGGTGTTGGAGTCGAGACCGCGCGATCATTCGCCACCTTTGGCATCTGCTCCAGCGACGACGGTGACGACTCCAATTCCACCCCCTCCTCCCGCTACATCTCATAAGTCAACATCTGCGCCTGCCTCGGCTTCGACAACGGAAGCACCACGCGTATCCTCCCCGACACATTTCGTGCCCAAGAATATGAACATTCCAGGCGCGCTAAATGTCAACGTATCCTCCCCTCTTTCACCCAATCCTACCTCCAATAGTGGCTCACCCCCGAGGGGAGGCTTATCTGGAATGGGAGCAGGAGCGGGAGGCCTATCGTCTTCTCCCCCACGGTCTTACGTACCTGCTCCCGGGAACGTCTACTCCCCCTCCTCCGTCGCCCCACCGCCTCCCCCTCCCCAAGTGGACGGACATGCTCCATATTCTTCTTATCCCTCCCAGCCTTACGCTTCTCAGCCTCCGCAACCCCCTTATCCCTCTCAGCCGTCATACCCCACCCAACCCACGAATTTCTACGCCTCCGCTCCCCCACCCCCGCCTCCCCCTGTACCTGCGAAGGCGCCGTCCCCGCCACCGGAGTTGACGCCGTTGATGATAGCGAAGGCGCAGAAGCATTGTAGGTTCGCGATTTCGGCTTTGGATTATGAGGATGCGGAGCAGGCGAAGAAGGAGTTGAGGGCGGCGCTGGCTGTGCTTGGGGAGTGAGTGTGTTTGGAATAGGAGCAGCAGCAGGAGTCGAGGAACGAAAGGGCAAGGATAATTTGAAGGAAAGATCCGAGGAATGGATGGTTTGGAGGAACTATATTAGGGCTCGTGCAACGGCTTTGTTGCTGGCAATTTTCTGTGTTATTCCTCTTTTTTCTTGTGGATTGTTTGTGTTTTACCGTGCTTGTTCGATTACTGGGTTTCTTCTTCTCTTTTCTCTACGTAAGTTAGTTCGACTGTCCTCGATTCTCTGGTATGTACCTTACTCCCCTTTGTTCGGTTCTCGATCATCTCCGCGCACCCCATCTATCCCATCTTCATCTCATATCCGTCGAGTACCCCTATGCATAGTTTGAATCTCATCTCATCGTATATACCAGAAGTTAACTCACAACCTCCGTCGCTCCACGGCCCTCTTCATCGTTATTAATCTACGGCCTCAGGTCTAGGCCAGTGCTCTTGGTCGCCGCACCGTATCAGTCGGTTTATTCTCCAAGTTGGCTTGGAGCGAGCCTTCATGGGATCCACCCAGAGTCCTGTATGAATTTGTATCGTTATCGTGCTCCCTCATTGACAGATAGTTGTGTCTATTCTCGTCGTTAGTCGTCTGCACAAACCGCGTTCGGCAACTTCTCATGACGGCGAGAACTGAAGCTCAAGTCTAAGTCTGAGAGAAGACGAGCTCATCTCAATATCAATGCGCATACGGAGTGGTCTTCCTTCTATACGATCGCAAGTGACTATAACTGTCGTCATTCTTCATCTCTGCTCTGTAGTCTGCGTCCCCCTTTTTTTTTAGATGAACACGACCATGGACACGCTCGAGAGAGAAGAAGTTCAGCTGAGACAGCGACGGCCTTCCGAAAGAAGTCAGCGTTTCGTCGTCGTCGTGGTCAGTGACATCAATGTCGTGGCAACCCTTCGATCTCAAAGAGTGCACGTATACAGTAGATCTCAGGCTCCTATTCATCTTCGTCCATCTCGCCGACGTACGGTGCGAGCTCAAGCTCAAGCTCAGGCGCTCAATCAATCACAAGCCTCCCGCCTGTCAGTGCCACCACTTATTCTATTAAATACGATAATCCTCATATCGCACTGGGTGACACGATGTGGCCATACCATCCGCCATGTGCTCGAGGATCAGGGCATATCCTAAATGGGTGCTCACAGGTGCTCGCTCAAATGATCAATGGGGTGGAAGTGGGAGTACTTGGAGATGGTCAAAGGACTTGGATGTGGAAGGACGGGATCTGTCATTTTTGGCACGACTGTCGCGAATTGGAAGCGTCTGGGTTCCTGAAGACTCCACAATGTGCATACTCGACGAAGTTCGGAGGATCTGGGGTCTGAGACCAGCTGGATGGAGAAGAAGCAGGGAGGTGTGGTGGTCAGATCTGGAAGTTAAGATCGCCAGCTGTGGACATGGGAGTAGGAGTGCATGATGGGTGTACGTGTATGAGCAGTAATGAGAGCATGACAGACCTTGTGCTTGTGCCCCCGACATCACTCAGCACCGTGCCAACTAAACGGACAAGTAAAGAAGCGGCTTGGGTGTGTATGTGGGTGCGTTTCCGTGCGTGTAACTCTCGCGTGGCTCGGGTTGCAAGGTTATATCATTTCCAATCCGGACATAGAACATACGAGGGTAGCTCCATACTGACGATGATCGGTGAGCGTGCGAGGCTGAAGCTGAGGCTGAGGATGTAATTAGATGAATGTATAGAGAAGATGCTGCAGGATGCCTTGAGGTAGGGCGTGAGAGGATTGCTGTGGGAAACTGAACGTCAAACAAGGCTCCGGATGGCCATAGTATACACCAATTAAAGCAGATATAAATATCTGCGTAGAATAGAAGAGTAAACGTCTGCCCGCGAGCAGTAGGACGTACGAGTACAAGATAGCGAAGCTTACAGGGTGTTCATGGCATCATTTAGAGTCTCGCGGGCGCAAATGTGGTGCCACCCTAGTGATCGTGGCTGGCCTCTTGAGTATGATTATAATTCTCCATGGGTAGCGGGCTCATCATGCTGATAGGGCTATCGAGAAGTGGGTCAGAATCTTCTGTGGATAAACGCGCTAAGCTTGGATGTTTGGGTCCCAGAAGATTAGGAGAAGAAGGTGAATGTGGCGGTCCGGAGGATTGTTGAGTATTTTGGGTATTTGAACGGGAGGAGTTCTCGAAGTCCACCGAAGGTGTTTCGGCAGCGTGGAAGGTCGCAAGAGCAACAGACAGTTCGCCGAGCTGACAATTATAGCAGCATGTTAATATGTGTACGAGTTCAATCGGAGGAACAGAGCGTTGGTAGAATGCAAGTGCTGACCTTCCCCATAATTGCATCAATCTCTTCCTTTCGGCCCACGAACCTGCTCTCCGACTGCTCAAACTCCGCATCCCTATCCTTCTTTTGCCAATCGTCCCCTTCCCAGTTATCTCCCACCCGGCCCTCCTCATTCAGCTTCTCGCCACCCGTACTCCCCCTCCTAACCCTTGCTCCCCTCTTTGCCGCAGTCTCTCCAATGCTCTCCATCGTGATATGCATGTTCGCAATGTCTGCCTGTAACCCCCTTATTCTCCCTAGATGTGTCCACAGCTCTTGTCTGGCACCATCTGAACTTGTGCTGGGCTGTCCTCCAGGAGAACTGCTGGACCCAAGCCCCCGTGGTTGGATGACGCCTAGCGGAACACCTGTGAACGGATCGTAAAGTGTCTGCTGATTCACCTTCGGCGTTGTATTCGCGGGATTCGGACTTGCTGTAGCAGAAGACAGTACCGTCTCTTCATCCTCTCCCACCACCGGTAGCCTATTTGCACCAAGCGTTCCCGCACCTCCTAAACCTCCTGCCCCGGACCTAACGCCAGCAGGTACGTCGATCTGAGGCGCCGGGTCGAATTCTGGTCTATGACCATGCAGCTCTGCGAGTACAGCATCATGGGGTGTGCTGAGGGCAGTTGTGAGAGCTCGTTTCTTGACTTCATCAGCGGTCGGGTCAGGGAGTGCACCGGGTACGAGAGGGGTGTGTTCACGGTCAAGTGAGGATCTTCCGCTTGGTCCTGCGACCGATTGTCCTTTATTAGGAACTGGGCGACCACTAGTCGTACGCGAACCAAGCCATGAGCCACTGAACATTTCTGTTTGATATTGTGTGAGGAACTAGTGCGGACAATGAAAGCAGAAAAGCTGGACGTGGGCGTTGTGGCGAAGAAAGAGATCTTGGCCACGCCACAAGCCATTATACCCCGGAGATTGCCGGGCTCTACACGATCGAGGAAGTCGAAGAGCGAGTTGTGCGAACGGAAACGTTGTTGCCAATGCCACTGCTCACGCCAGTCCTCCACCAATGCCGCCGCTGACGGCCAGCCCTGCTACAGAGCCTCGCGTCATTCCTTCTTCATGGACCGGCTTTGACGCCGTTACGGACCCAGAGGCGGTTGAAGCACTCAACACTTACAAGAAGAAGGATCCGTCGAAAGGTGCGCGCTCCGATACGCGAAGCGTAGGATTGTTTGGAAGGCTGAGTGGTGAAATGTTGTATGATGGGTGATACACTGGGAAATAGTGATTATCTTATTCAAGGCGGTGGGAAATGCGCCCATCATGAAGCAGAACTTCTTCAAGGTGACCGTGTCGAATCGGTTTCAAGCCGTTATACAGTTCCTGAGAAAGGAGTTGGGCTGGAAGGCTAGTGATCCTTTGGTACGTCACTTTTCTATGTCTTTATGCCGTTATACTGAAGATAATATCCATCATGTTAGTTCACCTATATCAACTTGGCATTTGCGCCAGCTCCCGACGATACGGTCGCCAACCTTTACAAGGTTTGTCTTGTCCTCCCTGCGTTCAAGAGGCCGGAGATACTAGTGTGGTGGTTCCATCCAGTCTTTTGCTACCGATGGACGTCTTATAGTGAACTACAGGTCAGTTCACGCCTCAGCGTTGTCTTGGAGAGCCATATTAATAACGGTGATTCTTTAGCACCACTGCTGCATGGGGTTAATGAGCACTTGGAAGAACACTCTTTCTTGCTTCCTGCTTTCCTTTACCGATACTAGCCTCACGCTGGAACTACAGTATACCATGTGCAATACCACGCACTTTCCTCTGTCTTCATTTGATTAATATGTGTGAGCGGTTGGTTCGAGATGGCGCCACTCCAGAAACAGCACGCTCTCGCGACGAACCGTGCGAGAAAGGGGCACAAATACTAGGATGGCTTGTGAACAGCCTCCACGCTGACTCCAAGACTGGCAAGCAACACAGCGACTTCGATGGAACGCAGGGTGGACTCCAATGCGCTTGAAGCTCTCCAGACGTACAAGGCGAGGAACACAGCACAAGGTGCGTTCGCTTGTTCTAGTCGACTCACGACATCCTCATTTGCATCATATTGTCCTTCAGTGCGAATCTTATTCAAGGCAGTTGGGAATGCGCCTGTCATGAGACAGAATACCTTTCAAGTGACTGTTTCGAATCGTTTCTGGGTCGTTGCCAACTTCTTAAAAGGAAAGTTGGGCTGGAAAGCCGGTGAGCCCCTGGTACGTACAGCACATCTCTTCAATTATTGTGGACGGCAAGTATACGTTCGTATCCATGCTAATAAATCAACTGTGTACATCAGTTCACATACATTAACCTGGCCTTCGCTCCTGCTCCAGACGACACAGTAGCAAATTTAATCAAGGTATGGTTTCCTCCGACTTTCCTACAGAAGTACACCGCATCTGATGGCTTCATTGATAGGCCTTCGCAATCGGTGGAAAACTCATAGTAAACTACAGGTGGGCTTCCGATTATTGTGTGCGTTCAATACAAATGACTCATTCACGCGGTCGAATTCACAGTACAACAGCAGCATGGGGATGACTTCTATTCTAGAAAGGTTTCACAGCCTACCACAACGCCCTGGACATTACACGCTCAAGTAGTCGATAGCCGACGTGCGCTCTCATCCCAAACCGCAAAAGCTCTGCCATAGTGATCAGTTTTTGGCACGAAGTCGTTCAATGCTGTCCTTGCTTCGCGCCGCTCTGCACTGCCCATGGTCCGGGACATCCGAAATTGGAAGGAGGCGGCCTTCTAAAAGGACCAGGACTTATAAGTCATTCTGAATCGTGACAGCGTCCGGGCAAATGTTTGGCCAAACAGTTAGATCATTTGGTGTACTTGGGACCGCATGTTTGGGAATGAGGAACATTCGTTGAACAGTACAGCTTTAACATGCCTTAAGATCCTTCGGTATAAATATGTACACCACGAGTGTCAGAGAGTCAAGCCTTCCGCGCTTTACTCTCCTCTCCTCTCCTTCCTATTGAACTTGACTGAGTCTCCTGTCATGTCGCCCGTCATTAGACTCGATGCCCCCCAGCACCCCTTGACTGCCGTAACAATCTTCAAGTCTTCCAAGGCTGAGATCGTGCGGTCGTTCAAGCAGACTTTCCAGGTCCCGTTCAGTCTCCTACACCAACCTATCCGCACCGCCACCCATATTCCATCTTCACCCGCTATATAGACGCTGACATTTTAACTGTTCTATCCATAGGAAGGCCAAAATAAAGTCGAAATCTTCAACCTTCCAGGATCCATCGACACCGAATCCGCTCGCATCAATATTACCGGCCTCAGTGACCTCCAGCTCTTCGACGTCGTCTGCACAAAACCGAAATCATACATCTCCGGCGTCACTGCCAGCGCTTCCACCTTCGAATCCATCCGCATTCTCGAAGCCAAAAAGTCCGCCCTAGTGGCTGAGAGGGACACCATCTCTTCCGCCAAGACGTTTCTTGAAAGTTATTCTAAGACGTTGAAAGGTGAGGATATCAGTCCGGAGCAGGCAGAAGGTTTTCTGGACACGTATGTGAAGAGGGCAAGGAAGCTTGTTCAAGAGGGTGCAGAGCTTCAGGAGCAGATACAGAAGATAGAGCAGAAGATCCAGAAGGAGAGGGACGAGAGGAATAAGAGGAAGGGGAGTATGGACGGGACGGTGAATATTGTGGTCATGGCGAAAAGGCAGACGGAGGCGGAGTTCAAGTTGACCTACAGTAGGAGACGCCTCATTCTCACGCATCTACTAAGTCAGCTCATGTGTCTGTATCTTTTAGTCGCCCATGGCGCGTCTTGGACTCCGAGCTACGAACTGCATGCTACGACCGACTCGGGCAGGCCTGCTTCTTCAGTTTCTCTCCACTACCGCGCCAGCATAACTCAGACGACCGGCGAAGACTGGTCCGACGTACCCCTCACGCTCTCCACGGCCTCCATGGACAACGCCGACCAGCGCGTCCCTGAGATTCAGGCATTACGCATTCGACCTCCTGTTACTGAACTTCGTGTGCGATCATCACCACCGCATCCGGCAATGCGTGTTCGTATGGCCTCGAGAGGTGCAACGCGCTCTGCCACCTTTCCACTCCCTGATAGTTCGAATGGAGGCTCTTATCCTGAAAACTGGGACGAAGATGATGACGAAGAAGGCGAGCCTGGTGCCCCTGAGGGTGATTCGACGCCTGCCAGCACGGTGATCAACGAGAGTCCTTTGTCGCTCTCGTATACTGTGGAAGGACGGTCTAGCATTCCGACGGATGGCGTGGCTCATAAGGTATCTGTGGCCATACTGAAGTTTGAGGCGAAGGTTATGCACGTTGCAGTACCCCGTGTCCGGGCACAAGCGTACTTACAGGTTGGATCCTTCACCACCGTAGAATTTGGCTGTCGACCAGATGAGATCGCTAATGCGCCCGATTGCAGGCACAAGTCGTGAACAATAGTGACTTTAGGCTATTACCAGGCCCTGTCACGATTCTAATGAACGACAGCTACGTTTCCAAGACGTCCATCCAGGTCAGGACGATCCCCACTGTAAACATTTTCAGTCCGTTCTTACCAAGTTTTCCGCCTCCCAGGACATTGCCCCAGGCGACTCATTCGACTGCACCTTTGGTCCCGACACTTCCACCAGAATTAGCTACACTCGCAGCGTCAAGCGTTCCATGGCAGCCGCTAGCGCCTTCACCGAGCAATACACGACGACGACATACATATCTGTCATCAAGGTCCATAATCGCCATGCCTTTACCATCGACAAGATCGTTTTACGGGACGCGCTCGCGGTTTCAGACGACGAGACAAAGGTGAAAGTACTGTTGAAGAAGCCTCAGTCTCTTCTTGACGAACAGGACAGTTCAGAAGATCAGGAGGTCGAAGGTCTAGAGAAGGGCATCGCTAGATGGCGGGATACAATTGATGAGAAGGGTGGAAAGAAGGACGGGTTGTTTGAATGGATTTGTGAGGGACTAGAGGCCGGAAAGGAGATTAGTCTGGAGACGGTGTGGGATGTCAGGGCACCGGCTGATGTGAAGTGGGTGGAGAGTTAGACTTCGTAGGCAAGCCAAGTCCCGTCTCTAGTCAGAATAGTACATCACTAGTACACTACATCGGATAGTGGGATATTTAACGACTGCTTTACCTAGTCTCCAGAGTGAAAAATAGCTAAGAATTCTATGAGCTAGGTTCCTTCATGGCGTCCATGGCCTCCATCTCTGCCCTCTCATTCGCACTCTTCACGTATCCAGTGAGATGATCCGGCACCTCCTCAAGCATGTTTTCATCTCCGGGAACCGGGCTCCCAATCATTTGCCACACCGGGAGTGTGCCCGTCCAAAACTTCGCCCTCGTCTCCTCGTCACTCAAATCCCTTTTCTCGTTGTGCGGCCCTCCCCTCCTCAGTTTCGCGCTAGCGCTCACGATCTTCACCTTCACTATCTGCGTCGCAGTCATCTCGGCCTTGACGGGTGGAAAGCGAGTGTTGGACCAGCGATTAGGCACGACGGAGTTCAAAATGACTTCCACTGCCCAAAGCTTTTCAGCCTCGTCTGTCACCGGCGTGGCATAACCTTGTAGAACGGCGGACGAATAATTGTAGCTATGACCGTTTGGTGCTAGACTGAGGATAACACCGTGTACTTGGGTCGCGGCGATGGAGATGGGTAGACCATTTTCGATGTCGTCTTCGTCGCCCTCAGCACCGGTCTTTCTCACGAAACGATTGAAGCGTGAACTGACGTAGCCGTGCAGGTACAGGTCGAGTGGTTCGTCGAGTTTGATAGACTCGGGAGAGGAGTATGAAGCCATGACGCCGATTAGCGGGAGGATGGCGGGGAATGGGTCGGAGTCCGGTTCTAGGGATGCGGGGAAGGAACAGTGGACGACTGGTACGCTGTTGACGATCCGGTGGATTGTCTCATAGTCATACGCCGCTATTCAATGAGAAACAGATCAGATCATAAATGTCAAACTTAGCGAGTGTGGATGGGAAGATCAAACAGTATGTTACCTCGTTTTCTATATCGATTGACTGCACTCCGAGGATGTTTTGGATATGAGGCCGAAGAATCGTCCATGATGATCAAATAACGACTGGCTACGATGGTTGAAACGCTGAAAAGATGATTGGGCGCTTGTGATGTTTGTAGCGAACACCTTGGTCCTATATACCAACGGGCAAAAATATAGACCCCTGAGGACAGACAATCGGGGCTCCATCTTACCAAGACCCGTGATCAATTGATCAGCCTGAACGCCCCGGCGTAATTCCGAAGTAAGGATGCCGCGATGAGCACGCAGTCTGACGAGTGAAATGCATATGGATGCGTAGGATACATAGGCATGTGCAAGTACTCAAGAAGAACCTGCGCGACCACTCAGAAATATCTGGAATCGATTGTTGGAATTATGCTAACAATCATCGATACTCCATTGAATTTCTGCTGCCAAAGAAATATGGTCACTTCCACAAACGCCCATCTTCGGCAATCCTGGGTGAATGTCGTCCTTCTTGTGTGGTTTGAGCAAACTTAGCACAGAAGACGAGCGGTTTGGAGGGTCTATAATGAATATATAATCTGCAGTGGATGGGATGAGTAAAAAAGCTAGCAACAATGCATGGATATCACGTACCTAGGGACAGTTGCCAATAAAATGTGTAGTTTGTCCACTCAGGCTCAAAGGCGCCTTGATGATCCTTAGGTATTTGAAGTCTATCGCCACATCGCAGGACGTCCGGATTCGAAGCTTCGAAGAGAAGTCGTTGTCCTTCGTCGTAAGCACTTTTGGGGTATCTGATGGTCTCGTAAAGTGCAGTCAGCTCTTCACTGCTGAGTAGTCCGTCCGACTTCATCGCTACTCGTGCGTTCTTTATGACTTTATCGGTGTCAGCGGTTGTGCTGCCTTCGCCTTCTTCGTCCTCAGTGGCCTTCGGCGTAGTAATCGGAACTGTGGGGTCTATGCTCACGTGCACGACCCTTGAATCGGAAAGACCGGTTTCATGCGATGAGAGGAGAGGGAGACCCCTGAGAAGTGAATAGGCAGCTTCTGTGGGCTGGAAGTTGAAGTCTATAAAGGGAACCCACAGAGTTGACAAGGATTCAAGAGGTGAGTTGGGGCGCTTACCTCCTGCGAAAACGCACGGCCAGTTGACATGACCATTCTGGTCCCTGAACTTGATGACCTCTCGTTGTAGAATACCTGTTTGGCGTGAGCGTTCATAGATATACCTAGAGCGGGTCAGTACGAAGATGAGTACAAGACACAACATCTGGCTGCGTACTTGGGATGCCAGAAAAGGTGCGTGGTAGCAATCACTATGCCAAAGTCTTCGGTCCCAGTCTTCTTCAATGCCACGATAGAACCGATGTTCTTTGTCCTAAAGCTAGATCCTCGTCGTGTGCGTTCTTCTCCTTCTTCTCGCACGTCTTCATTGTCATATATGACGGTGCGGGCCCCCGTCTGAGTGAACAAGGCCTTGCGAAAAGCTATCAGACAGCCGTGTTTTTTCTGTGGTCCTGCCGCGTACGTATGCTCGTAGCCAGCTTGAGCAAGGAACGGTTTCAGTTTCTCCAGGCGATCGACTTCCTAGCAGGTAACCCAGAGCGTGAGTCAAGTGGTTAGTCAAAGATGGAAGAGGCTTTAGGAATTTACCTGCATGCAGAGAATGTCTGCGCCAGAGGACAGGATTTCTTGGTAGATCATATTTTCTCTCTGGTGCGCTTTTAAGCAATCACTAGTCGGAAACAGTTCACGACCTTCATATTATTTAAGGTTGTCACACATACGTCCTGTAAGCCTGTCCGCATAACATCACTTACGGACGAGAGTTTGAGCTAAGAGCTAAGGAAGGAAACTCCTGATAAGAGGAGATCCTTGGGACATTCGCAAGAGAACACAGAGACAAACATTCCATGTCATAATCTTCACAGTCTCTCCCTTTCCCTGAGCCTCCTGCACCTTCAACCAAGGCCGTTGAATTATTCGTCCCTTCTCATTGTCGATAGCCACGGCTACCGGACCAGCCTTGGCTCGCTCCGTTTTCTTGCGTGCACGTTCTTCTTGCTTCGCAAGCTGCTCCGGAGTAAGCTCGATCTTTTGTGAAGGCATGCGAGCTACTGTTATAAGAGATCGGGGGTGTGACAAGCCTAAAGACAAGCTAGAGAACCGATTGTTTCGCGGGCAAGTCTGGTGAACACGCCTATTGAGGCGGAGGAATGAACGCAGATGATGTATGTTGGCCAAAGAGTGCAGATTTGAGGTCCGATTAGAGAGCGTGCTGGTTGACGCAGAGACGAAAGAGAGCGGCGGACAACCTCAGACGAGCTGAGAGGAAATCGTGGAGAGATGATGTTCTGAGTCGAGTGAAGTCAGGCAAGGTCGCGTGGCACCTCGGTACCGACTGGTTAGGGCTCGGTATTTGCCGAGTGTCAACGTCTGCGCCACAATTGACGGCGAACTGGTCCATTGTCTGTGATTCTCTCTCGTCCAGACTTCGTCTCTCATTCTGATGCTACAGCTCGTAGAAGTCTGAGAACAATATATCCAGCAAGGCCGTTCCATGATATAATTTTTGCTTTCAATAAATAATCTGCGTGTTAAGTACTCTGAAGTACTGTACTTATTTCATCATCCTGAGCCTAATAACCCGGTTCCTTCGTGTATACTACACACGTCTCAACAGCCACTTCAATCCTTCTTTGAAGTCCTCCTCGAACCTTTTTGAAGCGTCAATAGTCAAGAAGAAGTGATGAAAAGAGTGGGGGAGCCCCGGATAGCTGTCATTCGTGGTCGTCGCTTGCGTCAGATTGGTCCCACCGCATCGAAGCCAAGGCTCACTTACATGATAAGCTTCGTCTCGACACCTGCCTCCCTCAAAAGTCTCTCGTACGCAAGGCCCTCGTCGCGCAATGGGTCAAGACCACAAGACTGCATGAAGGTGCGAGGCAAACCCTTGTGGCTGGGAAGAAGTAGAGGGGATACTCGGAGGTCGCTTGGATCAGGGACTTTGTAGTCGTCTGTCAATATAACGACATTGAGCGCAAGCTGTGTGAGCCCTGAGTAGCCATACATACCGTATATGCCGACAAGGTCCGTGTTGTTGAAGATACCGGGAATGTTAGTCTCTGGTGCGATCAGCGACGAAAGTTCGCCTTTCCACCTAGCATGACAGACGACATTGAGCTTTTTGCGCCAGAATATCCCGCGACATGACAGCTGACCTTTCAGAAACTGCATGTGGATGAATAGTGGTCGGGTAATCAAGAAGTTGCCCAGTAATAGGATGTTCATTGAAGAATGGGTCGTCGCGAGCTTGGTTCACGCTTACTGCGGCAAGATTGCCACCAGCACTGGCGCCTCCAACAATGAAGCCCTTTTCAAGGGAAACAGAGAGCGAAGGAGCATTTTCAACAACCTATATGATAAATACATTATAAAACTTGCTCATTGTCGCCCGAGAAGAATAAAGACGTACCCATTTCAAGGCCGTGTAACTGTCGTTCACACTTGTAGGGAACGGATTCTCGGGCGCTAGCCTGCCAGAAAATCAGTGGGTGAGCTGAGCTCCCTTCGTGATCTGGATATGATTAGTTTCCACTACCTGTATGCTACCAGCACAATGACAACTTGTAGTTCCACGCAAGCAATTCTCATCGTGAAATCGTCAAGGTCGATACTGGCGAGATGCCAACCTATAAATGGCTCCGTCAATCCGATATAATTTTCTATACAAGCGAGTGAGAATAACCTACCCGAGGCATGGTACCAAACGAGAACAGGGAATTGATCGCCGCTTTCTCCGTGAGGAGTAGGTATCAAGGCGCGAACAAGAATCTCACCGCCATCAACTTGGACCTGTGTGTCCCTCACAGTGTACGCTGAGTCTATAATATATGAGTACATGCTTCGAGAACGGACACAAGATAAAGTTCGAGAATACCTGGAGGAAGGTGAGGCCTCAAGGACTCTTGCTGTGGCTTGATGGCACCGTCGACGAAGCCCTGCCGTACTTGGCTGATGCCAGTAACCTGGGGTGCATCTTTGGGCAGCGTCGACAATATTTCAAGGAATTGAGGGTCAGGAGTCGCAAGGGAAATGCGCTGAGACATTTGGGCGAAGGGCTCAAGCAAGCTTGTGTGCACTTGAGTAGATAGATGGGACGTCTCTAGCTTGCACAGAGTTGCTGCCTCAACATATCTTTTTATACGTTACCACGGTAATCCTTTTCCAGTCCTAAATCAAGGGGACGATTGTGCTTAGGAAGAAATCGAATATCCTCAGCGTTTAGTAAGGGTGGCTCGAAATGGATGAATAAAACGGTGAAGATGATAACGGATCGCGGGGAGCCTTACAAAGATGATATTGCGCTCCCACACTTTGGCTCGGCCATGAGTCATATCGTTACTTCAGCGCTCACAAAAGTGTTTCCAGTCGGCTAGGTCAAAATCCTCGCCAGCGATCATCCTCCACAGACGACATACACACTATAAGTATGCAGTCAAAGCACTTCCTCGAGACCCCACTGATAAAGTCCAGCTATTTATCGAAACGCCTCAATGCGAGCATATATCTCAAACTCGACGTCAGTATCTCATCCGAGTCTACGCCACAAGGAGCCACGCTACTAACTCCACTGAGACGACGCGGACTTTGATTTTATCAGAATCTTCAACCCTGCCATTCATTCAAACTCAGGGGAATCTCGCATTTCTTAGAGCACCAGCTCAAGATACACGGGCCAACCGTGCATGTCATCTGTGCGTCCAGCGGAAATGCTGGGATAGCTGCTGCGTACGCGTCCCAAGCACTAGGACTGAAGTGCACGGTTTTTCTGCCAGAGGGCGTCCACCCCGCAACTACCGAATACCTGAAATCCTTGGGGGCAGAGCTGAAAGTGACACCAGGGAGATACTTTGTGCATGCTCTGCGAGCAGCAGAAGAAGCAGTGAAAACCGAACCGAACGCGTGAGGACTTCGGTGCTTCGGCCTCCCCATCCGCATGACTAACTTGCACGTTTGTTTTGCAGTGTTTTAGCGCCTGCGTATAACGACCCTCTCATTTGGGAGGGCCATTCGTCTATGATCCATGAAATAAAACGTCAACTTCCGAGTGAGATTGCAAAGCCTGATGCCATACTATGCAGTGTAGGCGGCGCAGGCCTCCTTGGAGGAGTGCTCACGGGCTGCAAGGACGTAGGATGGGACGACGGTAATTAAATGTCCTTCGCCCTGCAAGATGCTGGACTGATACCCTTGTGGTTGCGCTACTGCAGTCCCTATAGTAGCAACCGAAACCCATGGCGCGAACGGTTTCTGGGAATCTGTGACCGCAAACCGTAATCCATCGAGCATCCCTTCAGAGGGTGCCACTATCCGCAGAGACGAAGTACACGACGTGAAAGTGGCACATATCCAGTTGAGCTCCATAGTGACCTCGCTAGGCGCCAACTACCCTGCACCTGCTGTAGTCAAGATGGCACTAGATAGGCCGGGGAGCGTTCGCTGTGTGACAGTTCCGGATGAACTGACAATGCAGTTAACGACGATGTTCGCAGGTGAGTGGGCACTCATGCCACTGCCAGATCCTGGAGATAGAACATGGCTGAATGACGCTGATATTGTATTGTCCCAGACTCTCACAAATTGCTGGTTGAGCTTGCCTGCGCCGCCACACTGGCCGCCGCCTACAAGCCGGAGCTCACGTCGCATCTCTTCCCTGTCACCGATTCCGGCGATGGCAAGGAGCGAGTGCTCGTGTTCGTCATATGCGGAGGGTTTAAAATCAGCGTGGAAGAGCTGGCGGAATACCGTTCCGTCATCGACAACATCCCAAAAGGGACGCAGTGGGAGGTTAAGGTAGATGATGACGTGGTGAAGGTAGATGTTCATGGAACGTAGCGGTAAAACGAATAGGATGGAAAGTGGGGTTGAGTAGCATTGGACAAAAAACGCACCGAACAACGGGGTTAGAGCAGACTTACTTGCCCGACGTTGCTGTAGTCAAAGGATATAGAGCTTTCCCCACGGCGCGCACATTGAACAGAAGTCAAAGTAGAAAACTGATGATCCGAAAGCTGTTCGAGACTGACGCCTGTATCGTGTTCGAATTCGTTGAAAGATACCAAGAACACACATTGGTGAAGCAAGTGGGACGCACAAATAAATACCCCATCTACGGTGGCGACGCAACATGCACTTCCATCACCGTCAAACTTAACTGCTCGTTCTCTGGCGGCCCCTGAGAGTAACGGAACCTAGTCCTGCCCTCTGGGCCGTTCTCCAACACCTCGCTTTCCAGATTCCAGCCTCCTAGTCTATATGTGTCCGGTCGATGAACATAGAGAGTCGGTGTGATGGTGACTGATTGTAGTGGTTTCAGTGTTCCGCGGTATGTCAGGCGACCCATATAGAATGGTTGGGGTAAAAGCCTAATAAAGTAGTCGTTAGTGAATGCTTGGCAAGCGATGTGGCAATTACCTACTCGGGAGGATATGCCGATTTCGTCTTGCCCGCGAGCTTGAGCGTATATCTCGAAGTGTGCGTGAGCGAGCAGTTCTTGAGCACGACGGGAACCGGTGCATGGCAAGGCCTAGCAAATCGATATAATCATGAGTGCAAAGTCATCCTGACGACTATGGAGAACACTCACCCTTTCGAGAAATCATGCTGTATGAGCTGACCGTCGCTGAACGCCACCATGAGAGGGTTCATCTCCGCATTCCACTCGCTATTCCGTATAGCCTCCAATATCGCGCCCTTCTCCCTCTGCGTCTCAGCATACATGCTCCTCTTCACCTTTGCCACCTCCGCTTCCTCAATGATCTCTTTCAGCGCCGCGTGGCGGGCTCCTATACTCGCTCCGGAAACTAAGACGTGGCCTGACCGATGTTCGGAGGGTAGTGACCAGAAGAGAACGACGTCGATGCTATGAGGGTCGTATAGAGGGAAGATAGATTGGTGGAGGTGCGGAGCGATGTATGGATGTGATGTCGCTAGTGACTGTGCGACTGTGCTGCGTCGGGCTTGGTGGAGTAACATAGATGTCGATGGGTCAAGTGAAGAGTGTGATGTGGTCTGTAAAGAGGCACGTTAATCACTGACCGCACAAATTTAAGTGGCTGTCTAAACATGCCGATGGGACAGGACAACACAAGACGTCTATTGGCGGTGGGTCAAGTGGTTCGAGGTTTTGGCCGTTCATAACACATTTCAACTGACTTGACACAAAGTCTATAAAAGGCGTCGTTGGTGAGGCTTTATCCCATGGATCCACATCCATTGGTATATGAAGGGTTTGATTGGGAATAAGTGTATCCCTATGTAAAGGACCGATGGGTTAGCATGGAAGATTCAGCGATGAATTTAAGATTGCTCACCATGCTGGTTCCGAAACGGCCTGGCACGTCCACAGTGGGCTCATCGTCATAACCTGAGAGACCACAATATCCGCATTTTCTGAAACATTCGCCACCTCCACATCAAGAAGGAACGCATGATCCTTCACAGAACTAGGTTTCGAAGACGTAGTCACAGCAAGCAGGGGCTGGACGATATAAGGACGCGTCACTCGAGCGGCGCGGAAGAATTGTTCCTCTTTCTGAGAGCCTGAGTCAATGAGAGCCCGTGGTGCGTAGTTTGTGAGAGGACATACCTCCCGATAAACGAGCATGAGGCAGAGCTCCTGTTCCCCGACTTTCCCTGCGTGCAACTTCATGGAGAGCTGGAAATTACTCCCTGGTGAGAGTGATGGAGAGTCGTGGAACTCCTCCAGGATGATTTGTTGTGGCGGTCGCGAAGTGAGAGAGTTGCTAGAATGTATAACATCCTGTGCCGAATCACCTGACGAAGCTGAGCAACTGTCAGAGTTTTCTTTAACATAAACATAGAAGCTTTTGTCACTCACTTGAAGGAGAATTAGGTTTCTCTATCCACAACTCATCCTCAGGACCCTCAACCAGCCACATCTCTCCGATTGATTTCGTCCCCACGTTCGACAACCAAAGACGCATCTCGTGACATTCTCCGTGAGCAAGAACGAGCTGACCATCGTCGACAAAGTTGACAAGCAATCGCTGACTTGCGTCCTCGATCTCCGTCTGGATCATTACATCGGGGGCGTACATCTTGCTCTGGCGTTGCAACGGCGTATCCTGAAGTCGACGGCCTCTGGAAGCCAAGGGTTCGATGGTCGGTAGAAGGGAAAGGAAGTCGTAGGAAACGTGAGTTATGAGGAGTGTCAGAGGTTTCTTTGCTCGAAGAAACAATGGAATCTACGGCCGGAATGTCAGAAAGTTGCGAATGATTCGGCATGGTAGGGGCGTTAATCACCGTCCGAATCTCCTTGGCATTCAAAACAAGATCATCGACGACTTCGACCTCCACAACGTCTGGTCTAAGGTCCTCATCCTCTGCGAGCTTGTCCCGCAAAACAACGGTCAAGTTGGACAGATTGACGTCAACGTCCATGGGATTGCGTAAAGTCACATCCACCCAGAATGTCTCTATATGGTGAATAATAATGAGCAATAGCAAAGGGCATACAAAATGTTGAATCACCCACCATCGACGGCAGCCTTACTCGCACTTCGAAGCGTCTCCTTCCCCCTTGGCTTCCAGAATGCTCGCCACGTCTCCTCTTGGACCTCCCAAAGCGCTTCATCTCCACCCACAGAATCGCCACTCAATCGCAGTCGTGTCTGGCTGGGTACAGAAAACTTAACGGGGAGTTTCATTCTCGTCAAGTCAATCTTCTGGTCTGCCGTATCTTGCAGATGCTATGCACACGGACCGAAGCTCCATCAGGATTGGTCACAATAATGTATAGACAAGACAATCACCTGTAGCGCGACGCGGAAATCTTCCAGAAACACCTTGTCGGATCCCATAGCCTTCGAGCCATCCGCAATATTTCCGTTCGGCAGCCCCAGCAAAGCCGCTCTATCAACAGGTTCTGAAGAGCCACGTAAAAGTTTCAGGAAAAACTGGACGGCCGCTTCGACGTTTCCCGTGGTATAGTGCAATCGGCCTGTAAAATATAACAGTATCGGGCGATAAAGTGAGCTTTCGGGTGCAGAATCCAGAACAAAGCCATGGTCATGAGCATACCGAGTGCATGTTCGATCCCGGGTAATATAGCGTCAAAGCCACCCGAAGCATGTTGCTCCACCCCTTCCGAGTCCCAAAAGGACGGTGACAGATCCTTCTCTGGCGAAGGTCCATACAGATCGTGCGCTCTCCGCAGGAAATACATCGTCAGCGGTTTCTGGGATCATATTAGTACGAGACGACTGTCAACATATTAACGAGAAAACCTCACAATCCCATACTTTTCGAGCTTGTTCGCCGCGAAAAGGTACCATAGCGCCGCCCGTCTCCGCGCATTTTTTCGTACACTGAGCAGCGCGGCATGGCCATACAAGAGCGCAGACGGTGGCTCTTCTGCCTTGAACGTTCCCATCCTCATGAGTAAAGGATCCGTCTGGCATCTCGCAGGAAGAAAAAGGGGGATAATGTTTCGTGAGCCACGTACCGATCCGGCTGCCCATACGAGCCACTTGTCCCCTTCAAGAACGTTGCCCAAAAAATCCGACATCGAGAGACAAGATTCCCACCGGACGGCATATACCATCGTTCGTAATTGGACAAGGGCGGACAGTTCGGATTGGGGCGTTCGGATGGTGTTGAGGGCGTGTGTGACGTGGAGTTGAATTGCGGGTGACGGAGCGAGGAGGAAAGGTAGAGTTTCCTGCATAAGCGATAGAAAAAGGAATAATTTAAGTATCATGGTCGTATACGCGGGCAACTTAAAAACAAGAATATTCTTACCGACCCACCCTTGCCGTCCTTCCTGAGGGCCTCCCATACCGTTGTGGCGAGCTTGATGTCGCCTAATACTGTGGCGAACTCTGCTAGCCGTTGTTGCTGCGAGATGCGGTCAACGGGGGTGGGGAAGCCCGTTGAGAAGGTCTGTGAGCTGGATACTGAATGTGACCTGATTGGGGTGGATATTGCCGGAGATGGAGCTGAAGTGGCGCCGGTGCCAAACAGACGACGTGTAGAGGAAAAGAGGCGAGAAGGAAGTCTTCTATTGGAGGAGAACTTGTGGCGAGCAATGAAAACTTAGTAAAAAGCCAACGTCCGGAGAGGGTTTGCGGAAAAGAACATACGTTTTCGTTCCAGTCATTGACGCACTTCTCCATCCACGGGACTAGACTCATGGTGACAAACTCGCGGACAAACCGAGCGGTCTGCTGAATATCGGGATCATTCATCCTGAGAGTATTCAGCGTTACTTCAACGTCGGCAGGCGGACGCGCGGCGGGATTATTCGCAGCTGCAGAGGAAGGGTCGGGGCTGCCTTGCGGCAGCGGTGGTGGAGGTAGGCGAGGTAAGAGAGCGGGGACGGGAACAGGGGGTGGTGGTGGTGAGGGTACGGTCAGAGGGAGGAGATAACTATGTAGTCCATATTGTTTTTTGACTGCGTTGAATAATGCGCCCGCTCTATACACAGTCAGCCTGGAGCGTGAGTCCGGAATATATTTCACTCACTCTTCGTCCGATAGGGCAGAGTTCTTGGGATGTACGATCAGGGTGTAGATGAGACGCGCACTGTCAACCCAAGGAGGGAGGTCCGGAGGTCGTGTGTGAAGTTGTGCCAGTGCCTGTAAAGGATTCGGAGCCATGGTGGACACGGCGAGTATGACTGACACACAATCAAGTCAGCACCCAACCATTCGACCACATGAACTAAGAACAGAAGCTCACTCGAAACTGGATGATTCCATCCCTCCACAGTAGACGGAATATGATCTCCATGCACACACCTCTTCAACTCTTCCCACCACGGTGTCCGATACTTCATATCCGCCTCCTTCTCAGCCGCTGGTGGACCCGTATTCTCCCAATCATCCACCCATTTCGAGCACCTTTGCGAGACGCGCGCGCTGATCCAGTCTATGGTTCTACCTGCGCGCTGCTCTTCGTCCTCCCGACATGCGGCCTCGATCTCTTGCAAGTCTGAGAAGCGAAGGACGAATGAATCATGTGGCACCGGGCTCAAGGAGGTCGTCCGAGTAGTTACTGCGCATAGCCAACAAATTATAAGCCGTGATTTACTAGCAAAAATGAAGAAGATCTAGCCTGCCTTGAGGAAGCGGGGAGAAAGATTGGAGGATATGTGGCAACGGCGGTAGCGCGGTGGAATCAAGAAGTTCAGCCAAGTCTGGGGAAGTTAGAATACATATGTGCGGGCTCAACGACGTTGGCAAAGCTGGTGGCATGTTCCCTAAAACAAAAGTATCAGGCCATACAACAGAAGTCGAGCTAGAACGGGTGCGAAAGGCTGTGTTGAGGCCAAAAGTTGAGTTGGTGGCACAGAAGAGGTGTGCCTTATTACCGCATCAAGCACGATCATGAATATCTGCCTCGCTTTCGCTTCCCAGGTTTCGAAGGATCTCGAGCTCTTCGTCTTCGAATTTTGCTGTCCCACCACATCAGCGAAGTATTGGTTTGACGAATTGGGAGGATTTTGTAGGAGCAAGTCGCATACTCAACAAGTTTCATAGGCCGAAAGGGGTACATGTACGAGTAGTATGCAAGTAGCAAAGAGTCGATGTTCACAGCTTCAAAGAGCCCGGACGAAGGTTACACAAAGGGATGATACATAGGGGTAACATAGTGTACAATAATTCTGTGTCCTTCCACACTAATCCAAGATAAAGAATAAACGGATAAAGAAAGTCAAACCTCCACAACCGGTCAGAACCCACCAGACAACAAGTCTCCCAGCAAAAGACCGCCAGCCAGACCACCTAAAATAGGTAAACCAGCCCCTCCAAATCCACCGCCACTTCTCCCATAACCATTCCCATAGCCACTGCGGCCATAGCCATTCCCGTAACTGTTGTCATATCCATTCCCGTAGCCTCCATAGCCGCTGCCGCCGTAGCGTCCGCCGTAGGAGCGACCACCATAGCTTCCATAGCGGTTTCCGGGTGCGAAGGCAGAGCCGCCATAGTAGGGAGTGCCTTGAGGTGGGCCGTACGCTGTACTGTAACCCGTGCGCCTGCCGGCGTATTGACGATCGTATTCGGCTTGCCGTTTCTGGTACTCGGCTTGCTGGCGTTTCATAGCCTCAGCGTATGCTTTGCGACGTTCCTCATCCACCTAAAGGGCAAAAGATATCAACGCACTACCCTGAGAGCAAGGAAACGATGGACAACGTACCCTAGCCTTCTCCTTCTTATACGCCTCCCGCTCCTCCTTCGTCCCAATCGCCTTATCCTTCATCTTCCCGAAGAAGCCACGCTTCTGCTTGCCCTTCGCGTTACGTTCCTCGAGAGATCCAGAGCTAGCAGGACGCGGAGAACCAGAGGCCTCCCCAGGCCTCGTCGAAGTCGAGCTGCCAGCCGCAGAGTAGGAATGTCTGCGCTCAGCCGACGGCATTCCGTGTCCCTCAGAGTTGGTACTATCCTCCGGCATCTGCTGCTCCATCGCTTTCTCTATCTTCTGGCGGACTTCAGGATGTTCAGAGAGGTATTGTTCATCTTCGTATGGATGAACCCAGATCGCTCGAGGAGGAGTTGCTTTCGTATCAACCTAGGGATCAAGAGATACCGATAAGACGTGTGCTGGGATACGGGTGTCTTGAAGACGAGAGTGCACTCACATAATATGGGTGATCTGTGCGTGGGTCTATTTCCATGATCCAGCCATATGGAGGCGGAGGAAGTGAAGGCGCGTTTTCTGTGTTCGAAGAGGACATGATGGTGTGGTTGGGGATGGTAAAGCAGAGAGATTGTGTGCGCTGCTAAGGAGGAGACGCCTGCTTATGAGCAAGTCGGTCACGGAAGCATCGTCATCGCCTCGGAGCTTGCCGTGCGTTACCCCGCAAGGACAGGCCAATGTCTCGGGCGAATCAGGGCCACACAGTGTGACACACACAGCTTCAATCAACAGTGCCACAGCAGAAACTGCAGAGTGTGCGAACTGCTCTGTACACTGGAAGAGCCCACATGACATGACATTACAGACAACAGATCAGTGTCCCCGTGGCCGTGAAAGAATCGAGTCAAGCAAGATCGAGAAAAGCAGCAGAACGGAGACCGACAGACGCACCGATGTCGAAGTGTCTCCATACCTGACTATCGGATCGCACAGGGATAGTACAAGGCAAAACATTTCAATTGGTATTAGGCGACGGGCCTCTGCCGAATAAAAAAACGTACAAAGATAGAGCGCAAATAAATACATGAAGTGACCAACCGTGAAGCACCGTGGAAAAAATAAGGGAATAATCAAGCACGAGTCCTGCCAAGTCGACGAGCGAGGTTCTCAATCTGTTTCGCCTTCTGTTCTGCGGGCATCTACGTATACACAAATACAATTAGCATACTGGTCAAAGTAATGGAGGAGAGAACCGGCAAACCTCATAGAAGTTCCTCATCTTCTCCTTCTGAGACTGATCTATAGCACGAGCCCGCGCAAACTCATCCACGAACGAGGCGTCACCTCTGTTTCCCGATCCTCCTCCAGAGTTGACACCCTTCGGACGTGCCACCTTTCCAGTGTGACCTCCCCGGCGCCGCTTACCCCACACCCTCTCAGACTTCGACGATGCACCGCTCGGTGGTGTATTCCAACCCTTCGCTTTCGGGACGGCCGCCCATCCGTCTTCGTCAGGAGGTACGCCCCACCCACTACGCTTCTTGCCCCACGCGTTCCCCTTGGTCTCTACCCATCCACCATCATCCTTGGCGTCGGTCTCCCAAGCCTTATCGTCGGGAGGCAAGTCCCAACCATTCCCCTGCACACCCAAGTCATTCGTCCACCCCCAAGCCTGAGCATCGGGCGGGTTGTCCCACTCATTACCGTCCCCCACCACCTCTGGCTCGGGTTGCTCCCAGCCCGCATCCCCCCACCCATCACCTACATTCCAGGGATCGTTCGCGCGATTGAGCTCTTCAATCCGTGTTAATACGTCTTCCATGGTCTCGTGCTGTTCGCCGACGAGCCCCCGTTGCCAGTGCATAACGCGCTCTGGCTGGGCGTCGACCCATCCGGTCGTCGGGGCTCCCTTGATGACAATGTCCTCAAAACGATAGATGGGTGGAAGATACTCGGGGGAAGGGGGTCGACGTTGGTCATACTCGCGAACGGAGGCACGATGAGCTTCGGTTGCTTCGTGCTCGATGGCTTTGCGTATCGGCATGTTCTCAACATCGTGGCAGACATCGCATGAATATAAATTCACGCCGAGCGATATCGTGAAATCTGTTTCGATTTGTCAGGGAAGCGTCTCCTACTGAGCAGGACCACAAGTGAACGCACGAAATGGATTAGCCAGCTTGGGCTTTGCAGCACGTTTGTACGCGCTCGCAGGCATAGTTGTGTGTCGACAAGAGACAAGCAGAGAGCCAGATGGATGTGGGTGTCGAGAAGAAGGGGCCCTAGGGCTTTAGCGAGAGAGTGAGCCGCTCTTGGGTTGAGGGAAGAGAAGACCCGGACATGGCTTTATACGCTTGAGAGCTTTCTGGGAATTAGTGGCAATTGAGTGGCAAGCGCCGGAAGCGGACATGAAAATGACACCACACGTGATTGGCGGCGGATTATCTCTCCTTGATCTTATCTTAGATCTCAGGGAGATGTGTCTCAGATATTATCGGTCCCAGATATTGCGTCTGCATCTTGGACGGTCAAGGCGTCTATGGTCTAATCTTCACTGATACGATTGTACGGTTAATTTCGCGTATTACCACCCAGAAATCCTCTGGCTCACTGCACAGCAACTCTCCCAAACATATGCTCCGGCTCAGTCACATTGCGCCGCCACGAGATCTTCATGCGTCCAATCCAAAAACACTATTAGAGCTAAACACCGACAGGAAAATAGCCACAGGAATACACAGATGTCCATATCGAGTCCATACCACGTAAAACAATCCAAGCATCAGATAACGATACCCTCCACCACAATACCTCCGTGTACTGCGATTGTATGCAGCTGGTCGAGACTCGATCACGAAGGGCCAGAGAGCGGGTCCACCCATGTCCCATTCGGCCAAAGAGTAGCAGCCATCGTGAAGTCACCAGCACTTCCACCGTTCGTGAGCTGTGAAAGCCCCAGATGATCAGCCTCGACCATGATGGGCATATAGAAGTAGGGAGAGAGAAGGACGCACGGCAAGCCTGAAGAAGTGCGGGATGCCATCTGCTAGTGACGATAGCGAGAAATTGAGTGCCGTTCCGACGTATCGCTCAACGTCGTCCACCAGAAGCTCGAAACCGTCCCAATCATCCCCGCTGGGCAACGCATCCCAGAAAATGGTCTGGTTTTGTAGAGGGACAGATGCATTGTACGTTGTGGAATTGGTGAGGAACGAGGGGAGAGCACTACCCGACGCGGCGTCTCGCTGGAGCTGACGATGATATATAAAGCATCAGTACTTCGTGAGAGGAGACAGCTAATGTGAGCCTTACCTGCGCCGCGGTTTGTAGGATAGAGTCGAAACCCCAGGCAGCTGCTCCATTCAGGAACATACCCAGGAGGAAGCCTTGGTATATCGCCGACAGTCTCGTTGGGAAGGCGGTTCCCGGGATGAGAGCCATAGCAAGGACATAGTGATGGATGCGCAGGTTCAAAGTGGGTAGGAATGCCAGAACGAGGACGGTGAGGCCACCAAAGATGTACCAGCGCAAGTAATGCGGCAGCCAACCTGTCTTGCGAATCACTCGGATTTGGTTGACGACGATGAAAATGAGGACGATTATTATGATGATCAGGGCAGTGAGCCCGCCTGGCTGAGCTTTGATATCCGCCGCCGTCAGTCGATCAATGGGAATCTTGTCAGTAGTGAGATTCGTCAGGATGGTCACTATGGAACGTGTGTGTTAATATCAGAAAGGACGTCGAGGGCGAGGAACATACCCCAATATGGTCCAAGGAACCATATTCCACCCTCTATTGGCATTGTCTTTGAGAAGACAGGTAAAACATGCCGGATCGCCATGCGCCAGAACGCATAGCAGATGAACAAGGTGGGCAGGAACGTCCCAAATGCGTCCGCGAGGTCTGGGGGGTTTGTCCGAGGTTGCGAAAAGAGCGTAACGTGCCAGAAGCCAATACAAACCAAACACCAAAACAAGATGATGGGTCTGGGGCGAAGAACCATGAAGATTATCGCGGTGACTATGACGTTCAGGGCCAGTGCATCGTTGCGCAGATCGCTGCATTGTGTTAGAGCAGAAGACGGGGTGACGCGGTACGAGAGGGGGAAGATGGTAGGAAACCGGATGGATGTGAGTCCATTGGCTACGCGTGGGAGGAAGTCCGTGAAGTTTCCGAGGAGGCTGACGGTCCCACACCCTCCAACGGAGTCGTCATAGAGGCCGCTGTTGGTGACGGATCAGCATACCAGACTGAGAATGCTGACTGAAAGAGAACTGACGCTTGGAGTGCAGCCGCACAGATGAATGTATCTCCCCGATATGTCCAGTTGTCATCCCCACCACCCACGATCAATGGCACCCACTCCGTCTGTTCGTTTCCCACCGTCCGCGGGTTCTGAAGAACGACCGAGGCACACTGGGCCGGGCAACGGAAGTCAACCGTAGAGTCGTCGAACGGAGCACAGCTCGCGCCGTCAAGACCACATCCGTCGTTCGCAAGCCAAAACGTCGAGGTACAGCCGATCCAAGAGTCACTAGGTGTCATGAACGAGTTGGCACGGGAAAAGAAGGAGAGGCCGATGATGTACGCAACGGCGAGGAAGAGGAAAAGCCATGGCGAGGTGAGTCGACGAGAGATTCTCATGAACTGAGATTCGACGCGGAGTGTGATGGTCTTGTTCTTCAGCTCTACATCCCTATCCAACAATGGTACAGGATCTGGTTTGCATTTCTTGGTCGGTGGCCTGCTAGTGTATTTGTGACGAGACAGGCGCACCTGGTAGATCAACCTTAGGCCTTGGTCCCAGAGTCCACCTGTACCATTGAAGTGCTCTGCCGTATGTGCCAGGGTACTTGTCAGCAGCACGGTTTCGCACTCGTGTGTACCAGGCATTGCGGGGTTCGGGAGAGGTTGAGCCGTATTCTAATTCGCCCATGTCAGGGGACTTGGCGTCCGATTCCACCAGTGGATGATCAGGACTACGAATTGAGCTCGAGCTAGAGTCTGACTCCATGGCAGTGAGCGTGGTGAGTGGTGCGACTAAAGCCTGAGATGCATAAAAGAAGACTACGGAGAACAAGTCGTGTGTAAGTATGAGAGCGCGGAAGGGGATGCAGGAACTGCGCTCGCCACACGACCTGACTTGGGCCTGACACACTTTTACCACATTACGTACTGGATCACGAGCGTGGGAATCAAAGCGTCGAGGAAATTCGTGCCACACAACATGCACACCGCGGCCACCCGTCAACCACCCGTCTCTGACTTTTTTGACTCATTGTGGGAGTTCGCTCGCTTGATATGTGTATGTCATTTCCGATAGAACCGGGGCCAACACGTTGAGCAATCTTCATACGTTTATACTCTCAAGCGGATATAAGACACCCCAGTCGTCTTGTCCCCTCACCCATCAATCCGCGCCATGGCTTCTATGATGCTTTCCTTCGTACAGTGAGTTGGGGGACAGATGAATTCCCATGATCAACTGACGCAACTACTTATCACCGAAGGAATCTTGTTTACTCGTCCTCAGTCGCAGAAAGTGACCATGGATTGGTCGAGCCAACTACGGACCAAGAGTATGTGTTTACCCTCAAGAATCAGGCCGCCGTGCAGGACAAACTGGATGAAGGAGTGGTCAAGGTTTCTAAACTTTTGATCCACCCTATCAAGGTAACAGTCTGCTTCGGTGTATCGCCCTCGTTCTTTGCTGATTGAGACAGAGTTGTCGTGGAACCAGCGTAGCTTCAGCTAGATACACACCTATTGGACTGGAGGTCAGTAGCGTCATTTTCCACGAGATCTGCCGCTCACCTGTGCTAGTCTCTTTCCCGTGAGATAGAATGATCGCAGGTGGTGTATTCTCGATGCTAAGAACCACGGTATCATGACTGCGAGAGCGATTCCCAAGGTAACACGTTTGTAATACCGCTGCTGTTGAATGTTCAACTCACGTGGACATCCCTTTGACTGTCCTCGTGTCATAGATGGTACTCATAACACCACGAATCATTGAAGATCCCTCTGACCCCTCTGGTGGCCGGCTCGAAGTCTCATTTCCTCCTGAGTCAGGTTGCGAAACATTCTCGATACCGCTCAACCCTACACCCGAGATTCTGCAGGATTGGGATATGTGAGTACCATTTCTCAGCTTTTCCCGCGAATGGTGTCTGGCTCATAACATTCTCACTACTAGCATTGATGACTGTACAGTCCACAGTTTCAAGGAAATTGACGGCTACATCACCCAACCGTGTCAGCCGTCCGGTGATCCTACGCTATGCTCTACCATCCTCAGTCGCTACATGGGCCGCGAAGTACATCTACTGTATAAGGGTCCTCGGCCGCGACCTGCGCCTCCTACTGTAGCCTTTCCTGATCTGGAAGCGACTGTTGACTACCATGATGGCTACCCACTCTTGGTAGCGAGCGAGGAGAGTTTCATGGGTGTGAAAGCTTTAGCAAAAGCATGGTGTAAAGAACAGACCAAGGAAGAGTTGGTCAACTGGGATATCGACTCGCTTGTAATAGAACGGTTCGTTCCCTGTCTGCCTGCCTACCCGCCTCAACCCTTTTCACTTACAAGAAATGCAGGTATAGGCCAAATATCGTGTTCAAGGGATCCGGTGTCCCATTCGCAGAGGATTTCTGGCGACACATCCATATCTCACCAGCTGGGTCAGAAGACTCAGAGAACGACGGTGCCTTCTCGTTAGTTTCGAAATGTACCCGTTGTATGGTGCGTATTCCGTGATGAGCCCTTTTTGTACGGCAAGGGTCACTGATAACGGTTGACAGCTACCAAATAGTAAGTCTGGCCGTCTCTGTCCCCTGTGACTGAAGGTGTTCAGAGTACGATTGTTTTCAGTCGACCCAGCCTCTGGTGTCCGCAACATGGCTATCCCTTCCAAACCGATGCTGCAGTTCCGGAAGGGCTTGGCCCCACCCAATACCAGCAATTCATGTTTCGGATGCAATGCAGTACCAGCCGGTTCTGGTGTGATCCACGTCGGGGACATCGTCCGTGTTGAGGACTGGGAAGACGTCTAAGGTGCGTGCAATACCATCTCGTTTCAGGCCGCATAAAATAATATAGCATAGCAAGACTAGGCTCTCCGTTTACAGTATAACGCCACTGCTGATACAAGAGGGTATTGAGAATAAATACGTGACACATCGCTCACTGCGTCTTCCTATCTTCTTTCTCCTTCTTGGCCTTCTTTTCCGCAGCGAGGCGAAGTTGTTTTACCCGGGTGTTGAAGTATGTCTATGAGGATTGTATCTGAAGTCAGTCGCCACATCGAAGACGTAGATACACAGCACCACCTACTCCCATAGTGAATCCAACCAAGTTGAAGAAGGGCACCCAGAGCTGGAAAGGAAGGCCTGCAATCAGCGGAACGAAAGACGGCCTAGACGTTGCGACGCACCTCAGGAGCGAGGAATCTCTGTGCAAACAGCATGGACAACGGGCTACTAATCCACATCACCTTTGGAAGCATGTCAGCGCCCAGGTGGCCACGAGTGAATCCGAGATAAATACCCTGATGACAGCCATGAATCCGCCTTTAACGGTCTTGACAACAACGTCAACCGTCCTCCCGCCGTTGATCACAGCCATGCATGCGAGGTACACTGAGTAGTCAAGCTCTCCGGTTAACAGGATATATATAATAATGAAGACTATTGTGGACTCACCGACAGTCTGTATAGGCGCTACCAACAAATTGCTCGCAAGAATCTGCCCGAACTTTGCCCACTTCCCTGTCCTACCTGCGAATGCCTTCTGCAATGTACCTACGAGAACGTGACCGAGCGGGGCAGAGACGAGACCACCTGAAGACGTAGTATCGGCTAACGTAAATATTCGGGTGTGCTTCGCTGTAATTAGAAATTGAAACATGCCGTAGAGAGCCATCGTGAATGCCTTCTGCTCGACCTTTGCCTGGGCAAGAGCATGACGATAACTAGGTGCGTCTTTAGGAGGATTGCGTACGGGGACACCAGCCAAATGAGTGGCTAGCACCTCTTGCAAGAACGTGAGTACACCTAGAGGAAGATTCGTGTCAGTTAGAGGACATTCACGATACGCGCCGTGCTACCCCACGAGCTTTCAACGCACCGAGAGTAACGCACTTTGTTCGTAAAGGATGTGTGTTGAGTTGGGCTAGGTATGAGACGAGAAGAGAGTTCCTCGCGGCCGCTTTAGTTGGCAGTGGTGACGCGCTCATGTCTGATGCTGTAGATACAGCGAATGTATAAGAGGAGGTCGAATACAAGGAGGATACAAGGAGGGGCAGCAAGAGGCGTGCCACAGTCCGGCACTCAGCACAGTCAAGTAGCCGGCCGCCGCCGGCGTGCAAGCTTGGTCGGCAATGAAGCGGCGTTCGAATTGGAGCACAAAGTTTCAGAGCCTGCTGCCAGCTGGCACGCATGGCCTGCTCGACTTTGCGAAAAAAAAGGTACACCAGTCCTTGCTCATTCCGATTCGTTCAGGCTTTGGCTCAATGTGACTGTGTATCTGAGACGAGTACATTGTACAAAATAAAACAGCCAAAAAAAAATACTATCTAGGTACTTAGAAGTTAGAAAACGACAGCCACTCCAACGCAAGCCTCTACGAGTACGATTTACATCTGAAAGTCAGGAATATCGGCGACAGCATACTAAGCGAAATATATGTACCAATCTCGGGTAATTACAAGATTCACCACCCTCTGAGCCATCGATCACCACCATACCTCAAGCCAAAAAACCTCTCCGCCTCCAGTTCTCTATCCACCGCACCACATCCTCCGAATCAATGACTCTCACCGTTCGTGAGCTCAACGTCGGTGAAGCCTTGCACGCAGCTGTGATATCAAGGTTTGGGAAACCCATGACCTCCACTGTGATATCAAGATTGTCCGCTTGAAAGAAGGGGAGGATCTTCGCTGCGGGCAACCCAGAGTCAGTGTCTTCGCTAAGATGAGCGCGAGCCTGAAGCAGCGCAAGCCACTCTTGGTATGTGACCAGTGGCGTGTCCAACACCTTAGAGACAGCATCTGCAACAACCGACCAGCCGACGGGGTTGGGATGTACGAGATGTAAGATAGGGCTGTCCGCGTTACACATTTCAACTAGGACACGAGCTGCCTCGTCCAGAGGGATCCACGTTATGACCTTATTAGCAGGGAATCAGTACCCATATCAGGAAGAGAGGGAATGTCGGATGGACTAACCTGGCTCATCTGGGGAAAACATCCCAGTGTGCGGCCGGACTTGATCATGGAAGGGACCCAGTCGGTTTCGTTCCAATACCCGTTCATGGCACCGCTGATCTGACCGACGCGGACGATTATCGGCCGCAGACGAGTTTCTTGACTGACTCTGTGAAGGATCGCCTCCGATACCCATTTCGACTGGCTGTACCCACTTCCGATGGCCGATGAGCTATCTGTGAAATCCTCTGGTACAGGTCCCGTCCCAGCGACATCTGAAGCAAGCAAACGTTTTAGGAAGGAGCATAGCGTGTTGAGGATAGAACTCACTACGTAAAACACCAATAGTGCTGGTGAAAGTGAGGCGAGGGAGGACAGGAAGAGTGGACGACAGCGCCAGGTCTACTAGCATCCGGACGGTCCGCACGTTCGCCTCGAAAGAGGACAGACTCAGGTTGAAATCTACACGCCAAGCTATGTCCAAAACCGTCAGCGAGAAGTAGAGAAAAAGGGAGAAAAACACACAAACCAATATGCACAATGTGTGTCACCGACGCACGAATCTGCAAGGTAGGTTAGTGTATAAGATCACTGGATAAAATGACCCTCTGACTGACCTGATCCAACAGCGCGGAAGTCAAACCCAGGTCAGCCTCGTCCATATTTGTCTCTATCAGCACAAGCTTTTCTGACTGGATACCACAGGGTAACCCCTGCTTCTCGAATGCCTTGAGCTGTCTCTCTCCCAACGAGAGTGAGCCATGAACCCGACGGTTTACGGCGTAGACGCGAGAGACAGAGTGAGTGCCAACGAGCTGGGCCAAAAAAGCTGCACCCAGAGCTCCGGTCGTACCGGTTACGAGGAGAACGTCCTTCTCCGGCATAGCCTCCTTTGTACTCGGCACAGGGGTAGCAACTTGCAAGCCCTGAGTGTATTTTTTCACCATATCGTCCATATCTCGAAGCTTTGCTTCGGGTGTCATAGACGCAGTGTGAGCGGAGGAACGGCTGCCGATGTGAAAGACGTGTGATGCAAGGCTTTCGATTGTCGGGTGTTCGTAAACGATGCTATGAGACACGAGGTTCGTATTGACGGAGGCAGCGTCACGGAGGCATCTGAAGAGCGTGTTGCGAATCCAAGTGGCCTGTAAACTGTATACATGTAGGTTAGCTCAGTATGCGTGACCGAGCATCGTTACCATACGAACCTATCGCACCCATACTGGAAGAAATCTTGGTCGTCGGCTAGTTGCTTGTACTGAATAACGTTCTTGACAACGTTGCGCACGAACAAACGAATTGACGAGAGGCTCCATTTGGTTGGCGAGCCTATCTGGGTTTGCGTGGTCTCCTCAACAGTACGATACAGCGCTTCGATCTCGGCTTCATATTCCTTTATAATGACTTGCCTTCGCGCCGTATTTTTGGCAGTGTACTGTAACGGCTTGTCCGGGGAGGCCACGACAATCATCTGTACAGACAGTGGTAAAGACGTCAGGCCTTGTCAATTACCACACGGCTGGCTGGAGAAGTATACCTCCTTGAACAAACGTGAATGTTGCGGGGCATACTCGTTCAAACGGGTGACAGACGGCCTGAAGGTAAGACATCGTTGAGCATCTGAACAACCATGATATACATGCACCAAAGGTATGGTACGCGCCAAATATCTGTCCGAAACTGACTGAGTTTCTCGGTGTCATTAGGGTCGAACTTGTATTCTGGCCGAGGGTCGATGATGACGCCCGCGTTGAAGCGCCCTGTTCCAAACATCACCGAAGAGAGTACTCGAGGGTCTTGATTCAGGATATTCTCTGTTGAGTAAATGGCAAGAGATCAGCTTCAATTCGAGGACGAAAAAATGTGACCGTGCGATGACCTAGTGGGCCAGGGTTCGTCTACGGACAAAAGGATGCCGTTGAGTATTTGAGCATGGCAAGCACTGTGAAGTATTGCATACCTTTTCTCCCGTGTTATGCATAATTTGATCATCACACCGGCCAAAAACTTTCCAATAGCCGGGTTTCGTTGGATGGGGACTGAATAGGTCGCTAGTATAATAGCAATCCTCGCCTCCGACCGTACCATTGATCACACAAGGCATTTCATACGGGTTTGGCTACGAATCGCACGATGAAGCAAACTGATGAGATGAGGGAAAGAAGTTCTCCTTACCACGATGGCAAGCTCTGCCTGCCCGAACCCATTCGGAACGTACACTCCTTTCATTTGCGATGACAGCTCAAAATATTCCCAGTCCAAGCTTGAGGACACTGGACCACCGATAAGTTCATGCCAGACCAATTATAGGAAAATAGGACTAACGAGGCAGAATCGGACTCATGATCCCTATTTCAGAGCTGAGGTTCGCATCAGGTCAATGAAGGCCAGGAAGTCACCAATTAAAAGTACACACCAGCCATATAGGATATAGATCGAGATGCCTTCTCTAGTGAGGGCGTCGCCAACCTTCTTGTTCAGTGGTCCGCCCCCAAAGAGCTGTTTTTGACGTGCGCATGAGCCTCGTGGACTCAGAAGCAACTAAGGCGACTGCGGACGTACGAGACCATCTGTCTGTGTCAGCCTGGAAACGTATGCTGGATTTTGGGCCCAATTCTACAAAGCGTCAAGGAAGCGAAAACAGTAGTGTACGGTCGACCCTTACCTCGATGAAACTGGGCACGCAGAACACAATATCACTTTGAGTTTCCACCAACCCAGAAAAGACGTTTTCAGGCGTAGCCGCTAATGCGGGAGTTTGTGGTTTCGCTGCGGTAAGAGTCAAACCTGCAGTGGCCTGAAAGGAAAGGAATTGGTCAGGGATCAGACGTGAACGTCGCAAATAAGGAGGGACCTAGTACCGTCCATCCAGTCTGCATCATCCCCATCCCGTGGTACATCGGCATAGCCTATATGGCATAGGAAGACCTTGAATCAGCGTAGCTGGCATAAAGAAAGAAAATGGGAAACTAACATGACAAGAAAATCTGACACCCGTCATGTCTTTCTCGCCGAAATCTGAAAACACATTAGTATGAATCCTCGAAAGTCCTCCTAATGTTTGTACTCACAAGGAACGTAACCAATTTGCATCAGGGATATGTGCGACCAGGGAATTGGCTTTGGGAAAGCCGTAGAGCCTAGGATGTTGTGTTTGAGATGAAGAACGAGAAATGAGCTCAAACAGAATACGGCAGACCTGAAGAATGGAGAACAACAGCCAAGGAATCTAAGGTAGGATGAAATGGTGGTAGAAGCTCAAACTGTCCATCATCTTCAAGGTACATGTCCGCATACGTGGGAATATGGGAGAATTGGGGAAGAACCGACACGAGCCGTTCTTCATGCATAATCTTAAGAGCTGTCTCCAGAGTATTCCGAAGAGCAGTTTCGTGCCCGACCAGAATATGTTTGGTGTCGGTTTGAGCTAGAAGATGGGCCACAGCGGTCGAGGAGTTGCGAGGCGAGACGAGGAAAGCAGCACATCCGGCGCGACAAATTGCTGCTATGACGGTGAAATACGTGATCGTATCTGCAAACCAGTGGTTAGGCAAACCGAGTCAAATGTAAGGGCGAAGTGCATACCAGAAGATGCAAATATGGCAACGACAGGATGTCTTTCGGAGCTTGGGGTGGAGATTCCAAGCTTAGCCTGGACGATCCGAGCACCAGTATGTACGGCGCGTACAGCCTCAGGCCAGAGTACTGTTTTCACGCCACCGAGACCGTCAGGATAAACGAAGATAGGATGAGATGGGGTATGAGTATAGTGCCAGTCATAAATCTCGGGAAGGGACAAGGATCCATCGAGAGGCGGGGGCTTGAATGTTGTGCTAGACAAAGCTTGAGTCTTGGGAAGTGGTGGAATCTGGAGGGTCGGAAAAGACACTCGAGGGCGAGGGATTTGCATTGCGTTGCTAGGCGAGGCGCACTCGAGGATAGTCCGAGTGTACCTCCAACGAGAAATATAGACCGACTTGAATCATGATCCCAATGAGAATGGAAGCTGGTAGTCGAGACCCCGAGAGGACAGTACTTAATCTGAACTTCACTCCCACAGCGATGAAGAATAGAACGGGAGAAAAAGCGCCCATCAGTGCTCGTCACAGCATTTACACAACGCTCGGAAGGAAGAAAGGATGCCGGGGATTCCCCATGACCTTTCCCTCAGCCCTTTCCGCATCTGGGTGTCTATCGAGAGTCGATTCAGCGCTTAGCGAAGGCTGAAAAGCTTTCGCTACTGCCGACTGCCGTGTCGAATCCGGTTCGCGTGATGGAACTTGGGACTTGTTGGATACCGTAGCCGTGCCCTGAGGCCCTTAGGGGACTAACGTGCCCAGACAGGATGGTGGAAGCCAACAAGCTGTATTTTACGGCATTGAGCCATACACTATTCTGGCCACGTGACTGTGGCGCATCGTACATATTCCAACAGAACTAGACCGTATCTGCGAGTGAATTTTTGACCTCGCTAAAGCTCGCTAAGGCCCAACGGGACGTGACGATTGGCCCGATCGCAGTTTTAAACCCGTTTTAAACGGTTGCAGATACGGTCTACTCTGCTGACATTTCTAATAAGTAGGCTACCCGAAGAGGAACAAGTGGAAGCAAAAGCGAAGAATTATGTCCGTGGAGACGTATCCTCAGTTAAGTTATTTTTGGATTACGTACTGCCTCTTCTGGTAATGCTTGCTCGGGACACTGGCCAAGGGAAATCCGCGGCAAATCACAAAGGAAGCCGAAGGCTTGGATTCTCCCTTGCGCGAGGGCATGATCCTTGTTTCGTCCATCTACATGCGTCACATCTTTCCCCTGTCCCGCCTTGGTTTTACCACATCGTTCTTCTCGATTTCAGTCAGACCACCCAGGCTATATCTGGCTATATACATAAGGAGTGAGGAGATGGTCAGCGAGAGCGGATAGCAACGTGGCGTCGAATGGGGGAGGAGGGTACTATGGAGAAGTGTCCTCACAGTTGCGTTTCGAAAGCTTGAACGTTTGACGTCCAGCAACGGCCAGGCTATAACGATGGATGGATCCGTCCGCATGGCATGTCTGGAAGTCTTCCCATGGCCACGCCGTTTGTCATTTTGGTATATTTTCCAGCTCACTACTTTTGGAAGGCAGCTTCTGGACACCTTCTCGATGATCCCTCTACCTCCGTATCAGTACTCGGCTTCCCGTTTCCAGGTTTTCTTCTGCCGATTATCTCTTGGGAGCTAAAGTCTCGATGTGGCAATGGCCCGTATCGTCCGACATCGGCGTGCCCACATTCTTAAGAGAGACGTCTTCCGAAGGCTGTCTTGGCCTCTGCCAGTGATACTATGTCTGCACTCGAGCCTGCCACTACAGACAACGACTCTCTTCCGGCATCCAGGCCATCTGACGTACCCAACAAACCGAGGAGTTCATGGAAAGACAGGCGTATTCTTGCGGGAGCCTTTCTCCTCCAGTTCTGCGCAGTCGGCTTGGTAGTAGCGTTTTCGACTCCTGTTTATGCCTGCTAACCAGGTTTGCTAGATTCAATCCTTCGGTGTCTTTCAAGACTTTTATGCTACCACATGGCTGTCCCACTCGACTGCTTCGGATATCAGCTGGATCGGGTCTGTCGGGCTGTTCCTTGAGTTGAGCCTCGGACTTGTCTCAGGAAAACTGTGAGCCGCTCAATGAACTGACCTATTTATGCCATTCTTAGTCTAACTCTTTTTTTTTTTGATTCGAAGCTACGACGCTGGCTATTTTCGTTCCACGGTCGTGGCAGGATGTGTGCTATTTACTTTCAGGTTCGAATTGTTGTTGCTTCGGCCTTTTTCTTTTGTTGTTGACAAAATGTATGCATTATGCAGCTTCTTCATGCTCTCATTGACGAAGGAGAATCATTACTATCAAGTAAGCGGCTACGTATGATTCGTTGTGCCTTTCTTGATTACATGTTGTCTGCAGGTGTTCCTATCTCAAGGCTTAGGGATGGGTCTTGGCTTGAGCCTCATCTTCACGCCCACATCCTCCCTCGTCGGAGACTTGTATCCTGTTAAAACCGGCTTAGCTATGGTATGTCCAGTGCTCGAGTACTGCTAGATCTTGAATTATTTATATCGTGATTCAGGGCCTGGTTTTGTCTAGTGCGCCTCTTGGGGCCACAATTTTCCCCAGTATGTGTTCTCTTTGTTTCTGATCATTGCTGATATATGTTAGTTATGCATCATTTGTTCAGTCATTTTGAACAACCTCATCCATAACGCGGTCGGTTTTGCATGGGCCGTCAGAATCTGTGCATTCATAACCCTTGGCTGTTTTACTCTTGGGTGCATTCTTATCTTAACGTCTCTCGACTCGAAAGTATCCCGGAAACGGGAACCTTCAGCCTCAACCGGATCCCTCCGCTCCGCCAAAAATGCCCCATACCTTCTTATTGTGCTGTCAGGATTTGTTGTCTCCCTAGGGACATGGTTTCCAAGCTTCTATGTACAGCTGTTCGCTGATAGTCATGGAATCTCGTCTGGTCTTTCATTCTACGCTGTTACTATCTTGAGCGTATCGTGCGCTGCGGGGAGGATCATTCCAAGCCATATCGCAGACACGTATGGTGCAGTCAACATGTACCCATACTGTGTTGCATTAAATGGTATACCTCTTGCTAGTTTTTTCATCCTTAAAGTCGGTTGCTATATTCCTTTGTTCTAGGAATGCTCGGGTTTGCGATGCTCGGCTGCGGAAATCCAGCTGGTCTTGTATTGTTCTGCATATTGTCAGTAATCAGTTCATGATGCAGATTTGGCAACTAACGCGGATGAGTTAGCTACGGGTTCTTTTTTGGATCCAGTAAGTTATGTACTCTTTGAGTGCACCGCAGTAGTGCTAACCACGGTTTTTTAACTTCAGCGATATCAATGTTTTTTCCGGTCGTTGTAACACTGACTCCCAAGGAATTGAACATGGGGTGATGCTCGAAATTCCTGACATCCTATCTGCATCATTCTCATGTTTGTTGTGTCCTTGTTCTCTCGGTACAGTGTCAGCGTCGGACTGGCCCTCACTCCCGTAGGAATAGCAACTCTCATAGGGTAAATCCCTGCTCTCGTGTTTCGTTGTCAAGCCTTGGAACGCTTACAGGATTTTCGCTCGCAGATCGCCAATCAGTGGTCTCATTCTTGGTCATGAACAAAAGTGGTGGAGAGGGGTGACATTCTCTTCGGTATACCTATTGTCGACACAGTTCAAACTAGTGGCTAATACTGATATCTTGGCCATCTTTCAGGTCTGCCTTCTAGGCGCAGCTGCATTGAATCTTGCGGCCAGGCAACTTTACGTGAAGAGCCTTAGAAGTAGGCAAACGCCGGAGGAGCCTCCCTCAAATTTAGGAGAGAAAGTTGACAAAGAAAATTGCAAGGCAGTATGAAGGAGGTTGATGTAGGAGGCCTTATTTCTTCTTTGGCTTTACTAGACTTTTCCGGGAATTTTTTCAGTGTGTTCAACTGTTATTGATGATTGCATATGTGAATATCTTGACGCGCGTGTTCAGTCTGAGTATCAAGTGAGGCCACACAGTCCGGTGGAAAAGAGCAACTGATTCTTGTGTAAGCAGCACAAATTTTCGCAAACAGCACACATCTCCCGCCATCATAGTATTCCGATAGGAAAGAAGTCATAAATACCAAGTGACCGCGCAGAAGGTGAAATTTAATCGTAGAGTGCATGAAAAATGGTAAGGATCGACGGAGAATTTCAAAGAATGAGCAGTATATTGAAGGACATCAACAAATAGGAGCAGTAAAAAGATAGTTGACCAGAAAGTAGACAGCGTAGAGTATCAAACATTACTACCGTCGTTAACGTCACTCCCGTCTTCGAATCGAATTCCGCTCCTGTTCGCTTTTTGTTGCACGCTGTACCTGTCTTGTATCGTTTCAGTTTCTTGCGAGATGTTGACATTGACAGCAACGGGGTTCATGGCGAAAGCGGGACGGGAGCGCTCGTGCATGGTCGTGATCTCGATTCCAGTGTTTTTGAACCGTACTCGCACGATGATCAAGCAGAAGACGAAACCTATGACAGGGCTTGACTGCATAAATGACATGCAAATGTCAGAGCTCGATTGACACGGCAGCGAGACGAGAACATGATAGAAAAGCTAACCGAATCCAGCGAGGGAAACTGAAGATTTGATCCAGAGAGGTAGGACACGAATGTCACCAAGGTGGCCGCTCTACGGCTACTTTCAGCGTAGTAGATGCAGAATATCAACACTACTACTCACGAATAGATAGCTGCACTCTCAACTAGAATCTGAAGGACTCGCTGAAATTGTAGCAGTATCAGCGTGTGTAACTTACAGTATGACGAAAACAAGCAACGCACAGGAAAGTGTACACCGGAGTTAGGGTCCTTGTATTGCCTGACGGTGTTGTGCTGTTTCAGTAGGCGGTAGGTAATGAGGGCTTGGTATAGAAGCCCGGAAAAGTTAATTTTACGTCGGAAAGTGTACCAAGCGGTACGCACAACTACAGTACAAGTTTGTGCTGTGGAAAATGCAGGTCATTAACGCGTCACTAGTAATAACGTCTCGGGAAACCTTACCATAGTGTTGCGGTGAAGACGGTTGTAATCCACCGTCCGCATGTAGAAGTGAAAACATCGACGCCCGGCGAAAGAAGAGAGAACTGCACTGATATACCGATGCCGGCACCTGACAGAAATAGTATTATAAAACGAGCTAGCCAAGTAGACAAATTAATGAGCCACTCACCAAATGTCAGCATAGTCGTCAAAACAGGGAACACGCAGGGTTGGATTGAGCGGCCCCATACGTGATAGAGGCGATACACCTGAGATTGGTGGTAAGTGTTCGCAAATCCCGCAAAATGTAGAAGTCCAGTTACCATGATGCTATCGCCGATACTGGCCTCGAAGATGTATAAAAATGTCTTCACCACATTCTTTCCATCCGAAAGCAGAGCGTAAAATGCTAGAGGGTTGCCATCCTTGTCATATATGAATGCGTCAAACAGCCGGATGATGTCTAATATCCAGTGCTAATATGACGTTCAACTCTGTGCACCCGAGAACATGTCTTGAAATATACACTCACAGCTACGATGGACACAAACAACACAAAGCAGGCAATAGCCATGGGTGACTTGAGTGTGGAGAGAGGCGAATGGCCTCCCCTAAAGCGTCGAGAGAATAGAAGGTAAACACTTGCAAAGAACGTCGCTAGATATATTCCTAGCAAAACGACGCTCAGTATGGCACAAATGACATAAGTCCAACAGGAACGAATGAGACATACCAAATAACAATGTCTCAATCACCATTCCCGCAAGCTCAGCTGGTACAAGTGAAATTTGAGGCATAGTGGGGAATTCCGAACTTCTGAAGTGAATATGCGTTCACGAGAGCAGCACCTTTAAATGCTGACAATGGACAACATTTGATGGCGCATTTGGTTCATCAGGCCCACGTCCAACGGTAGGCGTGGCTTGCCCATACCGGTAGCATCCTGCCATATTCTGAGCTCGCGGCTGAAGCCTGATACAGCCGTCTTCTCATCATGATTTCTCACAGGGGACAGATGATATCACGGAACTGTACCATAGCCTTCACTGTTCAGCGCTCAGTCAGTGATTCATGAACTGGACCCGGTTTTGTCAAGATTCAAGTTCATGTCGAGCGGCTGGCACGGGTTCCCCTCCCATGGAGCAGAGTTCAAGGGATTTCGCCACAAGCCTTACCTACTTATCAGGTGCGAGTCTTTCTTCGGATCTTCCAGATGAGAAAGAGACGATGAGTGCGAAGATCGGGCCCTAGCAGGACGGTAGCAAGACAAAGGTGGTAGCTGCCGGTGGGACTATGTTTGTCGCTTTGACGCCGTGTCCGTAATGAGACGTCTTCTTCGGCATCCCGGAGAATCACGGGGTAACGTGTCCCGGTCCGACCCCCGGATACTCCTTTTCTCCCCGGATTGGGTGATGGGCCCGGGCTTGTAAGTTAGTGAATACTTTTGGTCTCATTTCATCGCCGCTAGCCTTGGTCTGTATTACTTTCACAGGTTCTGTTTTATCGCGTCTCTCAGAGTAGCCTGGGGGTCCAGGGACATATCTCCACTGCGCTGCTATTCCAGTCCATGCCGCCTATTGCGGCGCCTGAAGGAATACCGATTCGTATTATTTCTAGAAACGCCGTAATGACACACAGCTGTGTTCGTTTTCACACTCGCCAAGTTTAGGTTCGTCCTCTCTCTGCTCCCGTGAGATGGATGCCATGATGCTCGCATGGGCATATACCTGAGTGTTGGCCGCCTTTACGCCATCCTCCGAGGTCCGAGGTGTTGTCTCGTGCAGACAGAGATCAGCCGTGGCAGTGGCTTTGGCGTACCAGGTCTCACTTCAACACTTCTCTTGAAGAACAACACTCGACTCCGTTGCTCATACTCCGACATCGCAGACGAAGTTTGATGCATGCGACATGTCTTTTCCCATAGTCCGTATTATCCCAGCCAAGCCAGAGATGGGACTCGATACACCAGGCTAATCGTAGCTCAGCGCTCAGCAGCAGCTATAGTTGCCCTAGCGTATCAGTCTACGCTCTTGTGCCATAACCTACGGCGCTTCATCTCTTACTCGGGTATGAAGAGCCCGTGGATCATTCTTCGCACCAGAAGTCATCAAATATCCGGGCGAATTTGATTCATAGTACTCGCTCAGATCATCCGTTCACAGAAGGATGCAGATAGGACCCCGGTCTTTTAATACCTGAATTGCCTGCTATATCCACTCCTGGGAGTGGATGTCTCGAACCCTAACCAACGCTCGTTCTGTACATATCTGCAACATCAGCTTCAAAACCTAGGGTCTTCCCTCTCGTACCCCTGGAGTTCCTCATGTGAATTCCACACATGATAATATACGTGCTCTCTAACTCCCTCCCTGACTCATGTCTAGTAGTCTCGTCTGCAGCATGGGTCTGACTTCCGAGAGAGTGGGATAATCAGACAGCGTATGCCGCTATCATGGTGTTGCGATTGTCGAGTGAAGCAGTTTGATCACCACAGAATAATACCGTGTCACACAAAAAGCGGATGTTGTAGATCCAGGATATCCGCGGTACTACATCAAAAAAAATCTGCTTTGAACGGAGCCAACATGCCCGCGCGCTGTGCTAACTCATACTAGATTGGACGATGATTTCTAAACCGTGTAAGGTTTCTTGCATGATGTCCCCTGACTGAGACTCAAAAGAAGTGATGTGTCATCTAGGCGGTCTTTCCATGCGATAGGCTCGTTTCAAAATGTGAGACATGCTCTGCGGTGCTGAGGATGTGTAAGGATAGTAGCTTCTCCCGGTGAATCTAAGACAGTCACATGCGGACTTAATGAGAACCATGTATTTCTTCTCCCGTAAGCCCATGAGCGGTATTGCTAGAACGTCAGGGATCGAGCAGCCAGCTTGAGAAGTCTTGGGCTCACGAGTCCGTCAAACAGGACCCGTTTCCTTCCTCACACCTCTCATCACGACATAACCATTGAACCAGCTGTGCAGCAAAACCACTGTGCGCAGATGCCCAAGCCTATCGCAATCGTCAGTCAATAGCCTCGCATTATATTCATCGTAACTGTGCTCATTATTCTCACCATAGGTCGGAATATCTGTCAACATTCCCGGCGGGGCAGACTCAGCCGATAATTTGAATCACCGCAGTTTCTTTGATTTTTTGCTTTCCAAACGGCAAGCATACGAGCAAATCCCGGCCGATAGATTCCATGCAAACAGGTATGGATGTTTGATAGTTGTCTTCTTGCTATTTTGTTAGTCCACTATCCTCACGTATTCTGTTTATGCGTGCAGCTGGAAAGGACCGGGCCGTGGTCAAGTGGTAACAGACGTTGGCACATTCTTGAAGAATGTCTCGCTTTTCGATCCCCTCGAGTTTGGGATCCCATCCAAGGATGCGAGCGCTATGTCTCTGGGTACGCGCCAACTCATAGAGCATTCTTTTCTGGCTTTCCTCGATTCTGGCATTCAATACCGTGGCGAAAATGTTGGCTGCTACATGAGCGGCGCAGAGTCCGTCATTTCAAACGTTTGGGACCCTGTAAGATTTTGTTTCAGCCATGTCGGGCACCTCCTGATAGAAGCGTTGTTCCTGATTGGAATGGCTTGCACTTTGATTCCTTCAGGATGACCACGCTACGCAAGGATCCTTCGCCGGAATTCCCTCCATGATTGCCAACAGAGTATCCTACCATTTGGACCTTCGAGGACCCTCGCTTCAAACTGATACAGCATGCAGTTCAACGCTCACCGCGTTGCATCTCGCTGTTCAAGGTATCCGAACCGGTGACTGTATAGCTGCCGTTGTTGGAGGAGCACAGGTGAATCATCGGTACGTAGTATCCCCGTTTATCCTGTGTTTACCATAAAATTTTGATCGAGCCTTTAAAACAGGCTAGTCGATTGGATCAACTACAGCCAAAGCTCTGTATTGGCTACTGATGGCATTTGTAAGCCTTTGGATGCTGCTGCAGACGGGTTCGCTATATCACAGTACATCGCGCGTCTGTATTTATACTAAATATCGTATAGATTTTCGCGAGGCGAGGGCATCGCTGCGATCGTCATAAAGTCATTGGAGGATGCCGTCCTTGATGGCGACCATATTTACGCAACGGTCAGTCCCAAATTGTGTACCTTTGCAGTAGAGGTTGATCGAGGTTACTATAGATTTTGAACACCGCCATCAACTCTACCGGCTCTATTGCTCCTCTCAGCACGCCTGTAGCTGAGTCTCAAAGAGATGTAATGTATAGAGCGTTCGCCGGGACAGGTCGTCACCCGAGCGAGGTAGCTTTTGTGGAACTGCACGCGACAGGTCCGTTATCTCTTTCGTTTCTTCTTAGACTGTAGTGCTTAACTTCAAACCAGGAACGGCAGCTGGTGATCCTATCGAAGCGAACCTTGTAGGCTCGGAATTCCGACGGGAGACTCCACTTTTTGTAGGAAGTGTAAAGGGGAACATAGGGCAAGTACATGTCCTGTTTCGTCTGGTATATTGATCTCACAGCTTGGTATTATAGGCATTTGGAAATCACAGCTTTTCTCGCATCTCTCTCCAAGGCATGCTCTATCTTCTCCACTGGAATCATCCCTCCAAACGTGAACTTTAAGAACCCGAACCCGGGGATCCGATGGGATGAGTACGGCCTGACGGTTCCTCTTGACCAAACACCACTTTCTACCCCTCCAGGCGTAACAGGTCTACCTCTGATCTCGCTGCTAAGCTCGGGAATTGGTGGTTCGAATGGGCACTGTTTACTTCAAGCTCCACCTTCTCGACCCGCATCTCCGAACCTTCCCAAAACCAATATCCACGATGTCCTTCTGGTCTCCGGTGGGCTCTCCCCTCGTACCGCCTCATCAGTATCCGAAGATCTTCGTACATTAGCCGATGAAGGCCCGAGTGATTTGAGAGTAATCTCGGCTGCATATGGGCGCAACTCTCGGTCTATGACATGGAGATCATATGCTGTTGCCTCCGTGGACTCCTCTCGAACCATCCAGTTCAGTGCCCCCAGCCTCGCCCCTCGTGTCAAGCCTCCCATTGTCTGCGTTTTTTCTGGGCAGGGCCCTCAACATTTTCATAGTGAGTTGAGCTTCTTTGAATGTTACGCAAACGTCTTCAAATTGACTGAATCATATCTGCAAGTGGGTCGCCAGCTGTTCCAAGATTATCACGTTTTTAGGGAGAGCGTTCTCCTCATGGATGATATTTATCACTCTGTCACTCAGCTCTCCCTCATTCGCAGCTATGGCTTATTCCAGCACGAATCCTCGACCTCTCTCAGTGCTGAAATCCGAGACGGGATCTGGCCTCTCACCATCATCCTTCCTGCTTTGACCATCCTTCAAATTGCATTATTCGACTTGCTCGTCAGTCTCGGACTTCCTCGAGCGTTTTCTGTCATCGGGCATTCTTCCGGCGAGACCCCCATGTTATATGCTGCTGGAGTTTTGTCGAGAGAGATGGCAGTTGAAATCGCCATAGCGCGTGGGCGGGCAATGGACATCACAGCCGGCACAGGTGCTCTGGTCGCATTTGGGTGCACCCACGAGGTGGCCCTCCGGATCATAGGAGCTGCACAGTCTACTCTCCGTCAGGCTGGAGGAGTGCTTGAGATTGCAGCATACAATTCCCCAGGAGCCGTGACCATTGGTGGAACAGAGGGCTTAGTCGCCATCGCTATAGCTCTAGCCGAGAAAGAACAGATATTCACCCGGCGACTCCCGACGGACGTCCCCGTCCATAGCAGCCTTATGGAGCCCTGTCGTGAACGTTACATGGAGCTTGTTGAAGATGTCTTCGCGAAATACCCTACTCCTCTCCTCCGATCAGATAATCCTCGCATCTACTCTACTGTTACAGGAGACCTTTTCCCAGAGCACCTTGACCCAGTCTATTTGTGGAGGGCCACACGCAGTCCCGTTCTTTTCGAGGGCGTAGTCCAAAATGTCCTTCATGATGTCCCCGACGCCACTTTCTTGGAAATAGGAGCACACCCCGCCCTGTCGTCATATCTGATATCCATGGGCGCAGCACCGTCCTCCGTCGTCTGTCCTATGCGACGAAGCAGAGTGGTGAGACCTGGCGACGAAACTCGCGCTCTTCTTGATTGTTTGGGCCGCTTGACCGTTCTGGGGTACAATTTCATCGACTTCGCAAAACTCAACCAGACGAAGTCCAACCACCAGAGCCTTAACTCACCTCTCCCGAGGTTTCCCTTCAATCGCCGACACTTTCACTTCCACCCCTCCGACTCGTTCGCGGCCCAACACCAGATGGTGATGAGAAACGGCCCCTTGAACTATCCCAACCTTCGTATCAGCTCGCAGACGCACCCGCTACTGGCGGATCATATTATTCGAGGGGAGCCTATAATGCCTGCGGCAGGCTATCTGGAGATGATATTCGAGTTCGGCGTGCGCACCTTATGGGACATACGTTTCCCCTTCATGATGTCTATTCCTACGGACAAGGCGCTTGAAGTTCAAGTCTGCAAAAATGCTAATCACTCATGGAGTGTTTCGTCGAAACTTTCCGGTGCGAACGCAGTCGAAGTAGGAGTCCAAACATCTTCGATAGATTCTGCCAAACCACTAATATCCATTCATCAGAATCCGCTTCGCCTGCATGCCGAAGGTTACATGTCTTCTGATCTTATGGACGACGGTGATTCTGGCATTATCCACCTCGATGCCATACGGAATCGATGTAGCGACCTCTCTTCTGCGGGTGCGTTCTGCGTATTTCCCAATTGTCGTCGTCTGCGTCTCTCACCGTCGTGATGCTCAGAGTTTTATACCGCTCTCACCACATTCGCTCAATATGGCCCTTCGCACCGACGAGTTATGTCCTGCATCAGAAACGACCAGGAGATGTTAACCCGTGTACGTGGCATGGATCCAAGCCTAGCAACAACGTAGGTTTATTCGCTCGAATAGTTTGAGCGGCAACTTGGTTGAGGCCACTCCTTTGATGCGTTACAGAGGCATTCCCTACGTCTTTCATCCTGCTGTTCTCGATGCATGCCTTCATGGAGTCATCCATCCGGATATGACTACCAATGTTGGTTTGACATCTTACTTCCTCCCTTCTCATATCGAGGCAGTATTCCTATACACACCACTCATTGAACACGAGGTTTACTCTCACGTGGTTCTCAGGCAGTGGAATCCAGGTAGTTATCTCTTTGTTTAACAAGCTCACGAAAGCATCCTACTAAAACTCTCATCCATAGAGTACCTCGTGTTCGACTGCGACATTATGAATAATGGTGGTCTCCGAATTTGCTGCTTGCGCGGCATCAAGGTCACCCTTCATAACTTCGATGTTATGAAAGGTGAGAGTCAGCAACGATTCGACATCAGTTTCGAGCCTCTTTTCGACAGGCCCTTAGTACCGAAGACCTTAGTTCCGCTGAGCGCGCCAAACTTATCTTTGGCCCGTACCTCGGATTCTTTGCACATTCTTCCTTTTCATGCCCACGAAGAGATGCAAATTCAGCGGCAGCTCGGTGATCTACGTGCGCAAGGCTGTCCCGGTATATGGATCGTTGCGTCGGCCGGTCTCGAAGGAGGCGCAGCAAGAGGATTTTCTCGGTCTCTCCGTAACGAACTCTCACCGTTCATCGTCCGACTAGCCGTTTTCGATGTTCGATGGACGGAGCAAGAAAGGCACGCCATACTGAACACCATCTCGACAACCGTAAACCTTCCGGCAGAGATTGATGTCGACACTGATGGACGAATACTGTCACCCAGGTTCAAGCTCTCCATCCCACCATCCAGGACATCCCCTCTACAGTCTCATATCCACTGGAGCTTTACCGGTACCGACACTGTTCAAGTAGACCCGGACACACACATTCCAGCAGGACATGTCCTTGTCAGATTCTTGCGGGTAGCTCCACTCCCGTCGCAGGCTCGTTTCAGAGGGTTTGTAGGTGATGTGATGGGCGCAGGGACTACTCAGTACCCACCTGGGACGCGAGTATTTGGTGTTCACGTCGGAAGCCTAGCTAATATCGCACCAGTACACGAGGGCAGTGTGGTGATTGCTCCTACAGACAGGGGGTACGAGCTCGCAAACTTTGCAGTTGCCTGCATACTAGCCAACCTCACACTCGGGCCGGGTGCTTTTCCACATTCCAACGAACCCCATGAGACAGGCAGAATCTTGGTCACTCATCAGGAGTCGGTGGAAAGCCACGTCATCTTCGAGTTTCTTCAAAGTTGCGGACTTCAGCCACAGTTTTGCGATTTAAAGGCGTCTGCCATTCTTCAACTCCGAAAGACGTTCGAGGCGGGTGATATGATTGTTTCGGGTGCATCTGATGACGAGGCGCGCCTCTTGTCTAGCGCACTCTGTACTACTGTGGTTCAGGTGTGCATGTGGCGCAAAACTGCGTCAACATTGGAGACATTTCTGAATGACCACCCATGGTTCATCTCAAACACACTGAGGTCGTCGCTACCAATTTCCAACCGTGGACATCACTTTTCATCTCCTATTTTGTTACACCCACGAGAACTCATCCCCAATGGCGCATGTATCTTGCCAACCTCACTTTTCAATCCCTCCAAGATTTACCTTCTCGTCGGTGGTATTGGCTCCCTCGGGCTCGCCCTGTCCGTGTGGATGTTCCAGGTCAGTGTTCCTAACGGGTTTGGTCCGTCATTCTCAACTCACTTATGGCGTTCTATGTTACAGAATGGTGCTAGAAGGGTAGTTCTGACCTCAAGATCGGGCAGGCAATCTCTGTCAAGACCAGGATTCACTTCCGCACGCCGTATGTTGGGGTACCTGGAAGGAATGCCGCAGCTAGAGATACGCTTGGAAGCGTGTGATGCCTCAGATTCCTCGTCTATGCGGGCATTGCTGGCAAGCATAGCGGTGGAGCTCGGCGGATGCTTCCTCCTGTCGTATACTCTGAGCGATCGGTTGTTTCTGTCTCATACAGCGGAAAGCTACGCCACGCCATGGGTTCCCAAAGTCGTAGCGTTCGAAGTCTTGGACAGCCTGGTATCCATCGAGAATCTGGAGTTTCTGGTATGCGTTTCTTCGGCTGCCGGGTTTGGAGGCCCCGGTCAGAGCAACTATGCGAGGTGAGCTATCCGCTATTGCACCTTCCTACTTAGATCACTGCAGTGGTTAATTGAATATGTTATCTAGCGCAAACACGGCTCTCGAGGCGCTCCTACGTCCGCACACAAATGCATTCTGCCTCATCTCTCCCTTAATCATCGATTCGGCCTTTAATATCGGGAGGCCGTCTAGCGTAGGTTGGGATGACTGGGTAGCCTGGTCAATGACAGCTCAGCGTGAGCATGTTCTATTATTGACCTCATATACGGGCTTGCCTGAGCTCTGGATCAAACAGAAATTTGCGCATGTATCGGCGACGGTCTTTACAAACTACGGCAGGGACACCGCCTTTGGCTTTATGTCCCCGACCTCGACTGGCGACTCGTACAGAAGACATTCGGCCCGTCCGTTCTTTATGACCACCTCGTCCCACCTGTTACCGCCACCACATCTGAAGTCGTCGATGTACAGGACGTTCCTGGAGTATTGCGAGGGATACTCCGCGAGCAGCTGGGCGTCTGCGCAGACGACTTCGACGACGACATTCCGTTCACGTCCTATGGGCTCGATTCTTTATCTGCTGGCCGTATTTGCTTTGCCTTACGTCCCCATTTGAGCGTAACACAGATGCAACTTTTGGGAGACCTTGGCTTGAACGACCTATTGAAACGATTCCCCTCATCCAGCGAGGATGAACACTTCATTCCCGTCCCTCGAGTCTCACCAGAGTCGACAACCGACGTATGCGTCCCACGCAGGACTTTCACCTGGGAGGCCTTGAATCGCACCAGCGAGAACATTGTTAAGCTCGTAGAATGTGGAGAAGAGGACGTCCCGTTATTCATCGTGCACGGAGCGAGCGGCAACATCGTTGCATTCATGCCCCTCCAAGATCAATTCTCCACGCCTCTGTACGCCATCCAGACCACACCCGACACGCCGATGACCTCAGTGTTCTCAACCGCAGCCTACTACTACACGCAAATCAAAGCCATTCGCCCGCAAGGACCATACCGCCTAGCAGGATTCTCGGCAACGAGTCTTATCACTATGCATCTTGCTAAGATGTTCATCGAGGCGGGAGATGAGGTCGTTCAACTCGCATTATTGGATCACTTCCCGACGCTTTTCGCAAGTCCTGAATGGGAACTTGACCCCGACACTATTCGTGACGGAGTAGCCAGTCGTGATTTGGCCCATCGAGTATTCGAGTCGATGTTGGACCTGTACAGGCGCGATCCCTCTCGACGGGGGCAGACGATAGTGGAAGAGCTCACGGCCGCATTTTACGAAGGCTACCATGCTACCGAGCTCGTCGAGCTATACCACCACAATTTCTACAGGACGTGCGCTATGGCTATCGACTTCTTGGTCGGGACGTGCGATCTTCGCACACTGGCGAAATCGGCTGCAGACAGAGAAGACGCACCAGTCTCTTCCGGTCACATTCGGGCGAAGGTCGAAGCCTGGATCACTGACGCCACCTCACGTGTACCGGTGACAGTGTATGTGGCATCGAGGGGCTACCAACAGTCGCTGTCAGAATACGGGGAAGAGTGGGTGGATCTTGGGTGCGGGAGGGTCCCAGGAGTGAGTATCGTGCGTATTGACGCAGCGCACTTCGAGATGATGACAAACGCAACCATGCTGAAGAGTTTGGAGTATGGATGGAAGGAAGGAAGGAAGGACGGCATACTCTGAAGGGATAGGTGAGGTTTGAGTCGATGCTGCGAGGATAGTAGACATGTTGTTGGGGCGAGTGCAGGAAAACGTTCTGCGAGGATACGAGGTCGAAGAAGTGGAAGAGGGATGGTTTGGTCACGAAATCTAGATTGTGGTCAGTACGTATTAGCGTTCGGGAGGCTCTAGCCAGCTGGTAGGACGGATTTCGAGCTCAAACATGCGGTTATATATTAGTTCTCTCTGGGATGGTGTTTTTGTACATTCATGACAGGCGTGAGCGAAAACACCCTGACCGGTGGAAGGCATGTGTGGCGCGCTTCTTTTACTTTACCATGTGTACCTTGCTGTGTGTACCGCCAAACAGGGAGTTGAAGTGGGCAACGAAAGCTTGCTCCTGTGTTTCGAAGTGGAGTATTTGCTCGTTATTGGCACATTGGACAGGTCGAAGCTCTTGCCCTTTTCTCTCCCTCTTACTAGTCAGACCGCACGCTGTGAACCCCAGGTCTCAATGCTGTTATATAGTTCAACGAAGAAGCAGCACCTACTGGTATTATAGAATAATCTATGTTGCACGAAACAAAAAGGAGCAGAGTAAATCCAACTAATCCGACCTAACTAACATAAATACGAAGGAACCGCGGTCCTCTACTTCCCCTTCACCCTACACAAGAAGTCAGTATTCACGCTGGGAGAAAAGGCTATGAGAAAGTTTCCTTACCATGCCTTGACATAATCAGCGAAGGAGACCATGCAGACAGTTTGCCAGATACCGAGGCCTATACGGGGGGTGACGCCACGGTAGAGACCCTTGATTCCGTTTTGCTTGTAAATGTAGCCAAACGTGTTGAAGATCGTCAATTTCGCCGGTCGATTGGCCGACGCCATAGCCTCTTTTGACATGTTTTGCATCTATATACCCAGAGTTAGGCTTGTAATCGGAACTGTGGCTGGTGATCATCCATGGGAGAGAGACTGACCTCGACACGGATGACTTCGATAGGCTGGTTCCAAGTAGCAAGAGCACCACCGATTGAAGATGCAATGATCTTGTCGACAGCGCTCAACGAGTCCTTCTCGCCCTTGCCACGAATTGACCGAATAGACGACTCAGCGAGCCGAGCAAAGCCCATACTGACAAGCAACGCATCGTCAGTTTCTACTGTCTTACTCCGTTGGAACAGATACATACCGAGATCCCCAGTTAGTGCATTGACGGACAGCCACGGCGTTCACACCCTTGTTGACACCACGGAGACCCTCCTTGCGGAAGATCTCAGCAAAGAGAGCCCATGTTGATGGTGGCTTGATGCCCGCAGCCGCCTGTTTGTGTCTTGTAATCTCGGCAGTTTTCATGCTTGTCGTGAAACCTGTTAGAAAAAAAACGACCACATTATCAGACCACTTCGTCTCGTATCGGTAATATTCAAACGGGGCAGCAGGAGAGTCTGTAAGCACCACAAAGCACAAAAGCGCCCAGGAACTGAGATATCGTCTAGCGGCTATTCGCTATGCGCTGACCGACGACAGAATAGCAATCCGATGATGACGGTACTCACCCATAGTAGCATAAGCCTGAGCGACACCACCGCCCATACCGCCCAACAAGCCAGCGAGAGCCGGGTTGACACCCGCCTTCTCAGCAGCGCCCTCAATTTCTGACGCACAGAAAAGCAGAACACCACCTTTGGTGGATGCTTCAATCCATGCCTAGACAAGTAGGGGGGTTTGATGTGAGTGAGATGGACGGAAATCGATTAAGTCGGAAGTAATAGCACTCACCCAGGGAATCAACCCCTGGTAGAAACCCCTGAAGCCACCCCGAGCCCATACAGACCCGAGGGCCTGCGCCATTGTTTGCGACCGGTTAGCAGCCATCTGAGTCTTGATGACCTCCAGAGGCTGGCCTAATGTCGTGACCTAGAGAGAACAATACACATGAAGCCATTCACATGTCTAAGCGCCACCACAGGAAGACTTGCCTCCTACAGAACGAAACCATTCGTTAGAAGACGCGTTTTACTCGCATAGCAGAGGGCACTCACAAACTATGAACCATTAACGACGCGTTGTTTTGATGTCAGTATGCCATGTTCCCTCAAGTATCGGGAATCATTTACCATGTTCATTATAGCACCTACAAAGCAGGTATGACCATTGAGTCGCGACGCGGCACGGGACACGGAACAGCGTATACTCACCGACAGCGATGTTAGACCAGTTAACGCCTTTCTGGCCGGGCTCTTTCTGGATGGCCATCGTTCGAGGAGGGGTCGCAAAGGGCGGGGGTCGGGGGGTCGTGGGTGGGTGGAGGGACGGAGTGGAACGAGAAAGAGCAGGCGCTGAGCTGGTCAAACAAAATATTGGGGCAATCCGTGCGTCGGAAGTCGCCGCGCGTGAGGTCAGACGCCGATCGCGCGGCGCTACCGAGCTTTCTCAGAATTCATCCAAAGCTCGTTCGAGTTTCATTCTTTGCTCTCAGCCTTGTTCGTCCTTCACCGCCTTTCTGGCAACTGTTTCGCCCTTGTCATTGGCTCGTCCGGTGTATGCAGCGCTCAAATTGGCTCTCAAACACTCTTCAGAATATTTACTGCCGACGAGCGGCCGCTGTCTATGTACCCAATGACGATTGGAGGATTGTGGGCCACACCGGTTCCGCCGCATTCATTCGCATATGATTCAGTTACCCACGCATACAACTCTATCACAGGTTTCTCGGGGAGGAAAATGCACCGCAAGACACTGCAAAAAATACCCTGATACTGACGCTGTCGCTCCATGCTAGCGGGACGAGCCTGAATGAGGAAAAATAAAATGTACAATATGATTCATTGACAGCGGCTGAGGCATGCGGAGGTCATGGTCTGCGGGACCAAGTCCGTTGTTCCATATATCTGCATGAGAGACAAGGAGTAGAAGGATGACCGACGAGTGGTCGCCCCCCGTCCCTTAACATTCAACCTGAACCTACGTGAGAATTAAGACTGGCTGACGCGGACACGGTTCTCGGAAGACGTTCGCAGGCGGGAGGGGAGAGAATACGAGCACGAGAACGGAGGAAGGCATGAATGAATGCAATTGTCGATGCATCTATTATGATGGCACTGATAGAGGTATGCATATTAATCCCGGGTATATCCATCCTGGAAAGTGTCGGTGCGAGAACATACAAGTAGTGGAATAAGAGCAAAAAGAATTGCGGGGCATATGGTGGGAATGATTGCAGAACAACATGAAACTAGGGAGAGAAATCGATTCATAATGGAAGAGGATAGAAGTTAAGGACTCTTGCTTTGCTGGCACGAGTCGATTAAGGTCACCGAGGGAGTGTGCAGTTTAGAGAGAGAAGGGGAAATGGTGTTCGAGACGATGATCACTGTGCTCCACCGGTGAGTCGATCGATGTCCTCCTTCAACCTGCAGAGGCACAACGAGGGTCAGTTCGACGTTACATGAAGGAAGGATCAAAGTCGAGGTTGAAAGTATATAGCCCGTGTGGTGGCGTAATGAACTGGAGAAGAAGAACACTCTGAATAAAAGCATGTACGCACCTTGTGATCTGGTCCTGATTTTCCTCATGATCTTGCTCCAGGTACCGAATCTCCATAGCCTTCCTTTCAACATCCTGCTCCAACTCGTCGGCCTTCGCAATCGCCTCCTCCACCTTCTCCTGCAACGCCTTCTTCTCCTTCTCATGCTCCGCCTCCATATCATGAAGCTTCAAGCTATGCGCCTCATACATCTTCTGCAACTCCTGCGGCGTGATCCCGGTCGCAGCCTGAGACTGACTATTGCGCTTCGGCGACGTCGTAGGCTCCGCCGACATCGTCGCCTTCAGCGTCGCCAGCTCGCCCTCCAGATCCGACAACCTGGAGACCAAATCCGACTTGTCGATGACGAGACTCTGAACCTCCGCTTCGTGCGCGGCGCGAAGCTTGGTCACCTCCTCCGCGCGACCCTCCGCAGCGGACTCGAGCTCCTTCGCGTGATTGTTGGACATCTCCTGCATCGACTCCTTCGTCATCGCGAAGGCCTCCTGAAGACCATTATACTCCTCCCTCGAGTTCGAAAGCTCCTTCTTCAGCTGCTCGATCTCAGCAGAGTACTCCGCCGAACCGGCACTCGCAGCAGAAGTCGTCGCCTCACGCGCCTTCTCGAGTTGTTCCTTGAGGGCCTCGACCTCCTGGAGAGAGGTCGTAAGGGCGGCCTTGGCTTTGGCGAGATCGTCGGCGGTGGCTTTGAGCTCCAAGGTCTGATGGGTGAACTGCTTCTCTGAGTTCTGAGCCTGTTCGGCGAGGGCGGCTTCGTGTTCGGCTTTGAGGCCCTCGACGGTGGTCTGGTGCGCGGCACGGAGCTGCTCGATGGAGGCTTGAGATTCTGCGCGGAGAGCTTGTAGGTCAAGTCCGTGAGCACCACCCGCCTCGTCCTATGGTAGAACATTAGTCAAGAAAAAGGTGTAGGAAAGAGGAATTTTACTACCTTAGCGCGCTCAAAAGCTTCCTGCAGCAATTTCTCGTGCTCAGCCTTGACTTCGTCTACCTTCGCTGCATACTTGGACTCTTGGCCCTGTGATAATACAAGGAATAAGTTTCGTACCCATGAGGGAGTGCGAATACAAGACATACCTCCAGCTCGGTAGTGATCTCCTTCAACTTCTCGTTCAAAGCGTCCTCACGACCTTGAGCCTCCTTCTCCACCTCTTCGACCTTAGCATTGTGCTCCGCCACCGCAGCCTCTGCAGCCGCCTTCGCCTCCTCCAAGGAAGCCTGAGCGGCCTCAAACTCGGCCTGCAGGGCCTTCAACTGATCGTCAAGCTTAGTCTGCTCCTCCTTCGCGGCGTTAGTAGCTTCTTCCAGTCGCTTCTCAGCGTCCTCAATGGCCGCAGCATGGGCCTCCTCCTTAGCCTTCAGATCCTGCACAGCGCTCTCCGTCGCAGCATTAGCAGCAGCCAACTCCTCCTCAAGCGTCTTGGTACGGGCGTTCAGCTTCGACTGTTCCTCCTCTGCGCCTTCCTGAGCTTCCTTCAACTCCAAAACTTCGACCTCGAGCTCTGACAATTTGTTCGAAGTTTCCTCCTTTTCCCGGTTGAGTTCGGCGAGTTCGGCGGAAAGAGCCTCAGCGCTGGCTGCCTTGCCCTCCAGCTCTTGGATCTTCGCGGTCGCATCCGCGAGAGCAGCATCGTGCGCGGCCTTCAGCTCAGTAACCTCATTCTGGATGGCGTCGAGGTCGGCCTTCGCCTTGAGTAGGGCCTCGCGATCGACTGCAGCAGACTCGACGAGAGCCTCAGATGCAGAACCGTTAGTGTTGCGGACGGCCTCGAGGTTCTCTTTGGCGGCGGTGACTTCGGACTCCATGGTCTCGAGCTGAGCTTGCAGAGTGGCGACGAGCTCTTGCTGGGTGCTGGCTGAGCCTTTGGCAAGTTCGAGCTGGGATACTGGTCAGCTACCTTCTGAACTACGTACAACGAATAAGGGAGCAAGTATACCTCTTGCTGGAGAACCTCGATCTTGGAAATCTCGGCCTGAAGCTTCTCAAGGATGTCCTTCGTCTCTGCCAATTCCGCCTCCGCAGTGGCCTTTGCCTGCTCGAGCTCCTCGACTTTGTGGGTCTGTTCTTCTGCTCCAGCGGTGGCCCCGTCGAGAGATGCCTTCAGCTTCTCCACTTCAGCCTCAAGTTCGCCGATGCGATCCGACTTCGTGCTCAAAGTCGCGTTCGCTTCGCTCAACTTCGATAGAGGGAAGAGAAACGGACTTAATACTCAAGAACAGAAAAGTATGCAGCATGATGAAGAGCACACCTTATGCTGAACATCCTCCAGCGCCTTATTCTCCCCCTTCACCTCCTTGATAGAAGAGATCGAACCAGCACCAGGAGTACGTATCCCCCTCGTCGCAGACGAAGCAGACGTCCTCGACGCCACACCCCCCGGACGCGTCGCCGGTGCCTTCTTAGGCGACACACCCTCCGAGACGGAAGCCCTCGGCCTCGGCGCATTCGTCGACGTCTTCAACGAAGCAGCGGACTCGGCGGGGGACGCAGCCGTCGTGCGCGCGGGAGCGGGCTTTGCGGTGGACGAGAGGGGGGCTCGGGAGGTGGGGGGCTTGGAGGGAGGTGCCATCGAGGTTCGACGGGTGGCTGTGGCCGTGCTGGGGGCGGCTTTAGGGGGTGGCATGGTGCTCTTCGGGGCGGAGACGGGGGCTTTCTTGGGAGCGGTTGTGGTGGTGGCGGTGGTGGTGCCCGCGGCGGGTTTAGCTGGGGCGGTGGAGGCGGTTGGGGAAGTTACCTTTGGCTTGTGTAGTTCGGGAGCTGCAGGTTTGACTGAACCGCCGAATTTACCAGAGTTTAAGATCTGGAGAGAGAATATGTTAGTTTATATGGAATGCAATCGAGAATACTTCGAGCAGACGTAAACATACCTTCCTGACAAGTGGACTGCCGACTTTTCCGGGAGCGGGGGGAGCGGTCTTCGTCGCCGTCTTGGGCTTCGTGGTATCGGCAGGCTTGAACGTGACACCGCCGTCTTTATCGTCGGAAGAAGGCATGGGAGCTAAGTCTGAGGTGGCATCAGACACAGCAGCCGGGGGAGGGTCAGAGTGAGCGGCGTCATCGTGATCATGACCGTTTGGCTGGTCGACGGCGTCTGGGGCCTCGCTGGCTACAGACGGCTCGTCTACTGTTGTGGTCGTGGTCTGTGCTTCGGCCACGCTGGAGTCCTCGTGTTCGTGTTCGTCCTGAGTGTCGGTGCCGTTTCCGGCTGGAGAGGATGGTTCCTCGGTCGCATCGTGGTTGTCGGCGACCTCTGGCATGGCAACGCTGTTGTCTTCCGTGGGGATGCTCGGGGGAGTCTCGACGTCGGTCATGGTGATAAGAGCAAGTGGGGCCGGTGACTGTGCAAGCGAGCGAAGAGGTGTAAAAGACAAGAGTTTCACAACACGTGGTGGCCTATACCATAGTCGCGTCCTTCCGAACCGCGTCGTTCGACGCGACAAGTTTGGGTGGCGCACACAACAGCGCTCCCCGAGAGCGTTGTACCAGTGTAGTAGACAAGGTACTACAAATTACAAATCTGTTTAATTGCGTGTATACAAGCAGGTATTCTATCAATTTCATTCTCAGGTTGTACTTCCATCACTTCTCACTCTATACAGTATACTTCTATTCGCCTATCATTTCAACGACGCCACAAAGGTCTTCGCAGATCATACCCCGGTAGCGTTCAGGTTCAGGGCGTTTAGCGCCGGTTCATCGAGGCTGTTATGGTTGTACGAGAGCACGGCGATCTATACGAAGGCATAAGCCTCCAAACAAGCAAGCAAGAAATATTCACTCACCCCCGCGGGCTCGACATTGAAGTGTGTACCTTGATTGATATTCAGTCCCAGTGTAGCGGATAGTGAACACAAGCAGCTAACCTAAACAGAGAGGGAACTCCACCCAGCGGGCGATAAGACAACGGTTGAAGTGGCCGTGGGCCACAATAACGACATCTCGTGTTCCTTTGCCCTCTTGCTTCCACTTCCGGTGGTACTCGCGTACCTAAAGGATCGTATGTCAATATACAGCGTCAATGAACCTTGGTATAAGAAAGTCCCGACATCAGCTATGACTCCATCGACTCGAGCTTGCATCTCTTCAGCGGACTCGCCACCAGGGCATCTGGACATTATTCGTCAGGAAGAACCAAGTCAGACGAGAGCGATGCGGCTCACCCGTCCGTCCAGATCTTCCAGCCTGGTTTCCTCTCCTGGATCTCCTTCGGCAACAGGCCTTCATAGTCTCCGTAATCCCACTCACGGCAGGTTTCTGTGATGATATGGTGGGGCTGTTCGTCGAGATGGCCGAACAGGAGATGGAAAGTCTTATGCGCTCGCTGTCTAGGCGAGACGAATACGCAGCAGAGATTGGTCGGATCGATGAGCTCTGCGGTCATAGAGTCAGTTTGGTACCAAAGTAGAATATCAAGCGTTGAACGCACTTCCGTGCCCAACCAAACCAGTGGCCTTGGTCAAGATCTGCTCTTCTCCTCGAGCAGTCAACGGAATGTCGGTTGTTCCGGTCTAAACGGGTGATGCTCGATGAAGACCTCCTGCACTAGTTCACTGAAGTGACGTACGTGTCTCCTACGTTCGTCCGATGGTAGACATCGGTCAGTCCACACTTTTTACTTTGGCAACGTCGAAACTGTGCCCACCCATTCAATGACCACTCAGTCTCACCTAGATGGGGTTTGGCGCCGTGTCAGTATCCTGGGCCTCTATGAGTGCAAGATCAAGATGGCCGAACCGTGGCGGATGAGGATCAATCTAGGCATGGGACTCATTGTTGCAAAATAAAAGTAGACGGAGAGATGTAGGTAGATCAGAGGATGCTGGAACAGAAAGTCAGATGCAAAAGAGGCCAAATATAAGGCTACAAAAAATCGGGCGGTGGTGGAGATGGTGCGAAAGATGTGTGTACTATTCGAGTTCACGCCGACCGCGTTATGCCGGCGGTTAGCGCGACATCGCTGACGATGTTCCACGTTTATCGCGAGGGACGCCACGAACATCCGGTACGCTGTGAGCCGTATATACCGCGCTTTCCATCGTCGAATTTTGGGAAGTTGAGAAGGTTGATATGTAGCACCATGGAGATGCGGCGAGAGGCGTTCCGTTATTTTATACATAGTGTTGAGTGTAGATATCTGCATTGGTAAGTACATGTTGGAGATGGCGATACGCAGTACAATGGAGCGACGAGGGGGAAAAGAGAAAAGGAAAAGAGAAAAGAGAGGGCCAAGATATTGAGGAAGCAACCGAGTGTAACGTCCCGGATCAATCGTTGCCCGCGTCAGCTGGGCTGCATTCGGACTGGCCTGGGGAGCGCTTGACGGTTGATACCACCATCTTCGACGTCGCCCTCCACCACGACCGCCCACTGCGACAAACGCATAGTCCACAACCTCTGTTTCTTCTGCGAACTTCAGCCTTTATAACGTCACTTCCTTTCTCGAGCCTTGCCCTAGGTCTGTCACGCGTCATTTCCCACAACAATAGCAACCTGGCTGACACCACCCTTGTTCCACCCCTCCTGCTCGTGTTTCGCCACTCTTCCTCCTTTTAGGTCTCCTCAGTTATAATCCGAGCGCTCTTTCAGTACGCTAGAACACCTACTCAGCAACTCAGCTGTCGCGACTAGGAGTCCACTCGCAGTGTAACAGAGTCGTTTGAAAGAACATCATGCAGGCAATTAAATGTTCGTGCTCCTTATTGTGGCCTCTCGTCATCTCGGACACGTTGTCCTGACCTACAGTATAGGTGTCGTTGTTGGTGATGGTGCTGTCGGAAAGGTAAACGTACCCTGTGAACGTCGTCGCACGTTCACTCGAGGCTTATCATTCTCGTTGCTAGACGTGTCTCCTCATCTCATATACCACAAACGCTTTCCCAGTACGTCCCTACCTTGCCCGATGCTCTTATCCTCTCTGATGTCGGCCACAGGGCGAATATATCCCCACAGGTCTGCATCGGTCGTCCGATATTCTATCTCGTGTGCTGATCCACTCGACGTAGTGTTCGATAACTACTCGGCTAATGTCATGGTTGATGGCAAGACGATCTCCCTCGGCTTGTGGGATACGGCCGGTCAAGAGGATTACGACCGTCTCCGGCCACTTTCATACCCTCAGACAGACGTGTTCTTAATCTGTTTCTCCCTCGTCAGCCCCCCAAGTTTCGAGAACGTAAAGACTAAGGTGCGTTTTGCTATCAGCAGCGTTAATTGCTCCGGCCATTACTCACCCATCATGCACAGTGGTTCCCCGAAATATCGCACCACGCACCTCAAACTTCAGTCGTGCTCGTCGGTACTAAGCTCGATCTCCGCGAAGATCCCAACACCATCGAGAAGCTCCGAGACCGGTAAGGATACCCCCAGATAGCGATCGTGGTCCGATATCTAAACAATTTCTCCAGTCGTATGGCTCCTATCCAGTACACACAGGGCGTTGGCATGGCGAAGGACATCGGAGCCGTCAAGTACTTGGAGTGTTCTGCTTTGACGCAAAAGGGCTTGAAGAACGTGTTCGACGAGGCCATTCGTGCAGTCTGTGCGTATGCCCATGCCTCTCCGTCATTTTTGCCTGTCTAACACTTTCCGCAGTGAACCCTCCTGAGCGAAAGAGCAAGGACAAGAGCAAGGGAGGCAAATGCATCGTCGCATGAGGTGGACGTGATCTGTCTCCTAATGCCATAAATTTACCCCCGCTTCCCCATCCTGCTGCGCATCCTAGCACCGAGTTGTGGCATATCATACCATCTATCCCTTTGCTCGACGTTTTACGACCATGACCCTCTACGGCCTTTTGTTGACGACACGCCCGGCCCCCGATTTGCTCGTCATGCCGATGGCCATTCGAATATTCTCTGTAGTGTCTTTTTCCATTTCCTCTCACGTTGGATTCCCTGATCTTTCCCTTTTCCGCACATACACTTTAGTTTGTTCTTCTCTTCGTCTATACTCGTTTCCCTCGTCTCCTCTTCCACCTCCTCAGCTTTCTTTATATCACGAATGAAACTGATCGCATTTGGATGTAAGACGCTGATACGGTGATCGTGAAACGCTGATACTGGGTGGACTTGTCTGAGGGTTATTTGGCTGGTTTGTGTGAGAGTTGAGGACATTGTGCCATTTGGGAGCTAGTTTGTGTGCCAAGACGGGCTATTTGTGCCTCTGTGCCTTCTTCGGTCTTTCTAAGTCGAAGGTTAACCCCAAAACCCACGAGCGGGTGCGAAGCGGGGCCGTCGGCTGCCCTATGGGGGTGAACCGAGGAACCGGGAGGACGGCGTCGAAAGCGGGCTCAATTGCTGAAGTTCGTTTGAGCTCGCGGACTCTCGCGAGCTCTTGCCAGTGCAGCAGTCGCTGTCGGCGCGTTCTCTTCCGTTCGTCGTCGTCGTCGTCCCTTTCGTTCTCTAGCCCGTCCGGCTACCCATACACTCGTTATCCACTCCCTTCCTTTGGCCTTTTTATAAACAGAATATACAGTGCTCACGCTAGGCACAACAGCGGTGCCTACACTCGTGCGTGATCATCAGGAGCTCTCACCATCTCACTCCCACTGATGCACCTTCTTTTTATGCACCTATCGCTTCTGTTCTCTAGCGACTGCCATTTAGCTCTAGCTTTGCTTTCGAAGGCTTATCGTATTTGCCTCGTTATGCTGGTAGACCTTGACAGTTCATTCTGTTGTTGATAAGGTACTTCCTCTCCATTTCCCCGCGGTTTCATGAGCTCATCCAGTCACTACGACCGTCTGTAGTTATGTCCGCCAGCGAGCAGCCATCCCCATCACCTACCAGTTCCCGACACCGTAACCATGCCTCACTTTATACGACTGCCTCAGGCATCGCAGATAGCGTCGTTAGTGCTAGTTCATTCGTCACCGGCGAATCCCTCCGTCTTTCCCGATTTCCACCTCCCCCTACCTCAATCCCACCGTCACCGATCGTGGATTATTCCAAGGGCGGACATAGCCCTACGACTCCCACCAGCAGAGACTTCGGCGGCTCTCCTTGGCCTTCTCCCTCCCGAGCCAATTCCTCACCTTCGATTCCCAGCCCCGTTCATGCTTCCAGTCCGCTCGCCCTCTACGGCAAAGACGCGCTACCCAGTCCAACGCAAGCCGGCCCATCGAATCCACCTCCTACTCCGAACCTCGGAGCCCTCCCTCCTGTTCCTCCATTTCGGTTCCCTCCCCCTCGTACGCCGCCAGAACGACCAGGTCAACGCGATAGAAGAGATATCACGGAACAGGTACCGTCTTCTCCCAAATCCCAAACCACACTGTCTCCCTACGACTGGCATGAAGGCTCCTCGAGCATCTCTGTCGACCCTTCCGAGGAACGCCTGCTGTCCACGGCGTTCATCACGAACCTGTTGGCCCCCGCGCACTCGGCGGGATCGAACGAACAACATAATCAGGAGCCTGGCACTCCCTCCGTCATATCCTCCAGCGGCCTTTCTGAGATCTCATATCCGCCACCATCAACGTACGGGCTGCGTAATCACAACAACTACACACCGTCTCCTCTCCACACCACCCACAAACATAACCCGGAAACTCTCCATGCCCCTCCACCCTCTTACGAGGCCGTCGACCAAAGTAGAATCTCACCATCGCCGTCAAATAACACTTTTGCTGATACAGATGGCGCACACTCCGACACTTACGAAGCCGATCCCCGAACAGTTCCGCGCCTGGCGAGGAAAGTGTCCCTGATCGGAATCACATCTGCGGAGTTGCAGCATCTGCCACCCCCTGAGCGTCGCGACAGTGCCTCTCCCTCGAGCGGCACGGGCTCCAACCCCTTCACGTTCGACAGTTCCGCCCCCTTGTTTCCTCGCGATGGCCAGCAGCAGAGACCGCTGTCGGCCCTGCACGAGGTCGAGCTGAGCTCGCGCGACAGTGGGATCGAGATGGATATCAGGACGCCGGAGATTCCGAACCCGCCAGCAAACACGCCCGGCTCGCGCTCGTTTCAGCAGAGTCGGGAACGGAGACAGTCGTCGCAGTCGAATAGGAGTACCACGGCGGCGTCGTTCATCTCGAGGTTATCGAATTCGGCTGTGGCGCAGCGGTCCGCACGAATGATGAGGCAGACGAGGGAAGCGTTTCGCGTTAAGCCTCTTCCCCCTGTTCCTACGATCGCGAATATCTCGGTCTCGCAGGAACAGAGCTATAGGCGGATGGACGATGCGGCGCCATTGCCACAGCTTGTGCAGCGTGCGGATATGTTGAACGATATGCTCGGCGAGGGTCGTCTTCCGCATCAGAGCGTGCTGTCGTACGATCCACGGACAGATACGTACCGTTCTGGAGGAGACCCGTACAAGTATGCGGACGATGCGAATGCGACGGCGTACGCTAGCGGAATGCGAAGATCTGCGGGCGGGAGGAAGAGGGCGAGTTTGGCGGGTCTGGATGCTGTGATCAATGCGTCAGGTGTGCCAAGTCCGTCGAAGGAGAAGGGTCTGTTCATGATCAATCGAATACCTCAATCTCGGAGAACGAAGATCTTGGTGTTTTCGGGGATCTTGGTGGCCTTGATTATCGTCGCCATCGTCGTCGGTGTTGTCGTCGGCCGGAAGAAGACAGATAGCGGTCTGCCGTCTTGTTCCTCCACGAATGTGACTGGGAGCAACTGCGACATCAGTACGTTGGACGAAGTGACGAGTATTTACTCATCATATCTGATTTTTTTTCCTCCCAATCAGATGCGACCTGCGTATGCACCTCGACCACCAGTTGCACGGCTTTGGCACAGAATATCGTTGAATTGACACCATCTATGAACACGTTGTTCGACGTCAACTACACCACAAACTCAGTGGCGGCCGTCATGTTCACAGCTTTTGGCTCGCCGGTTAACAGCGACTGCAGGCAACAAGCTATCATCGTCGACGTCGCCCCGGGCCTCAGTTCGTCGACTTACCCCAATCGGACGACATGGGCCCAAGCTGCACTCCTATGGAGCTTCGTACGATCGCAGAACACGACCGAAGTGGCCAAACTACAGGACTTTGTGCAGGGTGCAGATTGGTCCAGTCTGAGTTCCGGAGATGGACCGGTGTCTACCTCGTCGACCTTTGAGACGACGGTGCTCGGATACACCTTTGATTTTGCCGCGCAGACTGTTACACCGCCAGAAACGTCTTTTGAGGTCGATGGTCAACCTTCTAGCTCTCAGATCTCGCAGGTTTCCGATGTTGGAGAGTCTGTATTGGACCGAATGTATGCGTTTGCACATGGTGAGTCATTCTTTTACTTACCTTTTCTCCTGTTATTGACGTGACATGAAAGCTTCTTCGACTCAGCGTGCGACAGCCATGGCTTCGTACTGGGTATCAGAACTTCAGCAGGATGCATCTCAGTTTAGCCGATTTGTATCCCTCGTCAAGTCTGCGCCCATCCTCCTGCCCTTCGATGCCACTTCAGCCCCTGGTGGTCAGAACGTCAGCTCACTCCTCACCAACTCGACATCGGATCCTTTTCCGCCACCTCTTTCTTGCTATCCGGGCCTAACAACGGACCAAACGGAGTTGCTTAACTCCGTGGAGACCTCCGTATTCGGACTCGGGTTGGCATCTTCACAGTCAACCTTCGACAGCAGCTGCTATCCGAACAGACCAATATACGGCGTTCTGGATATCCTTCAACTTCGCCTTCCATTTCCTGACTCGACATTTAACGTGTCCAGGCAAGCTGCTGTGCTGAATAGTGACGTTTCTCCGCGGGCCATAGTGTATAGTGGCGGTCTACTTAGCGCACTCCCCGATGGTGCGGCGACCACCCCATCTTCATCTTCCCTCGATCCTCGCGAGTTCGGCACGGTCAACCATCTCAACCACATCCTCCTGAATTTCTTCGCCGCCATTCCGGACATCAACATCGCCCGAAGTCTTGCCAAATGGGTTCTCCAGGACTCTCCCATCCCTCCATCGAGTGACACAGTCCTCGGACAAAGCCTGGACTCAATACCGTTAATTGAAGTCGCCGTATTCGGGTCCGTCGTTCCCAGTGACGTTGCGTATGCCGTCTCGTCATTAGCGACCCCTACGGGGGATCTCTTTTTCGGCTCGGACGCGTCGCTTGCGCTTCGGGAATGGGCTATCGATGGGACGGGGACGAGGGTTGCGTGGACGGATTCTGCGCTGGCCTCGGAGATCGTCGACGACAATAGTCTCTCGAATGATCAATTCAACGCCGTGTGGGACCCCGCATTCGCTTTCTTCCACACGACCAACGACGCTGTCGTCAACGTGAGCAACATCACCAGTGGTTTCACTGGGGAGGGTTTGTTCACTCCTTCTATTTCCTCTTCTTGATTTGAATACGGAGCACCGGGCGGAATGTCACCTTTTTCTCTCTGTTCAGTGATCGTGTTCTTATTCGTTTTCTCTGTTATATTATGCTTATCTAGGTTCGGTGTGATTCCCCTTTGCTCTGCTTCGTTCTCGCTTGTGTTGGGACGATTTATCTTTTTTCTTTACTGTTTCGTTCTCTCGTACATGCTGTTCCCTGTTACCCACTGTACTCCGTTTCCATAGTTATGCTCCAATCTCTCGATGCGTTCCCCCCTCTCTCGCCACGCTTCCATCTCCGCGCAATCTCCCTCCTATCTATCCCATCCCATACCACATCACCAATACCAACACCCTCACCCTCACCCTCATCTTGTCACATTCATCCGTAGGCTGCCTGAATCCATAAGTAGATACGCACAAGTGACAATCAACCATGCACTCCAGTCCTTCTCCCTCCACATTGACACAGGTGCACATATCCTCAGTCCCATACCATCCATCGACCATCTCGGTCACCGTCCATCGCTATCGCAGACTTATAAGCTCCATAAGTAATACTGTACGTGCGCGACACTGTAAATGTGGCACGGCGCTCGTACGGTCAATTGTAGTTTACCGGGATCGATGCCCACACTTTTCAGTACCTGGACCATTCCTTGATCTTTCGTCGTTTCCTATATCAAACACCAGGATACCGCTACGATTATCGACCTTTGCTTGAAGTGGTTACTTCTACCACATGTCCATCGATCAGACTATGAAGGGTTCTGAATCACTGGACCAAGAAAGTAGGATCAACAGTTTTCGTGACGGGTCGTAAGTACTCGAAGCTTGAGGTCCAGGATCTCAAGGAACCAGATCGAAAGCGTGTGCCTCGTGCATGTTGAATGAAAGCTGACGAGAAAAGGTGGGGCCCAACTAGCAATTAGCAAGCGAACCTCCATTCATACGCATAGGCGCCGCCACCAGTGGCACGAAGATGGAATGGGGCTAGAGATAATGCGCTGACGACGTCTGTGCGTGTTTAATTAGGGCAAGTTCCTCGCCAGCTTGAGGATCGGCAAGACTATTTGATGAAAGAGCTTCATCTAGCCCCATCCGACCCCCTTGCTCCTTGCTTCTGGATTTTCTGCTCGTCGGTGTTGCTCAAGGTGGCGCCTAGCTCTGCTCAACTTGGCTCTACACAGCATCCTTGTCAGAAAGGATTTATAGTACCGCCGCACTAAAACCAACAGCAAGCAGACGCCCTTGCACCACGGCACCGCGACGCGCGACTTTAGATGGCGAAGTCAACGTCGGGCAAGGCTCGGGGAGAGTCGATCGCGGTGGCGAGCTCGAGTGGCCCCGGGAGCGCTGCTCAGCAGAACTTCTTGAGACGAAACCAAGTGGGTTCTTTCCTTGTTCTAGCCCGGGGTTGTGCTGCAATGGCTCAATTGCTCTGCGAACTTCCTGTAGGCTTGTCACCAGTGCCGACGACGGAAACTTGTAGGTTACAAGCCTTGCAATCTTCTCATTCGAGGCCGTCGCTAACTCACAAGTATGCTCGCATGCGGGATGTTGAAACTTGTGCAGAAATGGTAATGACACTACGTTTTTATGGTTGGTTCGTGATGGTATTTTCTCTGACACTGACCTCGATTTCAGCGATGCTCGCAGACCCGCTTGTACAACTTGTCTTAGGTCTCATCGTCACGCTCTGACTCTAGCACTTCAAACGAAGGCTTACGTACCAGATGTGGACTGCACTTATGACGAAAGTGGGGCTTCCTTTTCTCGCTATGCCTGTAGCTATCTTCGACTTACGACGGTAACATGATCAGGCGCGATTCGACCAGAGTCACCCACGGAGGCACTTTGTGCTGACCTTGAGAACCGAATATGTAGGTTATTCCCATATCGTCTCTTGCAGGCGAGTTGCTCAATTCTTGAGGAACAGTGGAGCTGGAGGCACGACTCAAGCAACAACAACTACAAAATGATTCGATTGTTAGCTCGATATCGTCCATCAGCGCCAGTCCGGCCTCGTTAGCCTTGCCTAATGAAGGCCCCAGTTCCGTCACCCTGGACGATTTGAACATACTTACCTCGTATTCCACAACTAATGATCCTACTCAACATATCAGTCACCTGCTACACAGACAACTTACGGTCAACGATAACGGACCATCACCACAAACGTTGCCAATTGCTCCTAACATGTCAACCATTTATTCACCTCCCCTGCCGCTGCCGCCACCGTTGCCACCAAGCTCGGAGCAGTGGTACGCTATCGACCCACGATGGCCACGAAGTCTTCCATCACCCGGCCTTCTGCGTCATCTGTGAGTTCGACGACGTCAATTTTTCTCGGTTTATATCGTGTGCTAATGAGCGTCAGCGTCGACTCGTTCTTCACATTTCATCCTCACGCCGGGAGGCTCTTTCATACACCCACATTCATGGCATCCATATCATTTCCTCCCACTCACTCGAACTTTCCAAGCCTCTCGATCCTACATGCGTTATGCGCTGTTGGAAGTCTATACACATCGGCGGCAATGCCGCACGTGCCGACGTATCCTTTGAACCAGTACTATGGTCGAGATACGTTCGAACAGCGGCAGGCGGCAAGTACGTTTGGAGAGATACATATCTCGTTGGCTAAACGAGCTGTTCATCGTGACGAAGTGACCGGTACACGACTTCTGGAGTATGTACAAGGTGATTGAGAGAGATGTCTCTTTAATTCGTCTGTGCTGAACTCTGATCACAGCGAAGATTCTGGTTACATGGTGGTTGTGGTACCATGCTCGGTTAGTCTGTTACTTTGGTAATAGCCATCGATATTTTCTTTTACTCACGTACTTATGGCATGGTTAGGTGGAGGGAGGTAAGACAGTCAATACCCGTTATTTCATCTCAGAAGTCGACTACCATGCATATGCTAGTTGTATGACAGTAACGCTACGACCATGAGAGGCCTAGTACCTCTAGGGTTGAATGTCTGCGACGACTTTCACTCCTTGAACCAAGTCATGCGCGGACCCTCTCTCATTGGATCGGCCAAATCAGCAATGGAGAAGGAGCTGAGAAGAAATTGTTTCTGGCTTGCATATTCGGTGCGTACCCTGAGCTGTCTGTTGTTCTGCATCTTTGGTTGTTGACTTTTGAATACGACATCAGTCGGACCGTCAACAAGGTTGTAGTAATGAGTGGGCTCTCAATATGGACGATCAGGATCTTCCACAACTTATGCCTGCCAGAGGCGATCAGTTCGACTTGGAAGTACGAGTCCCGATGACCGTTTGTTTCTCGCGACTAGCTGATGTCCTCTCTAGTACATCCATTCTGAGGACGACCGCCAGATGTTACAGTCGCGGAACCTTTTCATCTTTCACCCCGAGAAACACACCGACTCGTTCACACTCTACATCAAAGGGTCCGTGCTTCTATCCCGAGTCAAACAGTTCAACATGCGCTTCAGAGTGAAACGGTGCCTTGGAGACCCCTCTGTCCAGTTTGTACCCCCAGATACCGGTGGGTCCAATTACTTCGGAGCAGGCGCGATTACGGAGAGTCTCTTCGACGATCCTCGTCGCTCGGTGGAGTTCATCGAATTGGACAGCTTGTCAGAGTCGTTTCGACCGAATTTCCCTCATTACCTCAAAAATCCTATGCCAGATGGGGTCGTCGATTCACATCTTTATGTCGCTTACCTGGTCTCGCACATGTAAGTGCTTCTGTGCTGTGCTTATTGGGTAAAACTTTGTGCTGAATGCATGGTTGCACTAGGGCCATCATTCTTCTTCACGAGTCTCATGCCAGGTTCGACCTAGGAGTTGGGGGGTGTAATTCGACATACAAGATCCACGAAGCCAGTCGAGCCATTCTAGAACTCATTTATAGCCTAAGGGCGGGCACAAGTTTCGACATCACCCTCCTAGAGCCAAGTGCAGTCGTATGTTTTAGAGACAGCGTACATTTGCGAAAGAAACTAATATTTCCTTTGGGCAGTTTTATTGGTACACCGCCGGCCGTGTGCTCCTCAAGTTTTGGGCAGTTGCTAAGCAGGCGATGGCGACAGAAGAGGCATTGACACTTCGTGCTGAGGTCGAATACATAGCGTGAGTGTGCTTGTCCTCCCTATCAAACGCTCAGCTAACTCAGATCAATCTGCTGTAGTGTGTCGCTCTCCGTTTTTGGTGAACGAATACCGTTAGCTCGTGAGTGTCGCTATCTTCGAGTCACCTTCCTGCGATCTTCCCCGGCTAACGTTAGCACGGTGCAGGTGAGTACCGCACAGCGCTGGGCGATTTTGCCGTCAGTATGTGCGGCGAGCAGCTCTCTGTTTAGCTTACTACATTATAGTCACACACTACGCTCTGGTTTTCCATCTTTCTTGCACCACCATCGTATGATTATTGCGAACCCTTTCAAATCACCTGACCTGAAGAACCACTTAGAGATGGCAAATACTCAGCAAAGTCTAGTGGCACGACATTGCACCGGCATATCATGCTTGATTCTCATGATCCCCATTTTTCTGCCGTTCTTTTCCCCTGACGGCATGGATGTATTTCCTTTTGGGGTGGACAAAATCGCTGGGTAGCGCCAGCTGGCTCGGACAGCCTCGGATTCGACTCGCGTCTGACGTGTCTGTGAGCCTCGGGCTTTGGAATCATGGCCGATGTTGTACTTTTATTCGTCGTCAGATGGATTCAGATATGCCTATAATTCTAGGAAATAACACGAATGTTGTACCATGCCACGATTGCAGGCTTCCAAGTCGAGGCAGAATCATGACAAGGTGAACTTGAGAAACCGGTTATACGGCGGTTCAAAGCTTGGCCGATCCGGGCCGGGACTCTGGGAGATCGACAGGGGAGGCGGATTTAGTAAGCCGGTCATACGCGAAGCGCCCAAGGAAAGCTCAAAGCTCCCAGTTCTCTCCCCGAGCATCGTCACGCACGACAGCGCCTCTCATTCCCCGACCACAATGCCCAAAGTCGCCACGGTCAAGTCGCCACCCGCCGGACCCCTCGGCACACATCCCAATGTTCTCAAACGAAATCAAGTCGGTGAACGCCCGTTGGGTGTTGATTTGAACATTGTTCTGACCGCTGTGTCCTATCACCGTTACAATACAGGCATGCCATCAATGTCGCCGAAGAAAACTGGTGCGCTGCTGCCATACATTAGAATCCTCCGAGAGATCCTCATAACCGATACGATCTCCGACCCTGCAGAAATGGTATTACTTTAGAAGCCACAGCGTCCCCGAGCCCGAACCCGATGTTGACACGCTACTCTTAGTGATGCCAAAAAGCCTTGCTCGACGTGTTCTCGCTCTCATGCTCATGCAAAGTCTCATGCTGCCCCTGGAGTTGAACTACCTGATGCCCCGGACTGTACTTACGATGACGGTCAGTCTGCGCCTTCGAGTATGTCTCGTACGCTTGCATTTCTCACAATGTTTCGCAGTGATTCCCATCACAACTCAGCCTGAGCCGGCCAAGAACCGATATGAACGGCTTGAAAACAGAATTAGTATGTTATACGTTTCCAGATGTATATTGGCTGTGTGCTAACATGATCATATATCAGACGAGCTCGAGCATATGCTGAAAGAACAGACATCGTCACCACCAGAGGTAGTCCCAAACATCCACCCCCATGATATCAATACGCCCTCCACCATCGACGTGTCATCTGCTTCTACCTCTAGCCCGGATTCGATCTCCAACAACATAATTCCCCTCACTCTAACCTCTCAGCACCTCCCGACAGACAATTATTCTGCTCCCTCCTCCAGTATAGATGTCTACAGCAACGGCGTATCATTGGAGCCTGTGGTCATGGCAGAGCCTACCAACACGACACAAACTTCGTACATCTCTTCTAGCTCTACCCCGCATTATGGTTCAGGATACGATATGCTGTGGTCAAGTTGGCCGCGTGATCTACCCTCGTACAACCTCCTACGCCACTTGTACGTATTTTCTATCGTTTCATCTCGAAATCGTGCTTAGCTGTCAATAGAGTCGACGTCTTCTTCGCGTTTCACCCCCATGCCAGCAGACTCTTCCATCAACCCTCCTTCATGGCCTCCTTATCGCTTCCACCGACCCATGCAAACTTCCCAAGCGTTGCCGTCTTGCATGGCATCTGTGCCGTTGGCAGTCTCTATACCGTTGCTGTTGAACAAGATCCGTCGCCCAACTTGTCTGATATGCCACCAGGTCAGATTCGCGTCCTGTCAGCATTAGTGCGATCGGCAACTGACGCGGTCCTCGACAGATGAGATCTTTCAGGACAAGTATAGGACCAAGGAACATATCGACTCCTTTGCAGAAGCCCAGGTCAAACTTGCAAAACAAGTCTTAGACGAGCATATCTCCACTGGAGTCCACTTACTGGAAACCGTGCAAGGTAGGCATGATGCTGTGGTATATATGTACTCCTGTTCACTCGGAATACATGAAACAGCACAAATCATCATTGTGTGGTGGTATTGGTGTCATGCAAGGTATGTCGTCGTCCCTCTATGGGCCATGCTCGGGTTGACTTACAGAGCTTCAGATGGGTATCGGTATGTAGATACAAGTCCACGCTGCAACGGATATTAATACTCGTCTCCTAGGTATTCATGACCACAGGCGCCGCCCTACGAGCCGCGGTACCTCTTGGTTTAAGCTCGTCCAATCCCTTCTACTCCATAACTGATACGTTACGAGTGCCGTCGTTACTGCCTCCGGCAGAAACTGTCATAGAGGACGAGGTGCGGCGCAACACTTTCTGGTTGGCATACGCGGTACGTCCACGCGATCGATATCTTGCTGTTGTGAGTGCAGTACTAAATGAATATTTTTGAGTAGATGGAACGACAGCAAGGGTGCAGCAATGGTTGGGCTCTCAGTTTGGACGACCAAGACATCACCCAAATGATGCCTGCAAAAGGAGATCAGTTCGACCTGGGCGTGCGTTCCTATTTCCCATGCGTCCTCCTGTCGTCATCTGATAGACCCTGCGCGCAGATAATGGCTTCTCCCACTAATAGGCAGTGGGCTCATTCGAAAGATCTGTTACTCTTACACCCCGACGGCCAGACAGATTCATTTGTGCTCTATATCAAGGGTACAATGCTTCTCGCGAAGGCTAAGTACTTCAACGTCCGGTATAGGTCCAAGAGTCATCTCGGGGACCCCAATTACTCATATGCGCCGGAATTCGCCGCCCTCTGGGAACAGTACGTGCATCGACTTTTTATTCTAGGAACTTGGAATCAATCTTTGATCTTCTGATAATAGACATACATCGCTTGCATACAAACAAGCAGACCCTCGGCGCACGCGCGCCTTCATTGAAGTCGATAACATCGCCGCCACATTCCGGTCGACTTTTCCCCAACATTTGCGAAATCCGATCCCCGACGGCGTTCTTGATCCACATCTCTATGCAGCATGCTTGATACCGCATCTGTATGATTATTGCTTGATGGCTTTGCTTTTTCCATGGCAACTTTGGACTGACATTGCTCTGTGGTAGGGTCATCATCCTTCTGCACGATCCTCATGCGAATGTTGGAGGCTCTGGCTGTCTCAGCGCTTTCAAGATCCTCCAGGCTGCTCGCGCTATACTTGATCTCATCTACTCCGTTCGGGGGAGTAGCTACGATGTCACCCTCCTTGACTTCTTCGTCACGGTACGGCCGACGCTAAACGATATTACCACCAACCTAACATACTAATCCTGTCCTGTTGAACTCCCAGTTCGGCTGGTTCATGTCCGGTCGGGTTCTTGTTCGATTTTTAGCTGCGTCTCTTCAAGCAAATGCGGAAGACCAGATCTTGACCCTTCGTGCGGAGATCGAGTTCATAGCGTACGTCAGACTCAATGAGACCATAGTCCTTCTGAGATGTGCTTACCGTGCTGCATCCAGGTCTGCACTCGCACAGTTCGGCGAACGTATCCCCCTCGCTCGTAAGTCATCCTTCTCTTGATCCCATGCACGCTATCTATAAAACAAACAATCATCTTGCAGAACGGTACTACGTGATGCTGAACGACTTTGCGCATGCGAACTGTCGAGGAGAGAGGTTCCTTGTCCAGGGCGCATGATTCGAGATACGCATACACCTCTCTGCCAGTGGTCACTCTTGCTGGGTCTCCTGCCATTTTTTTCAGCCGTCTATGGACCACATTTCTATACTCATCGTGTGTTCTGCTATCCGCTGTCTTCATCCTTTTGTATACTTGACCTTCTCTCCCTTCCTTCGTCATATCTTCCTTTGTTATCTCTTTATTATGCCCCGTGCCTACGTGTATACACTTGAGTACTGCGATGCTTTTCCGGCCGGTCCCGCTGTAATTGTTCACTATGAATCCAGGTCTGTCTCAGACACCTTCACCGTTCAACGTTCAAGATCGATAGAGTCGAGCTACATAAGCGGTAGTATTGTATACCACAGTCTCCTCGTCCAGCAGATAATAATAAATGTGATTCTAAAAAAAGGTGGTGGTAAGGCGTCTTCAACACTTCCTTCCGTGATCATCAGAACTTCCAACTAGGACTACATGGGCCCATTCGCTAGGGTTGTTTTGCTCTCAGGTGTACGACATTTCAAAATCCGAGCTGTCGTCTTTTGTCACGGCCTACTTTGCACGCCCTCGATTATAGGCTACTACTGCGTCATTTGCCTCGATCCACACTGCTTCATAACTGTTCAGTCTAAGTATCAACGATAACCTTTACACCTCTCTGGGAGTTTGTTTATCGACGATCACGACGCCCGAACTGCATCGCCCCTCTCGTCGGTATCTGCTTCAACCATTTTGTACCGAACAATACCTGTAGATGCTTTCGGAGACCATCGAGCCTGAGGCTTCTAGTCCCAGTCGGCCGTCCATAGCTTTTCTTGGGCCTGAAGGGACTTATTCGCACCAGGTACTACTGTCGACACTTCCTGGCGCTTAGACCGGTTTCATTCCAATTGAACGTCTTTCTGCACTGTTTCTAGGCTGCCCATCAAGCTTTTGGTGACTCTGCGCGGTATGTTGCTCAAAGGACGATAGCAGGTCAGTAGACCCCCCTTTTTAGCCATTCACAATAAACTCCTGAAAAGCGAACTCTAACGGAACATATTGTTTTCAGACGTCTACCACAGCGTCAACGAATCAACGCCTCTCGGGCTCCTCCCACAGGAAAACACCATCTACGGCACGGTAACGGAGACATACGACTTATTGCGTCTGGAGAACCTCGGCCACACAAAATGGATCCGAGGTGCTGTGTTGCTTCCGGTGCAGCATAGTCTGATCGTACGCAAGGGACATAAAATCGAATTGATACGCAAGGTTCTGAGCCATGAGCAGGTGAGGCGGCTTCACTACCAGCTGAACCTTTTTTTTTCAATCGTAACTTTTATGCGCCGTAATTGGTTCAATTTTTGACTGACGGTGATTCTGCACAGGCACTAGGACAATGCAGCCAGTTCATCGCGAAACACCTGCCCGAGGCGACTCTAGTCAAGGTCGCATCGACGGCTGCTGCAGCGGCTGAGATCAGTCAAAATGGCACCCCTGAGTCGGACGCCACGGAGTGTGGCGTGATAGCTTCCAGGTTCTGTACCACCATGTTTGATGGCTTGGAAGTCCTGCATGAAGGGATTCAAAACGAATCAGGTCGGTACATGCAACGAACTTCTTTCCAGAGTATAGTGTTTGAAACTTGTTATCTAGTGAACTTCACTCGGTTCTATGTATTGGCCAACGACCCGACTTCGCCTATACCTCTGCTACCGAGCAGCATCAATAACGACCGACGTAGGCAAGCGCTCATACGGGTCACCATCGACCCGCGACCTCCTCCGTTTCAAACAAACGGGATTTCGCGATCTCCGAACGTCTTGGAATGTCTGGCAGCGTTGCCACCCACTCTCTCACCCGCCCGAGTTGACCGTCGACCATCCTTACAACCGGTCCCCTTCCAAGATGTATATTTTATCGAGCTCTGTGAACGGATAGAGGGTCTAGAAGACGTGGATAATGACATTGGTGTAACAGAAGGCGGCTCGGAGAACGGCGATGAGTGTTGGGCGAAGGAGGTATATTTAGGTGTAGATCGGATGAAGAGCTTGGGAGCCCCAGCGCGGGTGCTGGGGGTTTGGTAGAGGGAGTCCAGATTCATACATATATGCTCGCTGCGTACTTGTAAAACTCATGTTCTGCAGCTGCAGAGGAACGCGGGGGACGCATCGAACGACTGACTGATGTGGCCCAAAAGACATGGGTGGCACCAAGATAGGGGTAGGTATTACGATTTGCAAGAACCAATCAGGGAGTACGGGTCTAAAGGGTTCCAGCTAAGATATAATTTGAGTGAGCGATGAGAATTGCAGCATAGAACTGAATGAACTCACTGTAGTCGTAGACCAAGCGAGCCTCTATATCTTCACCCCCAGGACCGGTGAACTTGATATGTCTAGCATATCGTCTAACATCATCGACCACCTCGAAGCCCCAAAGCTACGCACGATGAAGGGCACATAAGAACGAGAATGTGAATAAACACGACTGAGAAAGACGAACCTGGTGCGCGATCCACGTAGTACCGCTCTTAGGGGTATCGGACTCCACGTACGACTCTATCGAACCCCATTCCGCAACATCACTCGTCCATCCATTTTTCAAGTAGTCGATGTCAATATCCTCGAGCTTGACCCTCCGAGACTTGCCAATTACGGCTCCAAAAATCTTGTCCGTCTTTTCTCTATTCTGCCAGTCCAAAGTGCGATCCTCCTGTGAGCCGCCAAGGCCGCCCGACAAGGTCTGCTTGATGTCGATGTGCTCGGTCCCACTGTCATCCTTGTAGTGGTTCACTTCGATGTAAATGGTGGCGGCGGCGATGGCTTTGCGAGTGAACCAGCCGACGCCTTGAAGCCTGAGGATTTCGTCGCTCGAGTCGCTGAGGGACTTGTTCTACGTCAGGGATTACAAAGTCAATTCGACCTATGCAAATATTATAGTAAATGAGAAGATACCATGGTGAACTTGCCAGAGGTGTTGAGAGTGGTCATGTCAGCGGGGGCGGCCATGATGATGAATGTGATGCAGTTGTTTGGTTGATAGACGGTGGTGGGGAAAGCTAGTAGGTTGAGTTGCCATCAACGAACTGAAGGTCGTGTACTTATAGCTGCTGCTAACGACATTTACGTGAATTCACATGCAATGACGTCTCACTCTCCGAACGGGCGCCCCTGTTCGGGCCACACAAGCTACAGCTTCCATACGCTCTTCGCACAATCTTCGGAAAACATAGGCAAGTGTCAGTGGGTAGGTCCCCAACGTGCCGACTAGTTTCATTTTTGAGATGGGATCAGTGGTCTCCATCGGCTGCCCCACTAGTATGGCAGCGTCCCGCAGATCTATGGTGAAAACTAACGCCACACCACTCAATATAGGTCAACATTTCACCTCCCCGCGTTCAGTGCCCGAGACGAAGTGTAGAAGTGTCCCATGTATGCCGACATAGTAAATACGTAAACGCGGAAGAACACGCAGGGGTGAACCAGAGTGGACCACCGATAAAGTAAAGGCATGGGTCACTTATAGGGATCAACACCCATCATCCCACCCGCGCAAATATTGAGACAAAACCAATAAGCCTATCGTGTAGAGCGAAGTGAGAACGAAGTGGCGAAGTGTACGCTGGCAGAGCTCATGCTAAGCATGTTCACTCGAAATAATTTAATGAGAGGAGCAGGGGAACTTACGGTCATTTGGGCACAGAAACGGACAACACTTTCCAAACAGCATCCTTTCCGGTCTCCCAAGCTTTTGGTCCCCGACTCTCTTCTCCACCGAGCTCCACCATTATCCCCTGCTTAGGCCAGTCCATCCAAATCCCCATTCCACCTGAAGCTGGGCCCGATCCTCCACCCTTCCTCTCTGGCTCACCCAGAGCTTCGACGATATCTTTGCCATTGGTTGAAGGCAAAAAAGTGACGGATGTAGCGCACTCTTTATCCTGTGTCTTCGGAGAGATGGATATTGTGATGGGCGATACGGGGTACGTAGAGTATTCAGATGTCGTAGAGGATTTTGCTGCCTTGTCTGTTCCGGTGGAAGGAACGTTGAAGATGTCCAGGCCATCCAAAGCCAAATCAGCGTCTCTAAGATCCCCTCTTTTCAGTCCACTCTTGGGCTTGTAACCATTGATCGGAGCAAAGAGAAGACTCAAGCCAAGGGTATAGTAGTTGAAGTAGACGGCATCGCGATAAGACTTGACATCCGGAACGACGGCAGAAGTCGACGAAAGCGATGCGAGTTCTGTGATAAATGTAGATAATATAGTCGACGATGGTGATGAGCCGAGCAAGGCTCTGAAATCGCGTGTGGTGGTCATGAGTGATGCTGAAAGAGGGTGGAGGACGCGACGTAGTCTCGAAATCCAGACTCCAAGATCGAGGAAGACAATCGTTCCTCGACGCGACGCGCCCAGCCACGCGACTTCATTCCAAGCTCGTGCCACCGTACCATCATCATCGGTCCCTTCTGGCTCTTTTTCGCAAGCTATGGCGGACGATATAAAGGCCAAGGGGAAACAGCGTGAATCCTCAAGCTGGATGTCGACCCTCCTTCTCAATCCTCTGTATCAAATTCTCAGCCTCGTCGGTCGTGGTGCCCGTCCTATTGCTCCTGTCATCATACCTGTGGCGATATGCACTATCGCTATACCCATTCTTCTGCTATTTTCTTTATCCTCAGGGTTCTATGTCTGGAGGAGTGTTGCTGTAGGCTGGGAGGCCCCACTGTATCTCCAATATGGGTATGCCATCACTACTGCAATCCTCGTTGTCTCGACTATATTGACTTGGTAACAGAGATGGCGGTCTACCATGGGCCGATGCCTCGTTGCCATATCTCAGTGCATCTCAACCCTACGACGTCTCTCTACATCTTCTCGTACCCACCACTCAGTCGAATTACGACCTTGGCAATTTCATGACCTCCTTGACACTCAGTACGACTTCAAATAAGACCCTCACTTCGGTCCGTCGCCCAGTAAGTACGTCTTTCCTCACTCCGCATGTTGTTGTTTCAGCTTGTGAACCCATTGACAGTCCATCGTACTGCCTCCGAAGGCTTATGGGCTGTTGTCACGCACGCCAACCACTGTTGATCTCGAGGTTGAGCTTCTCACAACATACGTTACTGGCACCAACCACGTTGTGGCGCGAGTCGAGATCGGGAGGAAGGATGGGTGGAGTAGTATCGGTGAGGGGCACGGCAAAGAGTTGAGCATATTATCGGCTTTGCTCGTCGGGAAAGTGAGATACAGAGGCATACTGTGCGTATTTCTTCGATACTTCCTGAATGTTCGCAGCAAGACTGATACATTATGGTCTCTTCGGCAGTGGCATCGTATCTCGCTTCCCAATCATCACATCACTCATTGCCACAGCGACATTCCTCACGATATCTGCTATCATACTCGCTGCCTGCGTTATTCCGGCCGTTGCATGGACATACCATTCCGATGCACCTAGGCCTGAACCTCCATCCCCAGCGTCGAAATCGCTCAAGCGGCTTCCGTCGCAGACGTCTTTGTCGGAGAAGCGAGCTCGGAAGAAGACTTCATTGAAACGAAGTAAGAGCTTGAACCGAGAGGTATGTGAATCATTTTGTTTGACCTCAGTGGTGCGGGTCGCAATGCTGAATGTTCGTTGGATTGGCAGGATGAACCGTCGGTGTCGTTCATGCCTGAGGGGTCGGAAGCACCGCTACAGAGGCGACGATCACGGATTACGAGCGAGATATATTCTGACTCTGAGTAGAACACAGGATTGGATTCTGCGAGACTCTGCTCTCACTTATTGTACGCGCATTGTGGCTAATTTATGATAGCATTTTTCTGGTAACGAGCTTACCCTGAGTGCTGTATGAGAGGGGAGCTCTTTGTGGCACCAAAAGGGCGGCATGCCACTGGTGGTCTTTGAATCAGTGACTCGTCGGATGAGAGCAACGAGGACGATGGAGTACAACTACTTAGCAAGACAGAACACTGACACCTGGTGGCGATCTGATTATTTATTGTTTTGCAGTGTCTCGTAGTGTTCCTTGTCACGCCACGTTGATTCTCCGCCTGAGCGGGGAACTGCGGGGCAAAGTCGACGGAAGCTGTGGCTCCGATTTCCTCTTTCTTGTGAACTTGCTTCCTTTCCGGCTATGAACCTAGCCGGTCCTCTGAAGAACGAAACATTGCTACTCTTTACTCTATCAAACCGTCCACCTGTACTCCCATCTCTACACTGTAACTTGCGCAACATTCAGACTGGTCACAATGAGCTCTCTTGAAGTTCAGTCTTTGTTCAATGTCAAGGGTAAGGTCGTACTGGTCACCGGAGGAAGCAGGGGCATTGGAAAGATGGTACGCTTCGGTCACAGTGGCGCCTGGTGAACGCCGTGCTATAATGGTGTGGTGCTTATTCGGACCTTTACTTATAGATAGCTACGGGCTTCGTGATGAATGGCGCTCGGGTCTACATCTCTTCGCGATCCTCGAAAGACTGCGATGCTACGGCCGCTGAACTGAACGCGCTTGGCCACGGATCATGTATACCTTTGCCTGCGGACATACAAAAGGTCTCCGAAGTCGAGAGACTGGTCGCGGAACTCTCGAAGAGAGAGAAGGTTCTGCATGTGCTTGTCAATAACGCAGGCGCTGCTTGGGGAGACGGTATCGACCAATATCCTGTAGGTTTTCTGCTGATCATCGACTTTAGAGGCTGTCTGAGGATAGACTATTGACAAGAGGATGTAACCGTTATTATAGGACGCTGCGTTCACGAAACTGTTGACGTTGAACCTTCAGCGCGTGTTCACGCTCTCGCAGAAATGTCTTCCTCTACTCCGAGCTGCTGCTGAACAAGGTGGAAAGCAGGAGCTGCACTACGAAGATCCAGGACGGATTATAAACGTGAGAGTCACAGTCTCTAACATATTGCGTCGAGGTACTGATCACAAAGCCTTCGATAGATTGGTTCTGTAGAAGGTCTCGGTGTGCCGAACCATGAGACGTATGCGTATTCAGCATCGAAGGCTGGTTTGCACCATCTCAGTCGTCATTTAGCTGGCCGGTTAGGACATCAAGGGATTACGAGCAATACTATTGCTTGTGGTCCATTCGAGAGCAAGAGTGAGTCTCCTCGACCACCCACATGCTTCCGATTCTACGCCACAAGGTCTAATGCATCGTTTTTGTAGTGATGGCCCACACTCTGGCAACGGCGAAGGATATCATCGTCGACCAAATACCACTTTCGCGCATCGGCTCACCAGAAGATGTAGCGGGCACTGCACTCTTCTTGTCGTCAAGAGCAGGGGCTTATGTGAACGGAGCCACAATCACCGTCGACGGAGGCTCGTTGGTATACATGTCGACTGCGAAGCTCTGATGAGATTCCACTACCTACTAACGGCTACTGCTTGCCGACCACATTATCTATCACACGGACCCAATGGAAATGTATGTATTGAATGCGATATATCAACATGTAGCCCATTAATACAGAGTCCCGCGGGATGTAAGATAATAAAGTAACCCATAAAACAAAGTCCCGATGTGTGACATGATACGGCCTTCGAGCTTCAAGCTTCAGCTTCAGTGCCGCTCACCTTCACCTCTGGTACATCCGTCTCTGTCTTGTCCTCTGCTGACGGTTTCTCGCTGGCTCCAGATACTTTTTTCTCTACCTTCTCTTCTTTCTTCTTCTCTCCGGTCTGCTCTTCCTTTTCCTCTACCTTCTCTTCTTTCTTCTTCTCTCCCGTCTGCTCTTCCTTTTCCTCTTCCTTGACTGCTTCATTTGTCTCTGCCGTCGTTTCAGGCTCCTTCTTCTCTTCTTCCTTTGTCTCTGCCTTCGGCTCAGGATCTTTCTCCTTCTCTTTCTCCGCCACGGGTGATGGAACGGGCGCGTTCTCTTTCACAGAGGGCTCGTCTACCTTCACTATCTCAGAGCCAGCCTCTTTCTTGCCCTCTTCCTTCGTGACCTCTTTCTTCGCAAGAGGCTCGACCTTGGATCCATCTCCCGACTTCGATTCGACCTTCGATGTCGCCTTTTTCGCCAAAGGCTTTGTCTCCTTCTTCTTACCGCTATCTCCTGTCATGTCACTCAGACCCTTGACCAAATCTCCCGCATCATCCCCATCCAGCCCAAGGTCCTTCACCAACTCCAACAAGTCATCGTGCGTAACCTTCACTCCCTGCAACCCATACCCGCTCAATTCCTCCGATATATCGAACTCCTCCTCATTCCTCTTCCTGATCTCAGCCACGACGCTCTGCATCGCCGGATCATGCGCGGCCGACTCGGGACTAAGGTGGGGTCCGAGGGAGGGGCGACCGGCTTTTCCTTTGAGGGGGGAGGGAGAAGGGGTGTTGTTGAAAGAGGCTTTGTGTTCGAGTTTGGCCATTTGGGAGGGAGAGCTGGCGCCGGGGACGCCTATCGGGACTTCTTGCAGTTGGGGATGGTCTTCGTCGAGAGCTGGGTCCCATGGGTCTTTCAGTCGGAGGAATTGGGTAAGTTCGTCGTACTCGACTGCTTCTTCGCTGGGGATATGTATACCATGCAACCAGGACTGAGTAAAAGAGGGACATTCCTCATGCAAGGACGGATGATACCCACAAATCGTTAAATGTCTGAAGATGGAGGATTCGTAGTCAGTCGCGATTACGGGCAGAGTATCAAGATGCGGTATTACACACCCCAGGGAACCTGTTACCAACTAGGATGCCAGGTAATTGTTGCTTGTCTGCATGAGGTGTCAGTACAAAACAGCGGTGTTCAGAACGCGGTAAGTCACAAACCTCGCGGAGCCTTCCTCTTCCATAATTTCTTCGCTTCTTCGTCTGATGCCAGATCATACGACTTGAATGGTATCTTCTTGGCCTGCAAGATGCGTAGAAGGTATTCTAAATTCGGTGCCACGATGTAACTACTGTCAGTCGTGCCGCAATCATTTCTTCGTGGCATTATCTCGGATGAAGATAAAATGCACCTTGACGCTGCCTGAGCGCAGGCTGAGACGCTATGGTCGTCAGAAACAGTTGAATGGGAGGAGACATTGCGAGGGTATGCAAGACGATGGTCAAGAGAGTGCTTGTGGGCTGCCTGGGTCCTCCGTTAGCGACGGGTAGGTTCATTTAGATAAGATAAGATCTCCGTCTTATTGATCGGGGTTCTTCGTGACGCCTCCGTGTTCTCAACCACGAACTCGGGTGGCGACTTGCAGCTCATAACTTCGCACTCTCCTACTGGGACAACTGAACTCCATTAAGCTGTTACTATCATGCCTTTGAAAGTTCTTGTGGTCTGCCTCGGCAACATCTGTAGATCACCCATCGGCGAAGCCGTCTTGCGCCAAGTCGCGTCTGAGCGTGGCGTAGACATCGAAGTGGATAGCGCAGGTACAGGAGCATACCATGTCGGTGAAGAGCCAGATGAACGGTGCGTATATGTCAATCCTGTAATGCTTGAGTATACTCTTACTCGGGCCTATGTGTTCCAACGCAGGTCCATCGCCACTTGCGAGAAGGTATGAGCGCTTCAGCCGCTCGTCCAATGGTATTCGTCTCCTCACGCACGAGCATGAACCATCTTCATCACGATATTCCATCGCGATAGCACGGCGTCCCAATATCGCACGCAGCACGTCAAGTCAAAGCTTCGGACTTTGATAAATTCACGCACATCCTCGCCGCCGATGAGTCCAACCTGCGCAACCTCGAGCGTATACGACCTCGTAACTCGACCGCGGACCTCAAGCTCTGGGGATCCTACGCGTCGGGCAATAAACCTATCGCGGACCCATATTATGGTGGCATAGTAAGTACCTCTTCGTTAACTTTGATGACGATAAATATTCGGTGGGAATGCGCGCCAATCTTGTCCTTTAATGCGATATTCTCATAGAACGGGTTCGAAACGACATTCGTCCAGTGTCAAAAATTATCGCACGCTTTCTTGGATGCTATTGTCGGGAAGCAGGAACCGGAGACTTCAAGTCTGTAAGCTTTCTCAAGCTCTGGTAAAAGACAAAATTATGATTGTACAAGGTCGAGACGAAAGAGGACAATAGACAAGAGAGTAGTTTGATGATGTATTCAAAGGAAACTGTTGGCTCAACGAGACAGAAGAGGCGATGAGTCTCTGCAGTAATACATGCAAGATCCCTAGAGGACAAGCATGAACAAAAAAGGGGGGTCGCCTTTAGAAGACGGGTCTGAGGACGAAATTGCGATTCAAACCTAGTCGAAAAACAAATCCGAGTCGCGAGGCTAGGACGGGGAATCGTGGCACTCGGAGGTGAAGTGAAAGCATCTGTTCAACAAGACAATTACAGGCAGAGGAAGAAATGGGATCATGGAGCACCGCATTTGTGACAACTTTTGCGCGGAGTTGGGTGCTCATCGGTCCAATGTTGGGGGTTGCACAACATTCGCCGTCATCTATACAGAAATGACTGTTATATTGATACACTCGAAAGACATAACAATGTAGATGCGTGAGGACATTCAGTGGTGGGTTGGCATGTTGACAGTCGCCTTGCTCGAAATCGCATCCTCGGACTTCCACAAGCTTGTCGTTGTCTGCAGCAACCAGCGGGTCAGAATGCTGCGTATGAGGAATAAAACCGAGCGACTAACCTTCTTCTGCGTATAAAACTCGAAGGCACTTTTCCCATAGAACCCAAGGTCGCCCAGCACACTCCCCTGACGACGATAGTGGATGAAATCAGTAAGAGGAGCACCACGCAGAAAAACAGGACAAACTTTGTTGCCACTCCACGAGAACATGGGCAACGGTACGGGGATGGGTACGTTGATCCCGATTTGGCCGACATTGAGGTCATGCTCGAACTTGCGCGCCGTAGCACCCGATTGCGTGAAGATGGCGGCGCCGTTCCCGTAGCGATTGGAGTTGGTCAGTTCTATGGCCTCGTCGAGGGTGTTAGCCTTCAACACTACGAGGACGGGACCAAAGATCTCCTCCCTGAGGTAGGTGAGGGCCCGATCAGCACGTTGTCAATGAGCAGATGGAACAAGTTATGTACGAACTTGTAGCATTTCATGCTAGTGTTGGCTTCAATGACGGTGGGCCCAATGAAGTTACCATGCTCGTAGCCTTCGACTTGAATACCACGTCCGTCCAGGTGGATCTTGCCGCCTTCTTGCTCCGCAGAAGCGATCAAACCAAGAATTCGCTCCTTCGAGGTAGGCGAGATGACAGGGCCACTTACGAGCAAAGGACCCATTAGTATGTGTAATGAAGAACGGAAGAAGAATAAATAAAGACGTACAGATCTGCACCCTTCTCGAAGCCTCCACTAACCTTGAGGCCCTGAGCCGCCTTGATCAGGTCAGGGAGCCACGCCTGGGCATCGCCAACGAGTACGGCAACCGAGATGGCCATGCATCTCTGCCCAGCAGCTACGTATTCGCCCTCAACCTAGGTCTCGCAGATTCAATCGCTGGGAAATGCTTACCACCAAAAGCAGCGCCGATCAGGGAGTTGATTGCATGGTTCTTGTTTGCTGCGCCACAGATGAAAACTCAGCATAAATTACACGACCCTGGGAATCGAAAGCTGAACATACCATCCGGCATGACAGTCGCGTGGTTCTTAGCACCCATATTCGATTGTACTCGTTTGCCGTTTTGTGTACCCCTAGAAAGCACAAGAACGGCTCGGACAAATATACAAACATTCGGGAATGACACAAACCCACCGGTCATAGATATGCTTCCCAGCGCGATCGCCGCCAACAAAGCTAATTGCTCTGATGGCAGGATGGTCACAAATGGCGTTTACGGTCGGGATAGTGCCGTGGACGACGTTGACGACGCCATCGGGAAGGCCAGCGCGTTGACACAGTTCGGCGATGATCATGGCCGCACCAGGGTCACGCTCTGAGGGCTTGAGAATGAGAGTGTTTCCTGTGACGGTTGCCATTGGGATGGACCACAACGGGATCATCCTGTCGTAGTGAGCTTAGCGTGATGTGTTGCCCTTGAGAACGGGGTATCTTACGCAGGGAAGTTGAAGGGTGCTATCCTGAACGAAGTTTGAGTACAGGGTAGAACGTTCAAGCAGCGGAATACCCATACGAAGCAGTGACACCTAAGGGTACTTTGCGGACTTCGGTGTCCATGTCCTTGCTCACTGAAGCAGACGAATGTTTGAACGAAGAAAATTAGGTCCACATAAAGAACATGAATACCTTCAATCTTCTCTCCCAGAAGTAACGAAGGTGCACTGGCAGCATGCTCGACGACTTGGAGACCACGCAGGATGTCGCCATGAGCATCTGGGACAGAGTATCAGTAACAAAGCCCCTATATGCTGAAGTGTTGTGCATACCCGGCAATGTCTTGCCCTGCTCCAGAACAATGCTGTTGGCCATATACTCCGCGTTCTCACGAATAAGACGCTGCAGCCTGTGGTTGGTATAAGTATTCTTACGTCGGATGGAAGTAGCACGATAGAACACATACTCAAGGACGAATCTTTGACGAGTAATGACACTGGCGTTGCTCCATGTCTTGAAAGCTTGTGAAGCAGCGTCCACAGCTTGTTCAAATTCCGAGGTTGTGGTCTCTGGGACCCTTGTAAGCAAGGTTTGTGTTGACTAGCGGAGAATAGTGAGCCACCAATGAACTTGTATCATTCCTGAACGTGAACGTACGGGGTCGAGAACGTCGATCCACTTTGTTGCCTTGCTCTCCACGAACTCCCCGGCAATAAAATTCTTCGTGTTCTCACCTATCTCCTGCTTCAGTACTCAAATCCCACCCTGAAGACATTCAACTCTCACCGGAGGCACTGGTGCCCTTCCAATCCTTCGATAACTGCTCTGCCTTAGACCTCGCAGTCGCGTTCAACCCACTCAAAGGTGGTCGAGACGAAGCGGCTGACGCGTACGAACGAGTGTGTAGGTAGCGCAGAGCCGCTCGAGGCTTGGACATGGTGGGGAAGAGGTGGGGAACGTGGAGAGAGCGAAGAACACATTTGTACTGTGGGGAAGTGTCATATACACACCGCCGGGGTCACTCGACCCTCGGGTTTCCGTATTGACGCTTCGGCACCATTCCCGTCCCTTCCGTTTGTCCGGCGCCGCTTTCGGAAACATATCTCATCAGCAGGTTTCAGGCTCCGAGTTGATGCGGTGGCAGCGATTGAATAATTCGGAAACAATGCACATCCCCTTTTGAGAGGCAATGTGCCGAGCGTCGACGTTCAGGAAATATTGGTGTTGTGTCGATGCGGTCTCAGCCAACCTTTCATTTCGGCCTGCGCCGTTCAGCCGAAGCCGGAGAATGGTTGGTTCTTCGCCTTGTCAAGCTTCTCACTGTTTGAGATTTGATCGCCATGCTTTAGCCTTGAGCTCGTGTTCACTCAGCTTATAACTTACCTTTGTTCTGCCTTGCCTCTTGACCACCAACGCTTAACTGTGACACAGAAATCATTTGGGTGGAAAGTACACCGAGCAGCGGTTCTACTTTGCACTACTGTGTCGTTCACATTCCGGAGTCGACACCAAGTCAACATCACTGAGCCACTCATGAATAACGCTACATATGCAGCCTTCTCGGCAAATTCACCCCTCATTCCGCAGATGCAGGGGATGCAGACGCTTGTCGGTGCTCCCCCACCCTCTTTCGATTACGGCTCATTCTCCTCGAATACGATGCCACCACCAACCTTGCCAAATTCGAATTCAGACGTATTGAGCTATATCCAGCGGATCATGGAACCAGTCGGGTCTCTCAAAGATGAAGTCATTCTAATCACAGCTCTCCGTGAGGCTGAGCAGAATGGGTTAAATCGAAATTTAGTCTTCAGTGGCTTACATGGGGTGAGCTTATATGTGTCCATCACTTTTTCCTCTATGTATGTCATTGACGGATCTGAACCAGCACAATGATCATACCGCCAATTCATGGAGAGATTATTACCTCGACAACAAATCTCGTATCGATAGCGCTGTGTCGAAATACTCAGAAGCCTCGATCTCAGCGGGGACGGTGGCCGAGCCCCCTCACAGAAGCCCTTCTCCGATACATATCAAGCCCGAGAAAAAGCGCAAACACCGTTCGGCGTCACCATCTAGTTCTGCCATTCCGACCAACTCACGGCGAGCGACGAACAATAGCCTCAGCGCATCCGTCGACAATGTCCACGTCAAGAAATCACCCAAATTATCCCGTCATCATATGAACGCGAGTCCGTCGTCCGGGTGGAGAATCCCAGAACTCTCTGAGCCACCGCCTTCCCAGGAGCCTATTCCACCTACAACTGTCATTAAGACCAGGGGCGGGAACAAATTCACCGACGACGATATGAACTATTTTTTCCTCTATATGACCTACGAATTAAGGAGTAACCCTCTCTTGAGCAAGGGAGCATTTTGTGCACAGCTAGCTGAAAAGGTAGAGATCTCATTATTGCATATGACGAGAGTAATCGTGTACTCACGAGTTATTACTATCATGACTAGACCCCTCATCACAGCGCCAATTCATGGCTATCCAAATTTTACCAACTACCCGCTGCTGATGCTTATTGGGACAAGCTCGTGTGCGGTGCCACACATGAAGACAGAATGTCGGAAGACGACACAGAAGCACCCATGGACTCAGATTCTAGTGAGTATGACGACGATGACGAGTCCGAATATTCGGCAGAGCAGGGAAGGGACGTCTCCGGAGATGAAGAATTGGCAGATGGTCGGATTTCGCGGCAGCATCGTCGTCTTGGGCCCATGACAGACGACGAGATGCAACTATTGGCAAGATGGATCGCGGATCATGCTGATTGGTCTTCGCAAACTGGCAGGGAGCGTTGGGTGTCTTTCATGGAGCAGGTCGGTTTGACCACCAATTGAGCTCTTCCAGTGAAATGTACTCACCAGTTCCTCTTCATGACTGTAGAATCCGTCTGGCCGCTCAAGTCGAGGATGGGGAAAAATCTATTCCCTGCACAAACGGCGTAAGTTACCAGACAGACTTACATGCAATGTTGCGGGTTGTATAACAAGAATATCACTTACAGAAATATTGAACCAAGCCGAAAAACTCAAGAAACCTAGCGCCCGAGTTGCCACAGGTCACACCGAGTCATGATTCAGAGGTACTCAGTCGTATTCGATGCAGTATTTTACGACGCATCAAGGCTTTGGGGAAAGGCTTCACATCGTTTCCAAACACGTACATATGCAGGGGAAGTAGCTCTTGGCTGCGGCAAAGCAGTAGTATTTTTCTATGGCGACTCACGGTGCCACTCAGAAGATGAAGATGGAATATATTCGCTATATAATTGCCAATACACATCCATACGTTATGTTATGCATTGCAAACTGGAGGGTTTGTCGGTCCTCGTATAATAATGGGGTTTACTTTCGATTCGCGTGAGGGCTGAAAATACGGGGAGCGGGAGTGTTTCAATTTGGGAAGTGTGGAAGTGCTTGGCAAGTGCCACACTCGGCAGTTTGTTGGGGTGGAGGCGGAAGATGATGTCAGCAACACGTGGATCGATACTTAAGTAGTTGCCCCTTTCGGCACGCCTGTATCCCTGTACCCTCTAGCAACGCTTACGGGCTGCCCTCCTTGATCTCTCCACACATCCATCTCCTCACCAACTTAACAATCTTTTCGAGTATCTACCATGGATGAAGAATATGATGTACGTTTTACTATTTGTTCTCTATCTTCGCCAATACTCATATATTTACAGGTCGTCGTCTTGGGCACTGGGTTGACGGAATGTATCCTTTCCGGTCTCTTGTCCGTCGAGGGCAAGAAAGTCCTTCACATGGATAGGAACGACTACTACGGAGGTGATAGTGCAAGTCTGAACTTGACTCAGGTATGTCGTTATCCTATCCATGACAAGTGTTCGCTACCTAACTCGCGTACAGCTCTACCAGAAGTTCCGTGGTCAAGCTCCACCAGCCGAGCTGGGGCGCGACAGGGATTACGCCGTCGATCTTGTTCCCAAGTTCATCATTGCGTCTGGGGAGCTCACCAAGATCCTCGTCCACACCGATGTTACTCGCTACCTCGAGTTCAAACAGATCGCCGGTAGCTTTGTGTATCGCGATGGCAAGATCTCTAAGGTCCCGAGTACCGAGATGGAGGCCGTGAAGAGCCCTCTGATGGGCTTGTTCGAGAAACGCCGGGCGAAGAAGTTCTTTGAGTTCTTGCAAGGCTGGAAGGATGAAGACCCTGCCACACACCAAGGTATGTTCAAGCATTCTTGTCGATGTTCTTCGTGCCGCTTACACTGGGCTTTCCTAGGTGTCGACTTGGACAAGGATAGCATGAAGTCCGTTTATGAGACGTTCGGTCTTGAGCCTGGTACCCAAGATTTCATCGGTCATGCCATGGCTCTCTACCTCGACGACGAGTAAGCAGGATTCACCATACCAAGATGGTGTACATTCACTAACTTATGCCTCAGCTATATCACGAAACCCGCACGCGAGGCTTATAACCGCATCGTCCTCTATACCTCTTCCATGGCACGCTATGGAAAATCTCCGTACATCTACCCCCTCTATGGTCTCGGCGAGCTTCCTCAATCGTTCGCTCGTCTTTCGGCCATCTACGGTGGAACGTACATGCTTGACAAGCCGATCGATGAGATCGTCACCGATGCCGATGGCAAGTTTGTCGGCGTTCGTAGCGGCAGCGAGACGGTCAAGGCCAAGCAGGTCATCGGAGATCCCAGCTACTTCGGTGCCGGTGCCTCTGGGGAGAACGGCAAGCCCCGTGTGCTCGAGGGAGGAAAGGTCATTCGCGCGATCTGCCTTCTCAAACACCCCATCCCTGGCACCGATGACTCGGACAGCGTGCAGATCATTATCCCTCAGAACCAGGTCAACAGGAGGAACGGTACGAATTCTAACAATCCATGATTACAGAGTGGAAACGTTGCTCACGCCCCTTTTTTCTGGTAGATATTTACATCGCCATGGTCTCTTCGACGCACAATGTTTGTGCGAAGGACGTCTATGTCGCCATTGTCAGCACCATTGTCGAGACCGACAGGCCAGAGCAAGAGATTGCTCCGGGTCTTGCACTTCTCGGTCCCATCCACGACAAGTAAGAGTCTAACGACATCGTCACTCTGAGCGCTCACTAATACTGCTTCCTATAGATTCGTCTCCATCTCCACCCTCTACGAACCCACTTCCGACGGCAAGGCCGACAACATCTTCGTCACTCGCTCCTATGACGCCACAAGCCACTTCGAGACTGTCGTCGAGGATGTCCAGGACGTGTGGAAGAGGGTCGTCGGTGCCGACCTTGTCCTCAAGAAACGCGAGGTCGAGGTCGAGGCCTAATTCGTTTCTGTGCAGGATTTTTTTGGAGATGCTTACGTCCTAGTTTTTGCCTACCTCTCATCTTTTAATCGGCTTTCCTCCTTCCCTCACTGTATCATTCTTTTCGGAACAAACGGCAACAATATCAACAGCAAGACGATAAAACTCTGTATATCATTTTGGCAATGACCATATCTACAGTTTGCATTCCTTTGAGACTTTCGTATGGTGCTGTGATAGTATAGTAGATTCTGAGTGGTAAGTAGATCAACGCATGAATTGCCAGTACTGAAGTCCAGTGAATACGCGATTAGCTCAAAACGAGATGTCTAACCCTTCGTCCTGCCATCTCTCGAATTCTGCGTCCTGCTCCTCACTCATCTCCAATCGTTCGCCGTCCTGCCAAGTGTCCCACGTGATGTGCACCTTATCCAACCTGGCGACTGGAAAAGGCGGTTCCCCGTAGTACTCCTCGTCACTCAACCATCGCGACCTGACCATACCCATTATCGCATCTGCCGTCACCCGGTCTAACTCTCCAAACTCCTCAATTAAGAGCGTTCGTAAGTGTGGGACGAGCGCTGGGGGTCCATTCGGGCCTTGGGACGTGAGGGCTTCGAACGTTAAGTCATCCAGCGCTACGCTGCAGAGATCGCTGTGGAAATAGACGAGCTCGGGCGTAAATTGGAAGAGTTGCACGACTGCGGGGCCGGGGAATTGAACACAGTTGAGGGTGAGGTGAGTGATGTGGGAGCCACAGGGGTTGAAGAGAAACGCAAGGTATTCGATCTCGTCATCCATGCTATCCCCGTCTTCGACACTGAGGTGTAGCTTCTGAAGCATGGGCATGTGGAAGTCTTGGAAAAACACGCCACCGCGCGATCTGGAGTTTCCGTAGTTGAGCTTGATGGTGAACTCGCGTAAGGCTGGAAAGACGGTGGGGTTCGTGAACAGAAACGGATCCTCGCCCGGACGCCAACATGGAACTCTGCCCAAATCGCATTTCTCGAGGGACGTGCATTGGCAGAATATCCTTTTGGCGTCGTCGGCAGATATGAAGATTTCCCCCGTCGAGAGGTAGGTGAGTTGAGGCCAGGGCAAGGCCAGGGTCTTCAGGAGCTCTGATGGTTTCTCGGTAGGTCCTGCCTGCTCTCGGTCCCATAACGTCGCCTTACGAAGACCAGGTGCATTGGAAAATATCGGTCTCGGCATCTCGTAGAGGTCTGTCCTGTGGATAGACACAGGATTTGTGACCCCTTGTATGTCTACTGATTCCAGCAAAGGCATGGACATCGAGGATGGGAACGTGCCACAGAGAGGGTGATACCCCTCCCAACGCATGTCGAGCGTCAGATTTTTGAGCCTATTGAAGCTAGGGATCAACCCCTCCAAGAGGCGGTCCACATTTGACACATAGTCCTCTCGAACAGTGAGTTTGAGGTTGATGGGGTGTGACTGGGAATGCGAGAGAAAGCCTTTCAAGGTGGCGATAGAGTGGTCTGTGACCCTCTTACTGAGGAACACAATCTTCAAGCAAGTCCACAGTCTCGGGGTATCGAAAGCTACCCTCCTCCACACCGCACAGACGTGTGTCAAAACCAACGGATTGTCCCTCGAGTGCCCCTTCACGTCCCATGCATAATTTCTTCTCTTCAGTGGAGCCATAAAGTACGAAAATATCTCTGCAAGGAGTTCAGGCGGAATCCGACGAATGGGACAGAGGACCTGGCGCCATTTGACGAGGTCGGCCGAGATTTGGTTCTGTTTCGAGGTGAGTTCGGAAATGACGCGCGCGAGCATGGCGTGTTCGGCTTCACCCGACGCGATGAGGGAGCGGATGTAGGAAATTTGGCTGAGGGAAGGGGGTGCGTTAACGAATCGAAGCATAGTCGCGTTCGCATAGGGCTGATGCAAGTCAAGAGACGGTTAGTCTTGGTTCGTAAAGATGGAATTGGAGCGCACCACTGCATGTAACTCGTCCATGAAGTGACCGGTGCCTTCTGCCATGACGCGAAATAGTATCCGAAAACGAGAAAAACCTGAGCCGGGATCAGCAGGTGGTAGATACTAAATTCCTTCCTTCTTTCGTAGTACCTCACTTTTCCGTTATTTGACGAACTTTTGATTGGCAAACGCCGTTCAAATCAAGGCAGCCGTAACTTCTCCGAGCACCGTGACGTTGGGGTTGATAGTACAAGGATGGACGTAAGGAAGACAGGATGCTGCTGAGCTGGAAGCACTGTTGTATCAGTGAATCGGGTGTGACCACAGATAATCCTTTGGCAAGTGGTAGGACGGGTGGAGTGAGTTAGGTAGGTTCGCGATCGCGTTGAAGGCGCGTCGTAGTTCCGATCTCGACACGCGCTTGGCTATTTGGTGTTGTTAGGAACCAAAGCCGCCGGAGCTTTCCGTGGTGGACGGTGGCGCCTTCCGCTCCGAGTCTGACAGGATCAGAATACTTAATGTCTGTATCTGTTCCCTTGATTTGTCTCTGCTCCACACTCTCGTACCATCTATGAAGCTGCTCTGCGATGACAGTCGCCATTATGACGCTCGATCTGAATCCGAACCAAACTTTCTCAGCAGGTTAAGTCCTTCAAATCTGCCCTACTTACTCATACTGACAGTGATTGGCTTAGATAGACTCTGCATGTTCAGATATTTTATTCTACGCTGGCATCTGTTATTGGAGCGCACACACGATTGATTTACCTAGCTCTCCCAAGCGAGATGTCGAGAGAAAGAGAAGAGCCCAGAGGATGCGACATCCGCATCCCCTCCTGCGCTTTGCATCCTGCTACTACCCCTACCGTCGTAAGAGCTTTAACAGAATTACACCCATGTTTAGCCATCCAAGAACCCGTGTTCTCACTGACGTTGTTAAACCCTTTTCATAGATACATTCGTGCTCTCAACGTTCCACGGGCCCGGTTCCATCAAGGTCCGTCGTCAAGCCTATGTTCGAATTATTCTAGTAACTCATACAAGTCATTCCCGCTGGCAAAGACATCTCAAAAGTGTGAGGGGCAGTGAGTTACTGGTCCGCATAATTAAATGAACGGTATGGTGGAGAGTAAGAAGGAGCTGGGTGGACTTCCAGGTCGCCGTCACCGGAGAAGGATGGAGAGAAGGAACGTGACCGTGATAGGACGGGATTCAGTCATGAAATTCGAGTCGTATCGAAACTCTGACATCGAATGAATATGTTTTCCTCTACTCTCTTTACCATCCGAGTCTCCAAAGCGCCCGTGACTAACTCTAAACTTGCCATTTACCAGACACTCCCTTTTTGTAAAGTCTATCTCTAACGATGCCATCTTGGTGGCGAAGGTGCAAGGCGAGAACGGCAGCGGAACGGGGCTTTCTTTCAACTTGGCGGTTGAAAATACTGGAGGGTATTGGGGAGTTCGAAATACTCACGGTTGGACACCGTCGGTACAGTATCCTTCAAGCGTGGATCTCTCAATGACTCAGTTATCAATACAGTAACTTGAGTACATCAAATCGGATTCTGACCTCACCATCGTGTCCCTTTCCTTTCCCCTTTCCGCGTCCGTTTCCCTTCCCGTGCCGGTTCCATTCCCTTGTCCATTTCCGCTTGCCCATCCGTGTCCGCTCGCGCCACGCCCCCGGTTCCATCCAATCCGAACACCGAACACCGAACAATCATATTTCCCAATCGGGTGCTCACTTACTCGGTCAGTCGGTCGGTCTCGCTCAGAGTCACACCGCCGAACCATTGAAGGGTACCGGTGCGCATGTACGTAGAATATGCTAAAGCGTGTATTTATCTCGAAAAATATAATACGATATGAATGTCTAAAATACAAGATGTGACAATGCAAATTCCAAACCTCCAAAAACGAACGTACGAACGTGAATCACCACGCCAACCCTCAAAGGGGGATACACGCACGCTCGCTACACCATACCACCAAATAACGACCACCCAAATTTACATATACCATATGAAACAACGAACAACGAAAACGAAAACGAAATTATCGACATCGACATAGACATCCCAGCGTCATATGCACAGTGCATGCAATACAGTGTAAAAACAAAAAACGGCAATTGTACTTTGTACTATAATAAACCGGCTTCACTACTACAACTTGAACCCATAACGTACACAAAAATCCACAATGCCCAAATAAACAGCACCTCCTCCTCTTCCCTTCCCTCCTTTCCCTCCTCTCCTCTCCTCTCCTACTCCCCTTCCCTCCACCTCCCAACTCATCTCCCGAACGAACGAACGAGCGAGCGAACGAACCAACAACAACAAAACCCCTAAACATCCTCCTCCCCATCCGCCTCAAACCCCCCCACAGGCTCATAAGTCGCCTCCACCGCATCCCTCCTCCACACCCTCCCCACGCCCCACCAAAATCCCACAATCCCCAACAATCCCAACACCCCCACCACCACCGGCGGCCCAAACTCGATCCACCACGGGGGATGATATGGAAGCAAGAGCCGGTCGATCTGGATGACCCCGCCGGAGCCGGACCCAGGGCCGGTTGTGGAACGGCCCCAGGATGTGATTTTGGCCCAGTCGGCGGTGCCGTCGGTGCCGCGGGCGTCTTTGATTCCTACGACGAGGTTGGAGGGGGACGAGGGGTCTGCGGAGAGAGAGTGAGAGGAAGAGTGAGAGCCGGAGTTGGGAGGAGAGGAAAGGTCGATGGTGCGGAATATGATGTCGCCGTAGGAAGTATCCGCAAGCGTCGAATACAACGTCGGATAGGAAACCGAGTTCGCCAGGGAGAGCGGTCTGTTATTGTTCGGCGGTGTTTCCACCAGATCCGGTCTCTTCTCCGATTTAATCAGATGTTGACCGACTATAGCCTCCAATGCGCCTTGATCCGCATACAACCTCGTAAGATTGATATGCTTGAACGCGTCATCCGTCGGACAGAGTAAAGTCCACCCCGTACCCTGCAATCCATACTCTTTCGACCATTTCGAGTCGTCCGGCGGCGCTGTGCCGTTTAAGATCCATTCCATGCCGGCTTTGGAGATTAAGGACGCCATGGTCGTTCCCTTCGCCGCTTTGACGAGTTTGCCGACGGTAAGGTCTACCGAACGCGGGATGAGGACGTCCGAGAGTTCGTGGATGACGCCGGTGCGGGAGAGCGTATTCTTCAAATACAATTCCGAGCTGAGCCCGTCCCAGCCGCCACTGGCATTGATCACGAGCGTCCCGTTCTCCGTCCTCTTAACGTGGAGGTCCGAGCCCTCGAGCGTCGCATAGGTGCGTGCGGTGCGGTTCGTGAACGACTGAGCATAGACGACGTCGTCGATCGTATGATGCAATATAACGTTCTCGAGATCCTGTTTAGAGGAAGCGGAGAGGAGATGGTCGCTCACGAGCATGCCGAGGCGTTTGAAGGCTTCGTTATGTGGGATCAGGAGCGTCGTGCGAGGGGCGGTCTTCAATATGTCAGCGAGGGAGGCGGAGAAGATGGCGGCGAGGAAGGAGGAGAGGTCGAGGTTGGGGAGCGAGACGGCCATGGCGTCGGCGGGGGGGACGAGAGGTCGGGAGATGAAGTAGATGAGGACGTCGGTGTTCTCGACGCGCACAGGATCTCCGACTACGGACGCGTCACCGAAACGGATCGAGGATGGTACGTCTTTGTCTGCGTGGTGGTCGCCCACCTCGACTGGAAGGACTTGGTTCTTCCCGTCGAGTCCGGCCTCGTCGAGTGATGTCTCGACCAACATCCCGTCCTTCAACTTGTCCGCTTTCCATTTCCCGGGTAAGAAATGATACTTCAAGAGTTTCATGAGTTCCTCGGTTCCTTTCTCGGGCAACTCGTCCTCGCCGAACAGGGAAATCGCGTCGTCTTGCGGGGCGAGAATGGTGTACGTCGCGTCGGTATCGTTGATCAGGTGGGTGAGGTTGACGGAGTGGATGAGGGAGATGAAGCGCGTGCAGTTGAGCGTGAGGAGGTATTTCTCGGGTGTTATCTTGAGCGAACCTGGGGGAACGAGGAGTGAGGAGACGGTGTGGAGGACGCCGTTGGCGGCGTAGATGTCGGGTTGCTTGAGCTCTGCGTCGGACACGAGGACCTTGTCGGGCGTCGTGACGATCTCGAGGGTCTGTCCATCAACGGTGGTGACTACAAAATGGCTATGTCAGCTAAAAACGGAACAGGAAGGGGTGGCAAAGTGCGACTGACGGTTGACAGCGGGCTCGAATGACTCTGACCATTTCACGGAATCGAGCGATACGGCATGCATGTTGAAGATACGGTAGAGGTCGTCGGAAGCGAACTCGCTTTCGAGGTAGAGCCTCTCGATGGGAGGAAGCGCATCCCACGCTGAATCTTCGGGCAAGAAGAGAGTAAGCTCGGACGATGAATTGAGTAATCGAGCGAGCTCTGGGGTAAGGATTCGCTGGAAATAGGATATAGACGGAGTGCCTGCCACCACGCTTGCTGTTCATTAAAAATAGAGTTTCGTTAGTCGGAGCATGCAGGCGAAGGAGAAGCGGAGAGGCACGCACCCAAGTCTGGAGGTACGGCAAGGACCCTGTCTATTCCGACGAGAACGCCGTTGGAGGTGGCGTTGAGGCCCTTGATCACCTTTGCACCTCCGCTTCCGAAAGCGTCCACGCCGACATGCACTTCGCCGTCCCGGGAGACGAGACGGAGGCGCTGTGGCTCGCCGCCGAGGGTGCCACCGGGTGTGGGCATCCACGGAGGGCCGGGCGGGGGCTGGTGAGTGGGTGGTTGGAGGGGTTTGTGTGGGTAATGGAGGGTCTTGAGGACCTGAATATCCTGTTCGACAGGGAGGACGATAGTATAGTTTAGGAGATGGTAGAATAGGTCCTGGCGGAGCTTCTCTTGAATGTTGTCTGCCAGGGAGTCGTCGTCGTGTATTGGGTCATGAGCGAGAAGATTAAGGGAGTTGTGTTGACGGATAGCGTCGTTTGTGGGAGCAAAGAAGGTGGAGCCATTAAGTTTATTGAGAGTAGGGATAAGCTTCGCCCGACGGAGGAGCTTGAGGAGGAGCTCGTAGTCCGGGTCATTGCCGAGGGCGTCTACGATAGTTACAGAAAGCGGAGCGGGGGCTGAATGCAAGGGGGCCTGGAGGACATCTGAGGCAGCGTCGACGGCGAGGGCAAGGAGAGAAAGGGGGAGGAGGGCTAAGAGACGCATTGGGGGAGCGGTCGCATGCAAGACGCGCTGTAGCGGGATGCAGAGGCGGACCTTAAGTATGACGCCAGCCACGTGGGCCACAGACGCGTCGCCTGCGCGTCGATCCTCGCCACTCGCCTCCTGAACACCGCGACATGCTCGAGCTCATCAGGTCCTACGCAGCACAGCCAGTCCACGTCCTCACCTTTCTTTCTCTCCCGGGCCGCTCTCTCCTCGTCAGTGCTGCATATATTCACCTATGCTGACCTGCGCTGACATTTAAACCAGCTGTATCCGTCCGCAGACGTCGTGCTCATCGTCCATGCTCGCTCGCTCATCCTCGCCCGTGCTCTCGCCTTCTCCGACATCCACCCTGCCACGCGACATCTCAATGCTTCTATCACATCTCTCGCCGTAGACTCGGCAATGAAACTCGTCTGTTATACTCGTCTCCTGTCTGCGCATACACTCACCTTCTGCCCAGATCGTGGCCTCCCTGGGCTCCCGAATAGCGGCCTGGTCTCTCTCCGGCGTCCAGCATGATACCTGGCGCATACATTCATCTCTTACGCTTCCCGAGTCCCAGACCATCACCGCTCTCGACTGCAGATCAGGTATGCATTGTTACTCACGCCACACTACCCTAGTCAACCACCGCGCTAACGCACACCGCAAGGTCTCCTCGCCGTCGCCACTAGCTCCTCCCTCTCAGTCTATACTCTCATCTTAGAGAACGATCTCCCGACATGGACGATCAAATGGTCATCCAAGTCCTCTTCTTCGCCCACTCGCGTCCGCTTCTCCCCCTCGCTAATGCACATCGTCACCACCTCCCGAGTACGTATCCCATCCTAATCATCTGCTTTGCTTGACTTGACCAATTCATCTAGCAAGATAATACAGTGCGCGTGTACCTCACCACCTCTGGACGACAAACGCAGGGCATACCCCATCTCCGTCCCGTGACGAACATAGCCTGGCGACACACCCAGGCGTCCAGTCGGTCTGTCTTCTAGCCTTCTAGCTCTTCAGCTTCTTTACTAGGCTTATATGTGGGGTAAATTGAATGTAGGGACGATCTTATTCTATACACCATCACCGCAGATTCGACACTCCGCATCTTCCTCCCCGTTCTCGACGCACCACAACACCTCCAACTACACGCATCGCTCGACCTATTCTCCTCTGTCCACCCTTCGCTCCTATCTCCTTCTCCTTCTTCTTCTCCGTCCACGTCCCATGGATCGTCCGTGTTCTGGCTCGATAGAGAAATCATGGGTGACGCCCTCGATCGGATACTCAAACAGCATTCGGAGTCACAGAGCGAAGACGAAAACGAAGACGAAGAAGCGAAACTGAGAATAAGAAAGCTGAGGGAGATACAAGAAGAGGGATGGGATCTGTTCTTGCGGGTGCTCCCGGATGGGGCTGTCGTCGTCACTGCCGTCGCTGTACGTTCTTCTACCTTCCACTTCTCTTTCCAATCTCCTACTAACTGTGTATATCACTGATCATGAGTAACAGAACATCGACCGCAGACCACCCACCCTCCTCCGACACTTCACACTCTTACAGACCGCACCGGCATTCCTCTCACCCTCTCCCTCATCCACCCCCTCGCACCTGCATATCCTTCCCCATCCGAATCTCGGCCAAGCAAAGAACACAACGCAACTCACGCTGACACTGATAACATACCCGCACCTCACATCGTTCGAGCTTGAGCCGAAGGAATTCTTTGGAGGGAGTGGAGGGTTGAGGGTTATAGCGCGGGGTGGGGAGAAATCTGCAGCTGAGCACAACGAGGGGCGGGACGAAGGCGAAAAGAGCAAGGGCGAAAGGCGTGGAAGAAGTGAAAAGGGGGATGAAAGAGGGCAAGAGTCGAGGATCCTAAGATTCGTGCGGACCCCGGATGGGAGGGCGGTGGGTGTCGTGCGGGAGAAGGGCGGGGAGGTGTGGACGCTCGAGCAAGATAATGAGCAGGATCAGGATAGAGGGACGAGGTTAGGAAGGAGAGGGAGGTGGGAGAGCGCGGATCGGGTGGTCGTGCTTGATGGAGGTATGTCTGTGTTCTTTTTTTCTTTGCGAGGGGGAGTCTTGGCCTGGGCTGGACGAATCTTGGATGACTGGATGACTTCCCATGCGGAAAATATGTGTTTCACCGCTCGACAAAGCCTCGAAATGAAGATCGCAGCTCAATGGTTAGCTGCTATCTTCCTTTTTGAGCATCGCCGAATAAACAATCACGTTGCACCCGTGCCTCATAACCATATATCTCTCCTGCAGGGTGGGCATCCCTTGACCTGTTCCGGGCATGATTCATGATACAAAGAAAGTATCTCCGTTGAGGTGTTAGCTCTGCATCTAATGCTCGGCTAGGACGAATTCCGAGAAGCGTACCTACAGAACAGAAAATCACACAAAACATCCACCTTGGATTTTTTAACCGTGATGTACAGCCACTGATTTATTTTTCACTTTGTTTTTATTACTTTGTTTTCTGACGCCCTCAAGGACGCACATTCGCAACCTACTCCAATACCTCCAACCTCCTCACCCTACACCTTCCCACCTCCCCCGCACCACTCACGCTTCGCATCCCACGCGTCTCCTCGCTCTTCTCGCTTCCTCCTGTTTCGGGGCGGCATGAGTGTATTTTTGGGATCACGGAGGTGGGTGGCGAGGGCGGGGGTGGAGTGCCTTCGATATTGCATGTGCATGCTACGATGGGGTCGGCGGATGGGGTGCCTGGGCAGGAGTCAACGTCTGAGCATGAGGAGCCAAGGCTGTGGATGCATAGCGAGACGACATTGGGCGGGGAGATTGGGGATGGGGATGCTATGGCGTTTATTTTGCCGGTGGATCCGATGGCGTGGAGTGGTGGTGGTGCTGGCGGTGGAGGAAGTGGTGGCGGGAGAACACAAACGAACGTAGCGCACGACGTCTTACTAGGCGTTGCTCAGGACGGAGACCTCACGTTCTGGGTCCCGGAGGAGGGAGCTGGGTCCGGTGGCGGGGTTGGGGGCGGGGGAGGATGGAGGAGGACGGGCAGGGTGAGGACGGGGAGGAGGGGGATAAGGATGGCGAGGTGTAGTTCGGCGAAGAAGACTGTGCTTGGTGCGTTGCGTTTTTTTGAACCTGACGACTTATACCTTGGAGTGGCGTGTGTGATGGGGTGCTGACGATGCGGGGGTGTATTAGTCGTCCCGAGCGAACGGGGCGAGGAACTGACGATCTGGGATTCGAAGGAATCGGAATTCGCGTCTGGGCTGGAATATTCCAATATCGTCCCCTACGACTCCCCGGGCCAATCGTCCGCTAACACTACCACCATCAACGACCTCGACTGGTCCTCGACCCCGGATGGGCAGTCGATCCTCGCCGTCGGGTTCGCGCACCATGTCGATATACTGTGTCAGCAGCGGATGACGTATTTTGAGGAGGGGGAGAGCGCGGCGGCGGGGTGGGGGGTCGTGAGGAGGATTGATGTTAGGGAGTATGTGTTCAATTTTCTTTCTCTTCTCCCCCTTTCCCTCCTTCGCCTCTCCGCGTTGTCTCTGCATTTTTTGAAAATAAGGGGACGTTGGTGGCATTGTGCTGACCGATGAATGTTTTGCGTTGATTTTGCGACACAGGATGCTGCCACATCCGATCAGTGATTCGATTTGGCTCGCGCACGGGGCATTGTTGGTCGGTTCGGATCGGCAGATGTGTCTCTATGGGGAGAAGGGCCGGAGCGTGTCCTCTGACTTTGGCGAGAAGCCAGTGGACGAGGCGGATGAGCCGGAGAGCTTGTTCGAGCATGTGGCGAGGCTGAATGGGCCGCTGGAGGAGTATCATCCGCAGATGTTGTTGCAGTGCTTATTATGGGGTGGGTCAACCGTCTCCTTCGCATATCACGCATCATGCTGAATTGACCATCTGGTCCTCTAGAGAAAATGGAGCTAGTGAAGGAGATCATCGTGAATCTGGCGAAGAACGTACAGAGAGCGAGGGAGGCAGGGGGGAGGTTTGTGTGGACGGAGGTGCCGGTGGATCATTTTTTGAGGAAGGAGCAGATGCATACTGCGGTGAGTGGTTCTTTCTCGTTCCCGATTTTTCAGGAGGGGAAGAAGGCGATGGAGTGAGCTCATGGAGGATTTGTGATTGTGTGATAGGTGAACGGGCGACATCGAAAGCAGTATATATCGTTGTTTGATATTCCGGAGCAGAACGATGAGTACGTCTCATTTTTTTCACCCAGCTCAGTCCTTTTTTTGGCCTACTTTTTAGCTGATCGATTTCTTAGAAATGAGGACGAAGGCTTCTCTCGCGACCTCGTCGAGAAGTTGCTCACCCAACTCGAAGAACACCCCCTACCGCATCTCACACCGAATGAGCACGCCCATCTACTCGTCCTCATCCAAGCCACCCTCGAAGTAAGTCCCCACTCCATTCATTTTCGCCCCTCTCGTCCCCTCACACCGATTCTCTTTCACCTTTCGCTCAGGTCGACGAATCGCGGCGCGCCCTCGACGCCAACGGCCTCCGATACCTCATCTCCATGCGCTCCTTCTACATCCTCAACCACCGCGCCTCCGCACCGAACAGCCCCTCCCCCCACGCCGAACCCGGAGCCGCCCGTCGCGCGGCGGGCTGGCGAGCACGATTGAGGTATCGGGATATGATCTGGGCGTTCCATAGTGAGAGTCAGGGGCTGTTGTTGACTACATCGGTGGCGGCGTGTGAGGGGGGGAAGATGACGTGGAGCGAGGCGCGGGCGCTGGGGGTGTTTTTGTGGTTGAATGGGTTGGACGCTATGGTAATGTCACAGTTCGACTATTTTTGAGTGGAAGCGATGTGCTGACACAATGCAAATTTGCGGATGGATGGATGGATGGATGGATGGTCTCAGAAATCGCATATGGAGGTCATCGCGCGGAACGAGTACATGGCGAACGACGCGCGCGATCCCGTCGCCTGTTCGCTCTTCTACTTCGCGCTCGGAAAGTCGAAGCTCGTGCATGGGCTTTGGAGGCAGGCGGCGTGGCACAAGGAGCAGCAGGTGATGCTGAAGTTCTTGAACAACGATTTTCGGCAGGCGAGGTGGAGGACTGCGGCGATGAAGAATGCGTTTGCGCTGTTGAGCAAGCGACGGTTCGGTGCGTGTTTTCTTCCTTTCCCTTCACTTCCATTCTCTCGCCTCTCGTGGAATTCAAGTCTGTGTTGAGGGGAGGACGGCTGACTTTTATCTCTCTACTCAGAATATGCAGCGGCATTCTTCATCCTCGGTGGTAGTCTGAAAGACGCGGTAAATGTGTGCATCAAGCAACTAAACGACTTTCAGCTTGCCGTCGCACTTTGTCGGATCGTCGAGCAGAGCGATGAGGGACCGATATTGCAGGGAGTGCTTAATGGCACCGTAATTCCGCTCGCGTTCAAGAGTGGGAATAGGTGGCTCGCGAGTTGGGCATTTTGGCTCTTGAGGAGAAGGGACTTGGCGGTGCGGATACTTGTCGTAAGTTGCTGCTTCTAAAATGCCCTTCTTCATGTCGCGTATGTAAGTCCTGATGATTCCTGGTATGTAGATGCCGCTGCAAGACATCGCGACATCCTTCTTCGGTCCTGCGATCATGGAGATTGGGAGCCCACATTACGACGACCCGAGTCTGGCGCTGTTGTTCTCACAGCTGAAGGCCAAGACGCTTCAGACGGCGAAGGGCACGAGCGAGATCTCGGGGCGGCTGGAGTTCAACTTCATTCTTCAGATCGCGCGTGTATTCACGAAAATGGGTGCGTGGATACCAAACAGGTTCCTTGTACCTAACATGGTATTGAATCTTTGTCACAGGCTGCCACGTCCTCGCACTCGACCTTGTCCGCTCCTGGTCGTTTGATAGACCCTCAACTGTGTCGCACGATCCTCCGACATCACATGCGCACGAAGCCCCTCCGAGCCCAACATCTGCACGTCGATTGTTCGCACTCGGCCCAGCTATGCGCCGACGATCGTCTATCCTCATAGACATGGACGTATCGACGCAGCCGCCCACACGACGACCTTCGCCCGAGCCTGTCGAGCAAAACGCCAACGCTGCCCTTACACCCACGACCAACCTCAACGGCGACGGTGCTCAGTCACGGACCTCGCTATCGCTTTCGATTGATGGAGAGGGAGGGCTACCAGTAAGGGAAGGGGAAGAGAAGATGAAGGAGGACGAGGGAGATTTGGTGGCGAGGAAGGCGGGGATGGGGAGCTTGATGAAGTCGGCGAAACATGATGTGCAGGTACCTGAGTTCGATATGAATGCATTTTTCTGAGGGGTTTGGCTATCAATGGTGGGCCTGAGTTGAGGTACTATATGGCGCGAGAATGTGTGATTTTACGGTCTTCGGGTTTGAATTTGGTAGCAGTTTGAATCAGAATTAGAATAACGGCATTGTGGTTTTTCAGAGACAGCCGTCGCATACGCAGAATCCTCATTCAGTGAGATACTGCCCTACGGGTTGGATATACATCACTGTGCACTTCGAAAAGGTTGAAAGTCAACCGAAGGAAAACCTGTAAACCTAATTCCATTCAGTCTCCTGCTGGTAGAAAGTTCACCTGTGTGGGGTACATTTCATCTGTCTCACGGTATAAACGAAGGGGATTGAGAGCCACCCTTTATATTGCCGAATTCACTCACATCGCACAGAGCGGGAATCAACCCTCTCACGCAGTAAATGTCACCAATTGTATGCCACCAAGTTTGCTCACAACAATTCAACGTGTATGGCTCTCAACTTGTAGTATATTTTATTGGCAAAAAAAAATACAATACACAACAGAGCCTACATACAGTTACAGATACTATGAGGGCTTCAAAGCGACTAGCTAGCGAAGGTTGAAACTGGATAACCAAGAGACCAACACTATTGACCCTACGTAACTCGGAGTATACATGCTATCCCATCTAAGTGTCTCATTGTAGAAGAAAG